CAATGTGCTTGCCAGATTAGCCATGCTGGTCAAGGTGGATGGGTGCTCAGGGCCCAGCACCCTTTTCCTTGCCTCCAGCACTTGTGTCTCCAGCTCCTCTGCTTCATCCAGCTTTCCCTGCTGCCACAATGTGCTTGCCAGATTAGCCATGCTGGTCAAGGTGGATGGGTGCTCAGGGCCCAGCACCCTTTTCCTTGCCTCCAGCACTTGTGTCTCCAGCTCCTCTGCTTCATCCAGCTTTCCCTGCTGCTTCAATGTGCCTGCCAGATTATTCATGCTGCTCAAGGTGGATGGGTGCTCAGGGCCCAGCACCTTTTTGCTTGCCTCCAGCACATGTGTCTGCAGCTCCTCTGCTTCATCCAGCTTTCCCTGCCTTAACAATGTAAGAGCCAGATTGTTCATGCTAGTCATGGTCTTTTCATCATCCAAACCAAGGTGCTTTAAATTACTCTCATACATCATTTTCGTCAGTTTCAGCTCATCATCCCAGCTGCCCATGGCCTTATAAACCTCAGCCCACCATACTGCAACATGGATGGGGATGTCACCATGATGAGCATGTTTAATGTGCATGTACAGTTGGTTTCTGACAGCATAGCTTTGTTCATCCATGTTTTCAGGAACTGCCATGGCAAGCAAAGACTGGGTTTCTAGCAGTGTCCTTTGATCATGTATTCCCTGAGCAGCCCATTGATGAATGAGAGGATGCATGCTATATGTTGCATTTGAGACATGGATAAGGGAGTATTGCAGCAACTCTCCAACCACCTCTTGGAACTTGAAGGTGTCCCACTTGCTATCTTCATCTCTGAACATGTCAAGGATCTGGGGTCTATCTCCCTCCCAAGATTCCTTGTTGAATGCTCTCTCAAACAACTCTTCTGTGATATCACTGTGATACATGCATGCACAGTGCTGCAGGAACAATTGCGCTTCAAGACCAAGCCTCTCAAAGCTGATGTCCCATGTAGTGAATGCAGCATATTGGTAGTTATCTAAACTCTGCTTAGACCTTTTGCTGAGAACTTTTGCCTTGTGCTCTCTCAACAGCTGCAGATATTTCTCTCCTGTAGTCTGAGTAGACAGGATATATGCTGCTGCTTGTGCAACTGCCAGGGCAAGGCATCCCAATTCCTATACAAAATACATCATCATTAATAATGGCAGAGTTAGCTCAAAGTCAATTATCTCACCTCTGCAAGTTTCATGCCCACTTCACCCTTCACAACTCCTCTAGTGACATGGGTCAACAGATTTTGTGCATCCTCTTTTGTCATCTCATATACATGACTGGTGGACTTTGGTCCAATCCCCAATGACACACAGTCCTGATTTCTGGTGGTGACTATCACATTTCCATGAGTGCACTTTGGAATGTAATCACCCAAGTTGAATGATGGGTCATCTGCATTATCAAGCAGCAGCAGCCAATTGGATGTCTGTCCTCTGAACCACATTATAGCATCCTGATATGTTTTCCCAGCACCTTTGTTAGAGACTATGGTGGCTAGGTCAGTCTCTATAGACTGGGTGGATGAAGCATCAATCATGAACACTTCAAAGAATCTAGTTCTGAATCTTCATTAGCACTGTACTGATAATTGAAATACAATTTACTTACTCAGTATCACTCTGATTCTGCCAGTCATGAATGAACTTCAGTGCAAGCTGAGTTTTGCCTGCCCCACCAGGCCCATGAAGCACAAAGATGTGCTGCTGCACTGAGCTCTTAAAATACTCATGCATCTGAGCAAGAATATCATTCCTGCCAGTGAAGTTGGGAGAGGGGAGTGGAACAACTTTCAACATCCCCAATATCCCCTGTGCAACTGGTGCAGGGAGGTGATCCACATCAGCCACCTGAACCTGACCCTCTCTGCCAAGCAGGACCTGGACACATATATCCATTCTCGAATTCACATCTGACATCCCCAAATAGTGGGTGGTATGGGCAGCCACTGCACTCTGCCTATCCCATGCATCCCATGAAACACCCTGCATCCCATGCAGAACATTGAACCGGAAATACAGCTCTGGGTAGTTCACAAAGTGGGCCTGCAGCTCCTCAGCCACCTTCTCGCACTCAACAGCAATGCTGTGCAAAACACCAAGCAGGTCCAAAGACAAGCTGGACCGTGACACACTAGGTGTAGGCAAACCAATGGTCTGAGGGTGACCAGTGCCAATGCTAATTACAACCGCGAGGCGATGCTCCGGGTGCACAGATGCCGCCTCACGCAGCAGGACGCGGCAGGGGTTGTTTACCCCCAAGCCTGCATCAACAAGTTCATGGCGCACAGCACCATCAGCAATGGTAATGGGCTTGAAATGCCCGGGATGGGCCGTCGTTGCACGAGCGGCCTCCCATATCATACAATTGGGGCTCGTGTTCCTCGCAACCGGGTAGGTGCGCAGGAGCATGGGCTTGCCGGCGTTCATATTCTCTGTCAGGCTAGTACATACAAACCTGATGTCGACGTGAGTACGGGACCGCGGGGAGGTGCAAGCAATGATGGACAGGGTACGCACACTTTACACGCCTCATTGTCAATCATGCGCACGTTCGTGCCACCTCCAGGCGACATGCCGACGATGTCCTTGACGGCCGCCGCGAGGGCGTCTGCCTTGAACGTCTCACGGGCGAAGTGCTTGAGGAGCCCGCGCTGCATGGTGTCGCCTCCAAGCAGCTTGCGACCGTCGACGTATACGCACTTGGCGAACTCGTCGTAGGCGGCGATGGCGTCGTCGATCGACATGCGGAGGCGGCCGAGCATCAGCGCGATGAGACTGCATGGCGATGGGGTACGATCACTTTACAAACAGGGCCGGAGGAGACAGTGACGATGCGAAAGACTCACCCGCCAGTGCCCGAGCCACCGATCATATCGAAGTAGAGGTGAGGAGCCGGCGTCGACGTCAGCTTCTCCTTGTCTTGAATGCGGCGCATCAACTCGCGGATGATGAGTAGGGCAGACATCCCGCGGATCCCGCCGCCGTCTGCGACAGGTGTGATCGATAAGGTCAGCGTCGACGGCATAGATATTAGTTCGGGTTTACGCACCGATTGAGAGCAACCGGAGGGGTTTGTGTTCGTTTTCAGCCATATCGAGTTTGAGTCAAGCAAGAGAGGTTTGGGTAAGAGTGAGATCTGGGTTCGAGGAAATGCTGGTGGTGGGTGAACGAGAAAGAGAGGGAAAAGAGACGCCTTCCCACAGCGCGGTCTTATAAGCATCTCTGGGCGTCTGTTGCAACGTGACGCCAAGTATGGCAGCGTGCCGGGTCAGCTGTTGATTGTTGAGCGTCTATACTGCTCGATAGCGTTGCTAAAGATATCGTACAGGCACGACGTCACAATGAGGCAGATCGAAGAGGACCCCATGAGGAAAGGGCAACTGGGATGGTATTGGTTTATGAGTTTTAAGCACGCCGTTATCAGGGCGTTGCGTTCTCACCGCGGACACAAAGAGTCAGTACCGACACGGGCAGATGCAAGACAACATTCAGGCTGTGGGTATGCACTGAACAGCTGGATTCCTGTAGATTATGCGTCTGTCAGAAACGAGAGCCCCGAGGATAATAGTCACACATACAATGCTTATGGATTCCATCTGATTTACCTTGTCCCAATTGTCTTTTCGAGCATGTACACCGAGAAAACAAAGGGTAACCGCCCTCGCAGTAGCATGACACGAAATTTCGCGTTAACCAGGACGTCGCCGCCAGCAAAGTTATTCCCCAATGATGCAAAGAGTGCGCTGAAGGCCTGACACCCTGACTACGACACAGTGAGAAAGCGATGACAACAGCTGAAAGCAGATAAAATACCAGCAAGCGTCCGCAATGGTGCGTCATGATTTCTGTCTAAGGCAAGCCATAATATTAACGGCTGCTAGCGTAAATAGAAGTAACGAAGAGCGGGAGGTTCACTTACGGTCTATTTGGTTCCGCCGTCCGAGAAGTCTTGTTGCAGCCTATAGTTTCATAATGGGCACGTGCTGCGGTATACGAAGAATGGAGTAGGCCTGTGCTTGCTGCTTCCGAGGCGGGCTATTGACCGTCGACAACCCAGCTCCTGTACCTTCCGTAGGATAAAAGTCAGGCTAGATGGATAGGAGATGAAGAGGAGGAACTGGGCGCACGTAGATTCGAGCATCAGCGAGAGAACAAAGATACGTTGACGCGATCGACTTCATAGACGAGATAGGCAAGGATAGCTGGCAGAGAGAGGCGATGACATAGGGATGACGAAGAGGAGCAGCTTACCAGAAGTACCTTGACAGAACGACAAGTGCTCCAGGAACGAAGGATGCAAAGCGGCCAGCGTGGATGGTGGAAGCGCGTTCAAGTCGTTGAAACTTGATCATGTCCTCATAAAAGAGAGGGCGACGAAATCGAGTCGGCTCCTTTTTCTGAAATCATTGTGGTGAAATGAAGGGGTAGTTTGGATCTGTGAACAGTAACTGCTGCTCAACTGGTGGGCATAAAACACGGTGTCGGTGACCTTAAGAGAGAGCTGTAGATTGAGCGCGACTGGAAAGGCACGGTTCTCGGAAGCAATAGTGTGTTCGACTACTCAGTCGAATCGTTTCCTCAAAGACCATGACCATATCATATAGGCTCCTCTTCCTCTGACGCTCTCGTTTTCTCCACTTCTCACAATCTCATAACACTAGTTGCTACCCGCACTTTACATTCAGTCGTATCTGGGATGCCTTCGCCGCTGTCCATGGTGCTGTGGCCTGCACCTTCTCAACGCTTGCCCACCTAGCCTCCCCGCCATCCACGAGACCATCCGGAAGGCTCGCAACGCTCATCCTCGCCCCGTCTGACATCCATGATCGCTCTCTCCCTTTCCTCGCCTGTAACAGCACAACGAGAAGACATCGCCCTCCGAGAGGAAAGCAGCGACACGGACGGTCTCAACGACACATCGGGCTCGCCCTCTTTCGGTCAAGTGGTCGTTGCGTCTTCCAACGCGACTCCGCCAACCCTACCAGTTTGGAGATAATCGAAGAACATGCTCACTGGGTCCACCTCGTTTCCCGCTCAAGCTCTGCCGCCCTCGTCTAATTCGGATACGCGAGAGAGATTTTTGGTTGTCGGTGTGCGAAGGGGCACAAGGGTCGTGTCGTAATTTCTATCGTGAGCAGCGGACTCTTCATCATCTTTCCATCGTAGTTCACTAACAGATACTGCAGATGGAAGTGCATGTATTTCACTCAACATTCGACTCTATCAACACCCGTCGTCTCAAAGCGCGTATAGGCAACTACCTCTCCCTTCATCATCCGCACCACACACAGAACCACCGTCATGCCCGGCGGTTTTCCGCTGAAGCTACACCGTTCTAGAGACTCGCAGTATCAACACGCCGTCATGATATCATTTCGCCTTTGCTCCAGACTGCGTTACTGTGCTGTCGTTATCCACACCGTGGTCAAGAGTTAAAGCCTCTCGATGGCCGCGCTCTCGAGGGCAGCCTGTACGGATTACAATCAATTGTGGGGGCATGGGAGTCAGCCAATCGAGCTCGAAATGAGTACAGGGTTCGTTGCCTTCAGTCGTTGACTTCAAATTACTCATACTGACCCACCGTCCTTCACCAGGTCTCCATCTTCGTTAGCGAAACCCACTCGTATCGTCTGCTCCGACAACCGCGTTGCATGCGTCCACTTCAGTGTCAACGTGTACATTTTCACATCACCATGCGCGCTTCCGTCCAGCACTCGTCCGCCAGTCGCAAGTCTATCAGCGCTCTCCGGCTTTGCGGGCCCAGTGGTTCCTGCAATCAGCTTCATGAAGCTGCTCCCGCGTAAAGAGAACATGGGCGTTGCACCGCCATCTTCCTCGTCATCCGAGTTTGTTTCATATGCGCTTCCGCTTTCGCCTCTACCCCTCGCGCGACTACGCCGAACTTGGATAATTTTGTCAACTCTGCACACGTCGACCATTCTGTCGTAGCTCGCGTTGCCGAACCTTCAAGTTGTTTCTCTTCTCGTCATCCACCACCTTCCTCCTTCGCTCATTTTCCCTCCATACGATCTCTGCCATCCGATCTGGCTCTGCGGCACGCTCGAGATTTTCCTCAGTCTTCCGAGCATCTGGGCTCATCAATCGCAGATTCATCTTCCGCTTAGCCTTCCTGCGTACCCAGTCTGGCTCGGCGTCCGGACGACGACGCTGTCGACATGCCGCTGGCGCTTCTCCATTTCTCCCGCATGTTGACCGGCGCTGGCTGCTTCCTTCGGACCGTGCTCGCTGACGTCTCCCCATCCTCTCGCCTTTTCACAGTGGGCCATGGTGCCGAATAATAGTGAAAAATGGAGTATTCACGAAGTTGTTCGCGGGCTTGACATTCGAGCGGTCGGGTTTCTGCGAGGCGGTGATGGCGGCGAATCTGATGGGCATTGAACTTCTACATTGTGATAGTGGGGAGTCAGGAGAAGAGCACGCGTTGAAAGAGTCGATGATGGGCTGTATACCCTACTGCGAGACTTCGTCAAAATAACAATGTCGCTCTTTGATGTCTCTCTGTCCCGACACATGGTTGAAGGAGTAATTCAAGACGGAATTTTCGGATATGAGCGGACGCTCGAACGGAACCTCGTCGTGCACTCCATGTACTTAGGATTGCAACTGGACAGGTTGTTCTAGGTACCGAAAGTGTGTGGGGTGATGTCCCAGATCATGTCGCCAATATGCTAGGGCTGTAAAGTGAGATGTGGATCGGTGAAGGTACTGTTGGGCGGAAGGGGTCGTGTATAGAGGGTTTATTACACATCTACAGGATATTCAACATTGTCTTAGTGAGTTGACCTACAAGTACTACAAGTAGGACGTATGAATGCTTTGACTGCGGCACGTCTCACCATAACATCTTCCAAGACTTGATGTCAACCCTAACCCCAGTTTGAGGTTGACTAGGATTGTCGGCGCTGTCCACTCGCGATGTGAACATGTCGTCTGGCAACTACCTCACCTTCGCCCGGGGGCGGCGACTGCACCAACACCATCGAGTAGGCAGCCAAGGCATTTAGACATCTATGCTCTCACAGACAGCTTGCGTGAGCTCTACGCTTTCTACTCGATGGAGGGCACGGAATGGTGGTCAGCCGATCGAGCGTAATATTCGGGACAAGGTTCGTTTGCTAGGAGCCGTACCATAAACTGCATTACGCTGACCTATCATCCTAGTGAAACCCATTCACTCGTACCGTCGGTTCCTGCTCGACCGGTGCTCGACCTGCAACGTCCACACCTGGTTATACACCGGCATCTGAATTAAGACTCGCGTGCTCAACATCTCGTCGTATGACAGCCTCGCTTCACCGAGGGACACAGCGGCTTCGCCGACGCTCGAATAGCCCATCGTAGGGCCGAAGAGGTCTTCGTGGACGACTTCATTGTCGTGTAGGGCGTGTTTATAGACTCCTTGGCGGCCGCTATAAGCTCGACGTTCATCCCCGCCTCGGCGAGCTCTTCCGCGCGTCGCGTCAGTCTGGGCGAAGCTGCGGACGTTAAAGCAAAAAGTCAGGGAGAATTTCAAGAACCTCCTGCAGGAACGTGATCGGTGAAGGCGAGGCGCGGATGCATCGCCCGTGGAGAAAGGTTCGTGGAGGGTTGATAGCCAGTGGGGAGGACGGTGGAAATGATCGGGATAAAGAAATATGTGGTTCGTTCCTGGTTATTCGCTACCGTAGGTCACTGTTTTCTAACCTTTAACCTCAGCTCTATCTCCTTATCGACAAAGTCGACTCCTTCGGTGCTGGCGGTCTTCATGACCGCGGTGCGTGTGACTACCTCAGCATCAATGATCAACCGCCCCGACGTTGACGTTCTCATAGGTAGCCTCCGTCAACTTCTTCGGCGGTCATGTCGCTGGTTCTGAGCCCCTCACCGGCTCGCTTCGCCACTGCGGCCCCTACGTTGAGGTAAAGACTCTGCCGACCCTCACCCGGGTGATGATCAGCATGACAAGCATCATGGGCGTTGCCTCTCGCGCTTCCTCCCAGTCCTTCAAAACCTGCTCCACCCATCCTCCATGTCCACCCTTTACCTCGGCTACGTCGAGGTGGTCTTCCTCAGGTATGTCGAGTCTGAAAACCACCTCGGATCAGCTCCGCCCTCTTGACGTGGTTTTAGCTTCCGCCCAACTTACATGATGGTTCGAAAGGCCGCATGCGCCTGCGCCGCCTCACGTTAAGCTTGAGCTACCTCCACGTGCCCCTGGTCGTCCGGGCAAGATAAGAATTCCATGTTTTTGCGCATAATGAACGCGTGCAGCGTTCACTGGCGCTATTGTCGTTATCCAGCCCCCTTTTGCACCTCGTGTTCGCTTCTGTGTTAGTATGGGCCGCACCGAGGAGGGATATGGATGTTTTGCTCTGAACGCGCGATGTGATTGGGGTTATTCTTGACCTTTGAGCACCCTCATAGTGGACGGCCGACTTGATCTGCCGCCACAGCGTCGAGCACATCGAAGGCATTGCGGATGTGCGAGCTAGAGGAGAGGTTTTCCGCCGTCAAAGTCTGATTGTCTTCTGGCTCATAGAACCGTTTGTGAGTGATCAGCCGCTGAGTACACTCGAGAGATAGGTCATAGATGTGTATACATGATGTAGTTGTAGATAACCTATGCTACCCTGTGTCAAGAGGTTGTAGAGATCAAGGGTCACAAAATGGATGATTCAACCGCAACAATATTTGTACATTCAATGCTTCTGATTACAAAATTACTACAGTGCTACAAATACATGACTAAACAACATATCTACTGCTCCCCTTCCTGAGCTGCTTTCCAAGCCTTCAGGCACCTTGTGCTAAACAAGGTATGAGGATGCTGACTACCCAGAACTTTTTCAAGTAGTGTTGCAGTGTCCTCCATAAGCCTGATAGCTTTGTCCTTTTTCCCATTGCCATACAGAATATGAGCCAGATTGTTCATGTCAGTCAAGTTATCTGGGTGCTCAGGTCCTAGAATCCTTTGTCTTGCCTCCAGCACCTGTGTTCCCAGATCCTCTGCTTCCTCAAACTTCCTTTGCTGCCACAATGTGCTTGCTAGATTGCTCATGCTCTGCAAGGTAAATAGGTGCTGAGGGCCCAGTATCTTTTTCCTTGCCTCCAGCACCTGCATGTGCAACTCTTTTGCTTCTTCTGGCTGTCCCTGCTGCCACAATGTAGTTGCTAGGTTACCCATGCTCATCAAAGTGTCTGGGTGCTCAGGGCCTAGTGCCCTTTTCCTCACCTCCAACACCTTTGTATGCAGCTCTTTTGCTTCCCCTAAGCTTCCCAGCTCCTTCAATGTTAGAGCCAGATTGCTCATGCTGGATAGGGTGTCCAGGTGCTCAGGACCCATTGCTCTCTTCCATTCCTCCAACACCTGTACCTGTAGCTCATGGGCTTCCTTCATTTTCCCCTGCTCATGTAATGTAAGAGCCAGATTATTGATGCTAGTCAAGGTTTTTGGGTGCTTAGGCCCTAGTGCCTTTTTGCAAATACCCAATTCCTGACTTTGCAGATCCTCTGCTTGCTGCAGCTTTCCCAGATCCTTCAATATGAGGCCCAGGTTATTCATAACAGTCAATGTGTCTAGGTGCTCTGGGCCTGAAATCTTCTTCCTTGCTTCTAAGGCCTGTGTCTCCAGCTTCTCTGCTTCTTCTAGCTTTCCCTGCTGCCACAATGCAGATGCTAAACCATCCATGCTTACAATGGTGTTGATATGGTCCAGACCTAGGCTATGCATATTGTGTTCATGTATTATTTGTCTCAACATGAACTCATCATCCCAGCCACCCATGGCCTTGTAAGCATCAGCCCAGGCTTTTGCCACACCAATAGGGACATCACCCTTGTGAGCATGTTTGATATGCATGTACAACTGCCTCTTTGATACATATCCTTGCTCAGATATGTTTGCAGGGACTGCCATTCCAAGTAAGGTCTGAGTCTCCAGTATGACATTCTCATTGGTTGAGAGCTGACCAACCCATTCATGAATGAGTGGATGGATATTATATCTCTCATTTGAAACATGGATGAGAGAGTACTGCAACAGCTCTCCTATCACCTCCTGGAATTGAAAGGTGTTCCACTTGCTATCTTCATCCCCAAACATGTCAAGGAGTTTGGGTCTATTTCCCTTCCACCCCTCATCTTGATTTTTGAATGCTATCTCAAACAACTCCTCTGTGATATCACTGTGGTACATGCATGCACAGTGCTGCAGAAAGGTTTGTGCATTAGGACCCAGTCTCTGAAAGCTGATGTCCCATGTGGTATATGCAGTGAACTGGTAGTCATCCAACCCTTGTTTGGGCTTTTTTGCAAGCATCTGCCTTTTGTGCTCTTTTAACAACTGCAGGTATTTTTCTCCTGTGCTTTGAGTGGAGAATATGTATGACCCTGCCTGTGCAATTGCCAAAGCAAAGCATCCCAGCTCCTGTTCATATACACACCATAATCAGTAAAAAAGAAAAGATGTTGCTCATGCTATAGCTCTCACCTCAACAAGTTTTGTACCCACTAATTCCTTGACAACTCCTCTGCTAACCTGGTTCAGCAGGTCAAGTGCATCTCTCTTAGCCATCTCATACACATGGCTGGTGGATTGGGGACCAGTGCCCAGCATCATACAATCCTGGTTTCTGGTGGTGACTACCATATTTCCACTGGTTGACTGTGGAATATAGTCACCCATATTAAAGGAAGGGTCATCTGCATTATCTAGCAACAACATCCAGTTGGATGTTTGCCCCCTGAACCACATCAGGGCATCCTCCCAATTTTTTCCAGCACCTTTAGCAGAGACTATGCTGGTGAGATCACTCTCTAAGGACTGAACAGATGAGGCATCAACCATGAAAACCTCAGAGAATCTAGACCCTGGTCAGTATATTATTGGTGAATGAACCAGAAAAATACTCACTGAAGATCACTCTGATGTTGCCAGTCATGAATGAATTTTAATGCAAGCTGAGTTTTGCCTGCCCCACCAGGGCCATGAAGCACAAATATGTGCTGCTGAACTGTGCCTCTGAAGTATTCATTCATCTGAGACAAGATGTCTTTCCTGCCAGTGAAATTGGCAGATGGAAGTGGAATAGCTTTTATCATGCTAGCACTCTCCTGCATAGTGGGTGCAGGGAGGTGATCCACAGCAGCCATCAAAACCTGGCCCCTGCCTCCGAGAAGCACACTTAGGCATGCATCCAACCTCGAGCCAACCTCTGACATCTGCAGATATCGAGTGGTGTGGGCAGCAACTTCACTCTGCCTCTCCCATGCACCCCAGTCCACATCCTGCATCCCTTGTGAGACATTGAACCGGAAGTACAGCTCCGGGTAGTTCACAAAGTGAGCCTGCAGCTCCTCTGCCACCTTTTCACAATCAACAGCAATGCCACGTAGGAGGCTGACTATGTCAGAAGACAGAATGGCCCGTGACACACTAGGTGTAGGCAAACCAATGGTCTGCGCATGGCCAGTGCCAATGCTGATCACCGCAGCGAGACTATGCTCGGGGTAGACAGACGCCGCCTCATGCAGCAGGACGCGGCAGGGATTATTCAACCCCAGCCCTGCATCAACAAAGGTACGGTGTATAACACCTTCCGCAACGGTAATGGGCTTGAAGTGCCCGGGATGGGCCGTCGTTGCACGAGCGGCCTCCCATATCATACAATTCGGGCTCGCATTCCTCGCAACCGGGTAGGTGCGAAGGAGAACGGGCTTGCCGGCGTTCATATTCTCTGCAAGGCTAGTACATACGAACCTGGTGTTGAGGTGAGTACGTGACCGCGTGGAGGTACGACCGGCTGTGACGTACACTTTACACGCATCGCCATCAAGCATACGTGCATCCTCGTCACCTCCGGAACACACGCCGACGACGTGCTTCACGGCCGCTGCGAGGGCCTCTGCCTTGAACGTCTCACGGCTGAAGGGCTTGAGAATACCACGACGCATGGTCTCGCCGCCGAGAGACTTGCGACCGTCGATATATACGCGTTTGATGAATCCGTCGTAGGCGCTGATCGCGTCGTCGATAGGCATGCGAAGACGGCCCAGCATCAGTGCGATGACGCTGTATCGAGACAAGGTGTAAACGATCAGCGATAAATACTAAGCAGACCCATCGACGGCAACGATAGCCGACGGTGGCTGGCGATGTACTCACCCGCCGGTGCCCGAGCCGCCAATCATATCGAAGTAGAGATGGGGGTCCGGAGTCGACGCGAGGTTTTCCTTGTGTTGGATCCGCCGCATCAGCTCGCGGATGATGAGCAACGCGGACATCCCGCGGATGCCCCCGCCGTCTGCGATAGATACGATCGAAAAAATCAGCGATGGCGGCAAAGATACTTGCCCAGGTTCACGCACCGATTGAGAGCAGTCGGAGGGGTTTGTTTTCGTTTTCAGTCATATTGGATACGTGTCAAGTAGGAGTTGTTCGGATAAACGATTAAGGTCGAAGAAATCTTGGTGGTGGGTGAGCGAGGAGAAGAAGGAAAGGATTCACGTTTCCCCCACCGTCGTATTATATCCTTGGGCGCCTGTTTTCGACGTCAAGCACGCCATCGCAGCGTGCAAGGCCAGCTGCTGTTCGGTGGCTGTCAGGCTGTCAAAGTGAACCGAGAGCAAGGCTCGTTCCCAGTCATACAGTACTGGCGCGAAGGTGTTGTTCACAGAGGGGACTCCAAAGGAGAGAAAGAGACAAACCAATTCCCCGGCGTTGCATTGTGTGTCTAGCACAGCGCCGCCATTCTGCCGAGTATTCACTGTAAGGGCGATTGAGCACAGTCCCGAGTAAACATTAGTACAAGACGACTGCGATGAGATGATCCGCAGCTTTTATAAGTGACATTCCCGAGGAGACGGCTGAGAGAAACTGGGATTAGTAAGCCTTCTACGACCCTTCGTCCTTGGTCCAGTCTTGCGGGATTCTCTGACTGACGCGTGTTTTGTAGCAGGTAGGGACGTGAGTTCAACGCGAACGCGCAAACTTGCGTTGTCCAGTACGTCGCTACCGGCAGGACCTTCCTTGAAGGATATCAAGAAAATAGCCTTGTCGTCTCACGACAGAGACAACGTCAGCTGGTATTGGCCATCCAGTTGAATACGGGTCGAGTTATATGCAGGGAGTCACATACCCAAGGGCTATCGGCATGGGCGGGGACGACAGAAAGGGGAGCGAATCGCGACAGTTAGTCCATGAGTCCTTGCTTGCTCTCCCACAAACTCGATTCTCGCCTGAATGGGAGTTGAGACGACGACGGATGTGAGCGACCTGTACTTCGCGATGTTAGCTGGAAAACGAATTCAACGTGTGTGTAGAGGTCGCGCGTACGCACCGCGACAAGTGCCAATAGTCAGGACTGTAAGAAGGAACGGGTAGCTGGAAAGTTAACCGAGGCCGGTGGAAAGCGAAGGTCGTCGTTTAGCTCATGAGCACTGTAGCCTGTAGGATGCGAAGGAGTATCGACTGCATGTTCGCTGAGAGAGAACGTTGGCCTTGGTGTGCAGCGTTTGAACAAAATGAGCTGGTGCTCAGTCGGGCTGGGTTTCCGCCCACGTCACGTCCTTATCCTTTCTTCTTCGTGCCTGGTTTCAAGACCATGATTGTATGGTGCTCGAGACTCGGTAGGTAGGCGCAGGAAATGAATCTCTTCTTCGTGCAGCATCTATAGTTTCGTTGTACCTTAGTGTACCATCGGCTGCATGTAAAACATCGGCTGCATGTACGATCGCGCGTCTGCGGTTTGGGCCATGCGCATCACTTCTTTTAGTGGGATGTATACTCTATGTTCGTTGGGGCAGAGAGAACGTGAGACACGGCAACCTTTCATTGAACATTAAGATAATAATAGCGTACGGCGTAATGGACTCGTGGGTACGAGCCTTATGTCCGATCCTCGTCCTGCGCTGCTTTCCTTCGTCGCTCGTTCTCCTCCCGAATGGCCTCTGCCAACCTATCCAGCTCAGCAGCACGTGCAGGGCTTTCCTCAGACTTCAAGGTGTCTGGGTTCGCCAGACGCATGCCCACCCTCCGCTTCACCATCCCGACATACCCAACCTCGCTCGGCGACCGGATGACCTTGTCGACGTGCCGCTGTTGCTCCGTCATCTTCGCCTGTAGATACGCAGGTGCCGCTTGGCGCTTACGCGCGATGCTCGATGGTGTCTCCACGCCTGCGCGCTCGCGTGCGCGTTCACGCGCCTTGTTCTCGACCTTTTCGCGACGTGCCATCTTGCCGAACCACAGCAAGCGGCGAAGGGCGGCAGGGTTGGGGGACCTGGCGCGCTGGAGGTCGAGTTTCTGCGAAGCATTGATAGATGTGAGTTTGTTGCGCATTGGGGATTCTGTGTTGCGATAGCGGACGGTCAAGGGTGAGCCCGTGCGTTAGAGCTAAGGGGATGATGGGCAATGCGACGTACCCCACTCTGATACATCGTGACCGAATGACATTTCGAACGGATCTTCATTCTTCCGGGGGGTCGTGGAACCCTTGGAGACGAGCTTGCCAAGCGAACGCTCAAATGCGCCTTCACCCTGCACGTCGTGCACCCAGTCTTGGAGGTCGACTAATTGCTCCAGGCGGCGTGATCGCGCAGCACGTCGCTTTCGTATCATGCCGTTGATATGTGCCGGCTGTGGTGAAAGTCGCGGGAGGAAGGGGTTGGAGGTGGTGTTGGAAAGAAAGGAGCCCTTGTTGATAGGTCGCGTGCGCAGCTTTTCCTGCCAAGCCTACATGATAGGTCAGTTACAGCTATGAGCGGCTCTCGAGAGCAGGGGTGGTGGAAAGAAGAAGAGGACGCACGAAAGCTTCACGTATGGTGTGTCTCCAGTACTCCTTCGAGCGCTTGGTGGCAATCATAGATTCGTATCGTTGAGTAACACGTTGGGGTTGCTCATCGCCTCTGCTTGCACAGTAGAAAGTGTTGAGGTACTTGAAGAGACGGCGTTGGAATGAGTTTCTACGCGTGACACGCCTAAGGCGTGCTCTTACCTTGTAACCTTGTCGAAGCTGACATTGTGCTTGGTGCGCACTCGTAGTGTGCCGGTTTTGCTCGAATACCATCCTCACGCGGAATTTGACCTATCGTAAACGAATTCAGAAAAGGTCAAGAGAGACATGGATGCGCTGCAAAATGAAGGACGGCACATACGTTTTCGCCAGGTGCGTATCTCAGCAGTCCTCGGTAAAGGGTCCATAGGGTGGGTATGCGGTGTTCTTGTAGCTTGTTAAACGAGACCTTTGGACGTGTTCTTCGAATCTGAGTGATACGTTGGGCGATTTGGGAGCGGTGGGCAACGGATGCAGGTGGTAAGGAGGGGACAGGCATGATTTTCCAGGCGCGCGACGCGAAGAGCCTGAACTGCTGACCCTAACCCCAATCCAAGGTTCGACCGTAGTTACGAACAGACGGCAGCGCCACAGCTCACTTTCCTTGGTCTCTTACACTGACGTCGATGCTCTCAAAGAAAACCTGAAACAGTCGGAAATTTTGGGAGTTTAAATTATTATGTTTCTTGTGCTGCTCTGTTTTTCTGGATCTAGACCTGCCTTCGGAGCTTGCTCAGGGGTCAGTATTTCGTGTGCAGTCAATCCCAGCGATGTTATCGGATGCAAAGAACGTGCTCGGAGAACGTGTTTGTTTCATGCGTCTCTTCTCTTCTTATGGTGGTCTAGGGAAAACAAGCACATGAAGATAATCTGGTGCAAAGGTGAAACTTCCAGGAACATTAGTTGGCGACGATCCCCCGCATCGATAGAGGTGTTTCGCTGGACACGTTCTAGATTGATGTGGCTCGTACGGTGCGTGCAGTGCGTTTCAAATGAGTTTTCGGATGCAAGGTCCTTATAATTTTCGAAGTGCCCCGAATCAACGATGCTTTCACGCAAGTTCCGGGTTCACGTTCAAGAAAAGTTCTCAATCGAAATATGAAGGCCGCTCACAGTTCACGTCGTTTGTTCCAATTTTACTTCTTTTTTTTGGCAGAGGTAAGAGAGAATTCTATCGGCCACGGCCGCAGTCTTCTGAGACCACACGATTTACCAGTGTTCAAGATGGCATGTGTGCCTTGCTACAGCCACAGAGACAGCGACCCGCATATGTCGGGTGGGATCGTTGACAAGTTACCTGAAAGAATCCCTATTGAACCAGATAAGTTTACCCACTATTGGCAATATACCTACGCTTGATTTATGCTAGCTCTCCTCAGGAAGCGTATAAAAGAGGGCCACTCGTTGACGAAATCCTTCAGCACTCAGCTTCATTTCTACTGCGACATTCTCTCACTGATACCTCAATGGCCTTTTCAGCTCTGTTCACCCTTGCCATTGCCGCGGTCGTTTCTGTGGCTCAGGCACAGTCTCTTACCGTCGTCAATTCCTGCAGCGAGTCCGTCTTCCTGTTCACCCAGAACAGCTATGGCACCATAGACAACGACGTCACGGTTGCCGCTGGTGCATCCGTCGACATGGGCATTAGCTCCAACTGGGACGGTGCCATCAACGTCGGCACCGGCTGCAACAGTGACGGGTCCAGTTGCACGACCGGCGGACCTACTTGGAACGGTGTTACGCCGTTCAGCCGTGCAGAGTTCAATTTCGTAAGCAGCATAACTCTTTTCCGGAAACCTTACATGTGTCAAGCTCATCAAACCCTTGGTCAATAGTGGGCAATCCCTGGGAGTGTCACATACGACATCTCTCTCATATACGGTTATAGTGTGGGGATGATGATCTCTTCCGCTGACGCGAGCTGCGACGCGTTTGCGTGTACAATCACAGGTTGCGTGAGTAGTCTCAGAGAATATATCTGGATAGATCACATACTTACTTTATTTTCGCTGGATATTAGCCTGTCCCCGGACCCGGAGATGACACTTGTTACTCGCCCTGCTGCTCTTCCGCTTCAGCGTGCGCCAATGGTGCCCTTCCCCTCGGCGGAGGTGGTTGTACCAACAACGCTGGCCCAGGTCCTAACAGCCCATTCTACTACAACAGTTGCTTCAATGCGTACGCGTTTCCTGACAACGACGGTGCTGGTGGGTCATTCGGTTTGGTTATGTCTGGAAAAAAGACGTTTATGCATTGTTGATAGATGGGTACACTCCCGCCGACTTTGTCGACTACACCTGTGGAAACACTGACATTACCCTTACTCTCTGCCCCGGTACTACTTCTCACTATACTGCGTGAGAAGCAGTATTTCAATATAACACGTACTGTAGGTTCAACGGGAAGTGTTCGTATCTTGGGTTTTTTTGTGGACGGAATACGTTTTTGGGCTTGATTTTTGTAATAATATCAATGTGATTACTTATGGTTCTTGATTTCTGTGTGGATGAGCAGCATGATAGCTATGAAGAGTCTTTTCCTCACCAGAAGAGACCTGTCACCGTGTCAGCAGGCCAAGCCATTTGGGCAACTATGGCCTAACGGGAGGAAATGGAACTCAAATAAACTTATTCCTCCCTACCTTTCTTAGTGACTCTACCATCTCGAGGTAAGAAGGAGATACGACTCAATTTCCTGGCCGACCAAGGTGGGATCAGCGTAAAGCGGGACAATCGTTCAAGGAGTTCTCATAGAGACTCGAGATGAAGGCGACAGGAAAAGAGCAATAACGGCTAGCGTTGAGGCATGCTGGTCAATAAAAGAACACTGAGCGATATCTTTCTCGTTTCGTACACATCAACGGTTTGAAGAGAAACTATCATTCATGAAGTGCTAGATGCCCATAAACTTCAAGATGCTTGCCTCGAATCTAGTGTATGGTGAATCGGACTTTCACCGGAACGGGGACGCGCGTTACCCCAGCGCCACAGCAACTTGAAAACTTCCATCTGGTATTACTACTATCCTGCAAGATGCCGCACCCATGACGTAAATCTCTCACTAACGCTGTGTACGACGCCGGAATGCCCTCAATCTTCATCGTAGCCGAGTTGGTAGGGTTTATTGCCGCAAGTCGTGATATTTACTCTTACGCCATCTGATATCCTCACGCGGAAAAGTTAACACGCCCAGATAAATAAGCAGCCAAGACCATATGGGTTAGCGGCCCTTCATATATTGATATCTGGGATCGTTCTGGTATACCGTATGCCAAGTTCTGTCCGGGTGATTGCCGAAAAATTGTCACCCTAAAACTTTGGCATCTTAAGCGGCTTTACCAGATACGAAGAATGGCATGGTGTATGTTTCATGTCATAACTCTTTGCTTACAATTTAAGATCATCAAAATGTTAATGAGAAGACACATTAGTGTCAAGGTCATCCTACGTCTAGGAAGACGCCAACTCGGATGTTGGTCAGATGCAGCTCTTACGTTGTGTGTTTTCATCTCAGTTTGTGGAGACGCCTCCATTCTTACCTTGTTATAGATATTTTCGGGATCTTCATACCGACGGCCTTCAGTCTGAAATGGCTTAGTGTCACGGATGTGTGTCCAAAAATAGAGACCCGGTCCTACCGGTGATATTTTATGGATAAAATTTAACCCCATCTCGCAGAATGTATGGTTTTCTGCATAAACATGGCCTTGACACGGCCCCAACGGGCTTCAAACGCTCGACAAGTCAGGTGGGCTCAGCTTGCGTAACCAGCGGCTGCGGACCGGGATATTAACTCCTTGTCAGCCACCAGACCAGCTTGCCCGTCGTACCACAGCAGCTACCTAGTTTAGATCCCGTCCTTGTAGTTGAATCATCATAAGTGCGATGCGGCAACCTCTCGTATTACGGAGTGACAGAGCATCACCCAAGTATTCAAGCCGTTTGAGTTTTCATCGTTGTAAGCGGTCAAGAAACTCCGTCGTTCACATGTTTTTCAAACGATTCCTTCCCGCTTGGATTATTGGTAGTTGAACTAATATCAAGGACGTAATCAGCGCTAATGGCGGCAAGTTTTTGAGACTGCCGAGTCGATAAAGAAGGAATCGATATTGACTTCAAGTCTACACTGGTAAGTAGATACTAGTAATAGTGCTATCCATTTTGATTTTCAAATTCAATGCCAGCATGCATTCTCGTAATCACTGCCTGTATTAGCTACCAGTAACATGTAACCACAGGCCATGTTTCCACACTAGGACAGTGTTGACTCTATAATTAACAGCATACATGGCAAAGAGGACCAGAAAAAACACGGCGGTAACTATCACCGCTTGATGCATTCCTATCTATCTTTGAGAACAGCATTTTTGGCAAGACTCTGCGCTTGTTTGCCTCTACTTGACAGTATTTTGAGGCTGTTTAATGCCGGTCGAAAGATCCGTTCGTGGTTTTGGACTCTTAATCCCGCTAGCTGCTATCTCTGCCTCGGTGCCGTAATATGACTGACATTTGTTTGTTGACGATGTGTATAAGCGGCACCTCGGATTATATCTTCGCTCTTAGTGCTCAAGTACATCGTATGACGAGGAAGTCATTTGGAAGGCATTCAAACTTTTGCAACTTGATAGGGACGTAGCTTGCGTAGTTGTTAGAATCCGGAGAATTCATATTCTGCTTCGACGAGGTGTGTTTGACATCGTCTCAGACTGCGAGGGTTGGCTTCTCGAATATTAGGGTTCGTCAGTGTATAGTTGTCACAAAACTCTTCCAAAACACGAACCTCTTTAGGGAGCGTACTAAAAGACGACATCTGCACCCTCATTTTCATCCAATACATTGGTTATTGAGGCGATGTCCCCTTTCCTAACACTGGTACTGAATTGCGGAAATTGCACTTCCAGATGGAATCCTCCGTCGGATCTCCCATCGCCAAGTTCTTCTGGTGCTAGTGTTTTTTCGAACCGCGGTTGAAATATGTGAGTCATTACCTCAGGCATCAAAGCTGCTTTCATTGCCAGTGTCGGCGAGGATGCCGAACTACAGCCACAAATGCAATGGTCCGCATGTGTCGCACAACGCCTAGGACAAGTGTCGTGAGTGACTGTTTACTTGACATATTTAGCTCGTCTAGCTTAAACAAGTGTCTACCTTTGGTTAAGTCGGGCGCCTGATGAAGGAGACTTGAGCGTATAAAAGAGGACATGTCCTCGGCGGAATCCTTCAGCACTCAGCTTCACTTCTACCGCTAACAATCTCACCGATAAACCGATGGCCATTGCTGCTCTCTTCACTCTTGCCATCGCCGCGGTCGTTTCTGTGGCCCAGGCGCAGTCTCTTACCGTCGTAAACTCGTGCACCGAGTCCGTCTTCCTGTACACCCAGAACAGCGATGGTACCATAGACAACGACGTCACCGTGGCCGCTAGTGGAACTGCCAACATGGGCATCAGCTCTGACTGGGACGGCGCTATAAATGTCGGCACTGGCTGCAACAGCGATGGGTCTACCTGCACGACTGGTGGACCTACCTGGGATGGAGTCACGCCCTTCAGCCGTGCAGAGTTCAACTTCGTAAGTAGCCCTTTCTTGCTATCTGAGACATCGCCTGCACCGAGATTAACCAACGTTTGTCAATAGTACAGTATCGCTGGGAGCGTCACATACGATATCTCCCTGATTTACGGGTACAACGTCGGGATGGAGATTTCCTCCGCCGACGCCAGCTGCGACGCTTTTGCGTGTGTTATCTCTTCGGGCTGCGTAAGTGCTGTCTGAACACATTTGGATATCAACATCGCGCTTACCATGAAACCGCTGCAAATAGCCTGTCCCGGGGCCCGGAACAGACACTTGCTACTCGCCGTGCTGCTCTTCCGCTGATGCATGCAGCGGCGGCGCTCTTCCTGCCAGCGGTGGTGGCTGCACCGACAATGCCGGTCCAGGCCCTAACAGTCCGTTCTACTACGATACTTGCCCCAACGCTTATGCGTTCCCCGACAACGACGGCTCTGGTGAGTGACTTGGCTTGGGTATGTTGGTAGGAAATGCTTACAGAGTATATTAGGCGGCTATACTCCCGCCGACTTTGTCGACTACACCTGCGGTAACACTGACATTACCCTTACCCTCTGCCCGGATGTAGGTCCTTCGGACTATACCTCTTGAGGGAGGAGGAATGTCATGGTGTACGATGTATGATTGGGACGTTGTTTTAGGAATTTTGGGGTCGATTGTGTACGGAATATGTTCTTGTGATTGACTCTTATAGTAACTACGTAAATGCAAAGATGGCTCTTGACCGTTGAACTTGTAAGCGATGTGAAAGTCAGTGACAAAGCTATGTCCTCACCAGTTGGATTTGAACCCATGGTTCCATGTCAAAGTTTCGGTTAAACCCTAGGTCAAAGGTGTCGGGTCAAGGTTGCCTTCCTTGAACCGCTACTAAAGAGAGATGATATCACCATAATCTGTAAAATGCCTGGTGATGAATGACTCTGCGGCGTTTTACTACTGATCTGGCCGTGTCATATGCAACGAACAGGGTACTCGTTCGATGAAGTTCCTTGAATCCGATGGCGCCGTCGAGAGTACTAAGAAAGCAAAGAAAATGTAACACCCTGGCCAGAAACAATAGCAGTGATCACTTGGCTGGTTGAACGAGCGTTGCAAATGCTGTCGAACTCGGGCTAATATCAAGTGGAAGTCGCATTTTCGAGGGTACCTGATCGACGCCCGTGTAGCAGAGAGCGATTCGGACTTTGAATCTGGGTATCGATGTGGACGCGCCCTCGCGCGCCGGCTTGTCTCCAACCCGAGAGTTTCTCGTCCGACTAGTACCCTCGCATGACAGCCAGGTGGTTTAGAATGTGCCTCGTCTTTCTTGGATGTCCTTCCACGCCCCTTACGCCTTGGGTGTCGCGGACGCGCGTACGGGCTCAACAACCTGGCCCCTGACTGGTTTTGCGACGCGTCAGCCACTAACGCGTCGCGTCTCCTTCTAAATCCGACTTTTCGCATTCCAATGATCCTCAGTGGAGCGATGAACGAGGCCTGTTTGGTTTCGTTGATGGCGTGTTCGAGTCCCCGTTCGCTCGACGACCCTCCTCTGGCTGTCGTCCGCGCACTCTCTTTGGCGCACCACCATGCCCTTCAATCCGTTCTCATCGTCCAGATCTTGCCCAAACACCTCGTCACAAGGCGTCGAGCTCAATGAAAAATCGCACAAACTACTCAAAAAGCCAAGCTTCTGGTCCAAGATCTCGAAAACGTTCAAAGGCGCGCACACTCAACACGAACCGCGGCTGAGACCAGAGCGTTGCGAAGCTCCGCGGAGGCCAAGCCGGCGTTGCAAAAGCATGGCGGATCTGGGAAACTGGCGGGGCGATGGTAGCGTAGGTGTCCACCCAGCTTCGCACCTCGAGACCCTCCCACGTTCTGGCTCAATTTCCGACCCTCTCGCGCCCTTCTCGCGTTATAATCCCTCCACTCAGCTCCAGACGGACCGCTGGTGCCAAGTATCCTGCCGCCTTGATCTTGAAGACTTGCCGGACTTCTCGTTCGACGACGTCCCCACATCTTCAATCATGTCGGTAGAGGCTATGGAGTCGGACGACGCGCTCCAGTCCAACGATAACCTTTGTGCTTCATCGGTGACGACCAGCTCAAACACGACTGCGCACTCGATTTCTACGGTCGCTCCCTCAGACTTCTATTCCGCAGGTCACAAGAACGTCTCTTTGTGTGAGCTTGCTGTCTCTCCGACCTTCGAGTCCGGCGTCGCTGCCACATCCGAGACGAACTTGCATATTTCTGGCCCGTCGGAGTCCGACCATCGTAAGCATATTGTTCTGATTATTACCACGTATCTCACCTCTCGGTAGGCATGTCTCGCTATGCTTGGGTCTCCGCCGCGCTCCAAAGTATCGGCCCCGCAAAGAAGACGGCTTCATGCGAAGACCTGTCTAGCACGCTGCACCCAGCGCCAGAAAGTTCCCAAGTCCCTTGTCCTTCTCGCCCAAGGCGCTCCGCGTCTATTTCTGATCTACGATCTCCTTATTCTGTCGTATCCTCGCCACCTCAACGTGATGTCGCCAACGCGTTCTCTCCTCTGTCGACTGGGTCGATGACGCCTCCGAGCCTTAGCCATATTCTCGATCTGGACCGCAACCTGGGGAACGTATGGGGCCTCACGCAGGAGGATGTGACTCTTGATAAAAGCGCCGCAGTCGGCAGCGGGGCACTTCCCAAGCCTGCAGAGGCGCTCCGCCCTCCACCGGCGCCAGCGCTTGTCAGTTCTTCGTGCCACATGCCCTATACACCTGGGTGCCGGCTGTCGACGATCTCTGAGGCGTCGGAGACGGTCACGGTGGCGTCTGAAATGGTAGCGTCTGAATATCACCACCGTGAGGAGATACTCCCGGTTCGTGGACGATATGTGCCTTTGGGCCAGCCAAAACCTCCTCAGAACGCGACTCCGCTCCGGTCTTTCAGCGTACCTTCCCATACCATGTACATGTTTTAGCGCCGGCGCATTGGGGCTCTGCCGAGGACTCTTTTCCTGCGTGTACTTTGTACCTTAAAACTGGGGATGTGTGGTTCGGTGAATAGAGTTGGATTTTGTACACTTCATTGTGACTTTACCTCTCGGGAGTGTGCAACATATGTTTGGCATCTGTCAGAGGAGCTATTAGCGCATGTTCTTTTGTGTGTCACTGGTAAGTGTGAACGTCGAATGAATGAGGAGCAATCAGACGATAAACGACACCATATCAGTGAGTCGTGCATATGCTTGGCGCATGCGATAGAGAGCGATCGGCTTAGCCCATCGTCTACTGTCTAAAACTCTTTGAGTTACAGTGGGCCGAGCGTAATAATGATAGCGAATAAATATATGGCTCTCTCTGATGTGTGTAGACGGTGGTGGATGCTTCAAGCATACCACGAAAGAGTGGTGACGCCGACAGGGAAAGAGTACGCAGCCTATACATCGTGTTTAGCGCTCGCCAAAACTCGATAAACGGAGGTGAATCACGTACCTGCTTCCCGTTGAACTCGATGGTGGAGTTGACAGTCCCGTCGGACGAGCCGTCGTTCCTGGATTTGTGAAGGTGAGCTTCATAACATGCGTTGGCCGGCAAGAGACGCACCAGTTGAGGACGACGAGGGAGTAGCGCGCAGGGTCGGACGAGGAGACGCGCTCGGTCTTGTAAGCGCCGACTCGCAGAGCCCAATCTTGGCCGCCGGAGACGGAGACGCCGATGCGCTTTCCGTAGGGGCCGTTAGGGTCCTTGGGGACAATGGCTTTGGCGGCTTGACCCAGTGCGTAGACTGTATTTTCATGTGCACAGCTAGTGAGTGATCTCTCAGCGTTGGGGGCGGCACCGTGCGCTCACATTCTTGGTTGGCGGTCCATGTGCCGTCGCTGTTGATGGTGACGACGCCTCTGCAGCCTCCGTTGCAGCTGTCGGCGCCGGGGAGCTTGGGGCCGCCGCTGCTGTCCAGGGCCAGGTTCCAGATCATCGCGGACGAGGAGCCGTATTCGAGGCTGCCGATGGTGATTTTGTCTGTGTTTGACTTGAGAGTGTTGGTGTCATGGGGAATATACACGTTGTGCATGTGGGGGGTGCTCACTTTGATATCGGACCACCAGTCTGAGCCGATTGTGCCGCTGCATTCGGTGAAGAAGACTTCCTAAGGACAAAGGAGCATGTTAGCACGTCCACGCAGTCGCGAACTGCGGGCTTCTGTACCTTGTCTGGGTATTTCGAGGTGAAGTTCGCCTGGTCTTGGTACACCGAGCCATCGCCGTAGCAGTGGAAGGAAACGCCGTCGAAGGAGTCTGCAGCCGCATCCATCTAGAGCAAAGATATGAGCTTTGTTTGAGAGTGACGTCGAATCGGGGTGACGTACCAGCTGCACGGGGTAGGCGTCCGCGTGGTTCCAGTTGTGTTCGAAGCCGATGAGCTTGACGTCAGTGAATCCGTTGTCGTTCATGAGCCCGCGCAGGCTCTTTCCGACTGTGGCTTCGGTGTCGTAGGGCATGTCGGTGCTAGGGAGGGATCCGTCTGCGTTTTCGGGCTCGTTCTGTGTGATGTCAGGGTCTGTGATTGTCTACAATCTGAAGAGGACCCGCCTGGATAGCGATGGAGAAGATCGGGATATCCTTGCTCTTGAAGGCCTGAAGGGCCTTGAGTAGGTAATTTGCGACTTGGCTGACGTCAGAGGTGGAATAGTGTATGAGGCATAGACTCACGGAGATCTTCATTCCCGCTTGCCAATGTTCCACCGTTCATTCCCACTGGGTCCTTCATCCATCCAGGCTGGTTAAGGGTCAGCCTTTCCGTTCGAACGAGGTGAGGAAAGTGGGATGCATACGGCAGACCAGGGGAGAGCGTGGATCATGATGTTGCTATTGATCGACAAGATGTCTGTCAGAGTGGAGAACAAGTATGACGGTGCAGCATCGGCGCTGAACTTGGCCAGTGTGGTATCATTGTTCGTGTCGTCCCAGCTGTACTCTGCAGACGTTATGAACTTGTCAAAGTGCTCGTCTGTACTTCGCTGTGAGTGCTTACCGGTATCTGAGAAGTCGGAAGCGCCGATAGAGACGCGAATGTAGGACAGTGCGCCAGAGTTGGCGCCGTCGGTGACTTTTTGGAGGACGATATACTGAGCAATGGAGTCGTTTGTGTAAGAATCGCGAGCTTACCATTGAACATGTAGTCCATAAGCTTCCAGTACTCATCCGAGTTGTTGCTCTACACATAGCGTTAAACGAGACCTCCAAGCGAGACATTGCTTTCTTACCTTCAGTCCATCAAACAGCTTGGCGGATGAGTCAGCTATACGACGTTGTCAACTGATTGGATTAGAAGTGCAATCTCACACACGTACTCAGTGTCGCGCCAAAACCGTAGATGGTTTGGTAAACTTTCGAGTCGTCGACTGAGATGTCGGCGTTGCCAGCTGTCCCAGGTGTGCCAAAGTTTATCGAAGTTGAGGGCTGTGTTCCCTTCAGCAGGGAGCCCTTATCTTGCGTTGTCGTCCACTATACCTTCATTAGATGTGCACAATAGAGATGAACAATGACAACGTACGACATCAAGGATCTGCTGGGCAGAGATACTATGCAAAACAAGCGCTGCGCTTGCTATAGAGAGGAGACGCATAGTGGGATGTGCTCAACAGGATCTTTACACGCGGTTTAAAGCTGCTTCTTCAGGTGCTGTGGGCGAGTAGTTGCGGACGCCTTATATGGGGATTGTGCCGCTACGTGATGCGTGGCATCGCTGCCGGCTGTCGTCGACGAGGTGGTGGGCCGACGTAGAAGCAGAGCCCTGTTGGCATGCCGCCATCACAGTTGATCGCTTATGAATGGGAGGTGCAGAGAGCGACAATTGAGGTTATGATGGTGCGTGCCCGTTCGTTCGCATACTTTGAACAAGTAACATCCGTTTTGCTGCATTGTGTAGTCGCGGACACCGGAGAGTGCGGCAGGTCGTGGGGTCGAAGATGGCATAGCGATCAATACCGCCACGTAGCGGGTCGAATGGCCCTTCTTGAAAGCGGGTGACGAGCGTCGATCGCGAAGATCAAGGAGTGGAGTATCAAAAGGGTCACCGCTCGTTCGAGTCATGATCGTAGGGATAGTACATTGGTCGTCATGTTGCCGATGGCCTCGTTCGTGGCTGAGCGCTGCCTGAAAGGGCAAGGTAAGAGGTGTGGTGCGGAGAAAATCTATGGAATGTGTTTGGTATTCTGGGCAGTCTTGAAGCGCTCAGCAGCCTGGAAGATCAGAAGAGCCGAGGCCTACCTCGTCATCGTTGTCGGACCAATGATTCGCAAGATGATTTGGCCGCTGCGTCGCGGTTGCTAGCGGTTACATCCCAACTAAAGACTCACGCTGTGGGCTCCACAGATGATATAAGCTGGTGACGTCGCAGGCTGATAGCTCGACCTCCGAGGAGCAGTAGAACTAGCATGTGTATATGCATCTGGGTGTAGTTTCTGACGAGGCTGCCTTGTATACAGTATGGCGATGCCCAAGCGCTCAAGGCTGACAGAATATGTCAGGCGTGTGCAAGACGGATGCCTCATGTAAGTAAACCTCCGATTCATCATCACCTAATGAGCAATGATGAAGTGGAGGCCGACTCGGGGGCAGCCCGGACATTGAGAGACGTTTCAAGCAGCGTACATAGTCGTGATAAACATCGCCGCACACAAGTCGCTTTCGAGTCGTAACCCTAACCTTAACCTACAAATCTACATCCCGAGAGCTTGGCGGTACAAGGCAATCATTGACGTTGACATGGATACCCACGTAGTTTGCCGAGATGTCGCGTTCGTGAGAATGAAACTTCTTGAACTTGAACCGCGATGTGGATCAATGGTGAGCCGGTCCACCTCTGTCGTCTTGCATAGGCTTGCTGTTGAGTATGTCCCATAACGTTGTATGACCTTTTAATGACTCACAGACACAAAATGCTCGTCATCGTAGGGTGTCGCTTTTTTCATGCGGTTTAGTCGAGGCCCAAGGGATAGAATGAAGGTACGGTCAAGGCTACGAGGTAGTCCCAACTTCCTAGACTCTCTGTGCGCGTAAGGAAGTACTTTATGGGTTGGTGGTGCGACACGGTATGACGAGGCAAGTTTCAGTCACCCAATGACTGCGATTGAAAAATTAATCAAGTTGGTGAGTAAGTCGCGTTCAAAGGCGTTGTTGACTATGGAATAGGGCTCACTACGAACTTTATAATAGCAAAGGTACACAAACCTGGGGCTATCATCATGATGTTTGTATGCGCCTCGCCTAAAGCTGTCACTAGGCGACTCTATATGGTCGGTAACCCACCGTCCCGAAAGATGTGCGTGGCTGAGTTCGACTTTACCCAAAGTAGTCTAACCTACTTGATGTACATTCCGCGTCAGCGTTTGTATCTGCGAGAATGAAATCGTACGTTCGTTAGGTCCAAGCACCTTTTCTGGCTTACGGAGGCCATCATAATGTAGGCGAGTAGCTACGAATCTCTCTACGGTGCAGTATAGTTCTAACACTGCCATCTTTCAGCATGACTTTGGATATCCTCTCATCGTAGAGTCGATGAGATCAAAGAGGCCAGCTTGCCATAGAACTCGCATGCTCATATGTCCGCGGTGAACAATTACTTTGAGGGCGCTAACGCACTAGTGGCGGTGTTGTATGCCAATCTTTAGACATAGCTCGAGAAGCCGTCGGAGTCGAACGCTTGTAAGGAATGCTAGCATCCAGTTCGCCTCCCTCTCCGTTCAACCTAGCTTGTGCATACACCCAGCAGACCCACCGCCTCGCGAATTGTTTTCACGATCCACACCATGTTCACCTCCACAGATTCTCTCCATTCATATCTCTCGCAAGTCGGAGACGTAGACATTATGGCGGACTTCGTCATCACCTTCATCTTGGTCCTCGCCTTCATCATAGTCTCACTCGACGGCGACGTCAAGCGGCTCGCCAGCGACGAGGATGATGGCTTCATCCCGCCGTTCCCCGGTTCCACCACCGCGTTCTTTTCCTTCCTGTCGCAGGACATCATCTGCGAGTCCAGGATCCCCCAGCTCGTCAACACTGCCGCGTGCCAACCCTATATCCTGGGCTCATCTCCCTCGATTCCGTCTTTGACACACCCGCGTAAGTCGCGTCACGCCACCTCTTTCTTGTAGCTAACCATACCACAGCAATCCCTCAGGTAGTCTCAATACCTGTTCGGTCGAATATGGTCAACGAGGATTGTTCTGATGCCAACACCATCCCCGCCATCATGGTCACGCCGTCGGAAACTCTCGGCTTTGCCCCCACTACTATTCTCGAGTCTCCATCTTCCCGTAGCACCACGCCCAGCTCAGACCGTTCCTCTATCTCCCGAATTCCTCGGCTCGTCATGCGGTCTTTCGCTCAAGATGAGGTGGTCACCTCTACTCCCTGCGGACTCGGCTCTGGTGCCCGCCGGGCCAAAGGTAGCGTTGTCAATACCACGCGGTCTACGAGGTCCCCCACTCCTTCCTCTACCAGAATTCATACTCCTTCACCGGTTCCGTCCCGATCTCCTTCTCTTGCTCGATCTCGTACGCCTTCCCCAACCCCTTCTCGTGGATGTCCTCCGACATGGGATCCTTTGAACGGCCGATACTCCCCCTGCGGCCGCTGTAATCATCGTCACAGTCGCTCTGTTTCCCCTGGCCCTCGAAAGCAACACCTATCCCTAAGGTCCAGAAGTGTAAGCCCAAACCCCCGATCCAGCTCTGCCAATTCGAGCGGAAGCACCGGTGGTAGCGAGACTCTGGTCCACTCCGACGTCAATGACAGTAAAGACGCATCTACGTCGTCGACAATCCTCACCGACGAAGAGCTTATACCAGGGTTCGCTGAAATTGTGGACAAGCGGGCGAGTCAGAACGTGGAAAAGATCTTATCTAAACGTGCATCCTCCGCCGCACCTTCCTCTGCCCCCGCCTCTGTTGCCATCATTGAGCAAGACTTGTCAGCAACATCGTCGCCCTCGACGCCGACCGAGGACGGCCTTTACTTCAAGGATATCAACCTCATGAGCATGGAGAGCATCATCGCTGAACGAGACTTCATCCTCGGGTGCCTCGCAAGTCCCCGGAGTGTCGATTCGATCTTTAGCTCCGATGACGAATCTGACATCGGCTCGGAGGAGTCTCAAGAGGGGCCTGACACGGGCGAGGACGACGAACCAGCGGCTACACAGCTCATCGCCAGCGACGATTCACCCATCGAGATCACCAATGACTATCACTTACTTCCACTCATCCTGAACATCGTCACAACTCGGAAGGAGGTCATCCAGCACCGACATGACGCCCTCGCAGAGCTCGAAATCTGCGCTCGAAAGGCAGAAGAGGTTCGCAGCGAGCGCGACAGTTTGGAGAGCACGTGTAAAGGGAGCGGCCATAGTGATTTTGGTCGGTTTTTCTTTCCCATCCGAAGCCTGTCAATTTCTGACGCCTATCTTCAGTTGGACTTGCTGGCTCGGCCGACGCGTACAGGTCCATGGGTGCTATGCTCTCGCGTGCTGTCTCGCCGGCGCCGGCGGGGATTCCCGACTTTATATCCCTGACGACAATTCTGAAAGCCGAGCTCGCGAACTTGAACCGACAGAGTGTTCATTGGAAGATCACGGCTACGCAGTCTTCCAAGCGTCACAGTTTCCTCGAGATCGAGCTTGCTGCGCTTACGCACGAAGTGCAACGTCTTTCGGTTGAACGGGAGCAAGCTCAGCTGGACGTCACTATCTCTTCGCCATCCTCATCGCGGTCAGCGTCGCCTCCACCTTTGCCGCAGTCCACGTCGTCTTCAATCACCAGCATTGTTGAACCTTCCTCTACCGAGCTGTCATCGACCATGTCAACTTCTCCTATACAATCCCCGACTGCAGTAATACCTTCTCTCGAGACGTCATCGCCCAATGATCCCAACTCTTCGGTCCTTACAGCGACCATCCCATCTTCGTCAACACTATCCTTGCGAACGCCATACTGCTCCGAGCTGTCCTCGCCGCCCAATCCATCCTCTCCCGTGCCACAAGTGACCATCGACGATGTGACGTCTATACCTTCTTTGGCGACGGACCATATCATGCTCGAAGCCGCGTTTGCCCTACATCTTCCGGCTCTACCTCAAACCACAATGACATCGCTCGTCACTTCCACGATGCTGTCGCCTCCCGTCGTGGGCAGTCCGCGCGATGGCGCGGATAACCCACCTCAGTCCCTTGTTTCCATGGCCTCCGGTGATTCGTATACATACGACCGTTATCGCGAACGCTTAGAACATGGGACGATCACTTTGCGTGGCATCGACGTATATGAGCCTAGGCGGCGGGACAGGGTATGGAAGAAGGTGAAGAAGACGTTCAAATCAAAGTCGAAGCGCAAGGACGAGCACGAAAAGTATGGCCACTTCCCCGAGGGCTGGAGACTGGAGGTTCTTCGCGAGCGGCCGAAGAAGAAGACGTGGAAGAAGGTAATGACTATGGGCTGCTCCTGCTAATCGCGGTTGGGACCTGGGCTTTACCATTTGCTTATCAGACTTTGCTCGGTCGTGTATCCATACCATCATGGTATCTTCATCGTCATCGTGAAGACGACTTGTATCATCATGACATCGACACTTGTATCATTGCATTCGTGTATACCTTACCTTGCATCGGCATCTGTACATTAGAAGCACTATCCCTTTACTGTACGACATGTGTATCAAACATGACCTTTGATTAAGCATCTACTAATTCGAATCTCATGACACTATATACGTGTAAATCTAAGATACTCGTTCAAAGTTTGTCAAGGACAAGACTGACCGTGTCGTCGATAAGATCGATCACTTTGTCACCCTGCTCACAGTTTGGCATCCGGGGTGCTTGAAGGAGCGAGTAGTCTCTGTAGTCCATTCCGCGTCCCTTCTGGTATCGTCGCGCTCTTCCGGGACACTTGCTCCACGAACACATGGGTATAACCGCCGACGGCGGCCGGGCGCTCCGCGCCACGTTTGAAGACGCCGACCTCATACACGACTGAGCTCCTGCCGAGGTGGTTGACCCTTAGGCCGAGATCCAGAACGTCCGGGAAGGAGAGGGGTGCAAAGAACTTGTTCCGGCAACGCAAAGTTTGTCGTTGCGAGGAGGCCAAATTTGAAGTTCGGGGACACCGACGCGCCGACGTATGTTGGTAGCGTGGCATGGCCAGACATGATTGAGTTTGGGTGAGCGCCGCGAACGGACGGTTGTTATGTGCGTACGTGAAGGGCGACAAGGGTCTGCTTACCTGGCAGTGCGAGGAGACGACGAGGCCGATGTGGGGCGACTTGGCGGGTTCGAGAGCGCAGTGCTCGATCAGGTATGAGTTTACGATGGAGTCGAAGAGGTGGTAGTATATGGAGTTGTTGATGTGCGAGTACTGGTCATTGTCGCTCCTGGAAAAAGTGTTAAGGTGCAATATATCGCGAGGTGATTCGAGGTGGTTCCAGAGTGCAGGACGACGCAGCGCCGACGATTGCAGCGGACATATTCATGGACGTGGGACCCGCGCCAGGGGAAATTTGTCATATGGGGAGATATTGAAAGCTTTGTCAACACGGGAAAGATCGGGGACAGAGAGACGGACCAGCGAGTGCGAAAATCGAGAAAGTATGGGTAGTCTGATCGAGTGCGGCGTTTGGCCTCATCGGTAGCCATGGTGTACAGGCGGTGCGAGCGCCAATTGCGCAGCTGCTGGCCGACAGAAAAGACTTGCAATTGTCGGAGGAGCATGGACCCACTCTAGCAAAATGGAGAGCTCTCAGAGTCGGCTCCGAATCGGGCCCGGAGTTGCGGATGCCGCCGGTCCGAGCAATAGCCGCTCGTCCGGCTTCCCGATCAAAACATGAGCATTTGGATAATGAATGACAGTGACCGTGACCGTCGCTGACGTCGGCTGGTCCCTGCTGGTCCGCACGTTTCTGATGTCGATCTGCATGGATTCTGTCAACGAAGTGGCACGGTGGGCCGATGGCGGATCACGCTCATGAGGACAATGTTGCTTGCCGATGCCAGGGGATGAGTAGCTACTCTGATGGTCGATTTATGGTTAGATGAGGGCCTCTATCAGAAAGGAGAGAAGAGTGGACCCGACTCTGATAGATTCTTGTCGCGTGGCGCGTCTGTCATTCGTAGATAGGGGGAGTTGTACGCAGTTCCCGCAGCTGGTTCCGCTCGTCTCAAATTCGAGTTGGTCCCGTGCATCTGCAATTAATTATTAGTACACTCGTCGTGCCCAAGAAATTTGACCTCCAGTCGCTCGGTGCAATACAGCACATTCAGCATCACGAATTGCAATTCTTTTACCTGTGCACACAAATATACATCGGAATGCAGAAACCTTGAAACCTTCCGGCCCGGTGGCCGCCGTGTTCGAATGGGTAGGAGCGCTCGGGCTCAGTCCTCCTCTGTCGTTGTGCCACCAGTGACCATGTTTACCTCCCTGTGATCAAATATTGGCTACCCCAAAAAACATTTTCAGTTGTCAAAGCGAGGTACATGCGCTTAGTCTTGGCCTCTACTGACAGTCATCCATTCGGAATGAGTAGAAAACACCTTCAAAACCGCACATTATTGGGCGTTCTCCAGCTAGTTTTACTACTATTGAGTGCGTCATGATCGACGTGGGTACAACGTGGGGCCGGGCACCTGGTATCAAAGAACACGAGCGCACTCATAACATTTTTTTCCTTTCCATGAACACAGTCGGATGCACATGGTCATTCGTTTTCAGCAGCGGACCTCCGTCTTGATCGTCGTGTATCATCAGGTCCCCGCAGTGTCCTCACATGTGAGATAGCACGGGAGGAAGCGCCGTAGATAATGCTCAGTATATGTGTTCAATCACCAAGTTTCGTAAGTTGCGTGGCAATGTGCACGCCCTGTGACATCATTTTGTTCTCACAAGCATCTCTGCTCGCCGCCGCTGTCTGGAGTGGTACGGGTGCTCGTGACCGCCCAAAACGAGGCATTCAGTGTTGATATGTGTAAGTTTAGAGTTTCACGAGTCGCTCCTTCGGAGAGAGCGAAGGAGTGCCACTTTCATTGAGAACTGCGACCTGAGCGGTACCCCACCCAGCGACACGGACAAACTTCGCATTTATGCGCCCGAAAGAAGGCCAGAGCGGTTCAGAATTCGAAGGCGTTCGCGATCATACAGCCTCCGCCAGCGAACGTGATGCGAGCGAGAACAAGTGCCTGCCGCTTTTCATAATTCAGTCCGCTCGCTGCAGCCACCCGGCTCCCGAAATATACGCACACATCCATCCATCCATCTATGTATGTATATCAGCGAGAGGGTTTTTTTGGCATCGTAGCGGCGTCGCTTCTTTTCGAGAGCGTGGCTGGCAATTTTTGGAAGTATGGGATCTCTCACCGCCGTCTGCCGGGTTAGGTTCGGGCTCCGGCGAGGAGCGAGGCCGCCACTGGAACCGTGTAGGCAGTTAGGCTCGAGCGAAAGAAGTGCGGTCTCGGGCGCTGTTGACTCGTTCGCGTGGCTGAGGGCAGCCAGGGTTCGCAGAGCACCGTGGGGTCCAGAGAAGACGATGAACTGAGATCGCTGCTTACGTCGCCCCGTCTCGGTGAGATATGGTGCGAGGCTGTGAATGCTTGTGGGGCGGGGGCGGTGGGTCACCCGCTGCTCTAGGTGTTCTTTTTTCTTTTCTCATTTTCTGCGCCGGCGGTGGTCGCTGGCAGTCGACTTCCTTCGATTGGCTTAGAGATAACGTACATCGATCTAAATCGCCGGGACTCATGGCGTCCGCGGGGTGTGGTCTGCAGACCCCAAGGCAAATGGGACAGAAGCGTTCGACGACGGTGCTTGGAATATCGTACCGCGGACTCGGGTATACAACGTGTATAAGGCTGCCGTGCGGCCAGCCCGTTGATACCCGCGCAACATGCCTCTTTTGAATGAAACTGTATGTCGGTTATGGCGGCGGCGGCGCCGAGATAAGTGGTAGCATGATAACGTGGCCCTTGCGTATCATTGCGAACGTTGGAAGTCGTGCCTCATGTAGCTCAAGATAACATATAAAACGCAGAGGCATGCGTAGGGCGCAGATTGACGTGCCCACGCGTACCTACATACATGGCATCTAGAGCCTTCCGATTGTAAGATAGTCGAATTAGCACAGGCGAGAGAAATGTATCCTTTGGCGCAATTGCGGCGACATTACGCACCGCCTCGAGAATGCTTCTGTCTAAGAAAAGGGGACTCGTGGCAAGGTTTCACGAAAGTTGGAGTCGCAGTGAATGTAGAGCTGTCTGGATGGGTAGCAAGTGAAAGTGTTTCAATAGCGTCCTGTTGTCGAGGTTGGACGTACCGGATCCTTTAGCCTCGCACGTGGGGAGAGCCCGAAGCTGGTCGTGCGTTCGGTCTTTGTAGAGCGGGGAGAAGAGCAGGGGCCTGGGTAAATTCGAACTGAGCATGAGCGGAGGAGATAGGTCGAGTCCTGAAGCAGCGAACTTCGCGAGGAACAAGGCAGGAGAGGAACAACAAGGCAAGAACTCGGCCTGGGTCGGTTGGCGAAAAGAGGGTATGATGCAAGCGTTGGAAACAATGATAAGATTTGAACTGTGGAGGAGTGCAGTATGCGGATAGGGCGGAGATGGTGACTGAGCTGCGATTTCTGATTCTATGCTCAGACACGGAAGACACGGAGCTCAGACCGGAGAAGGCGCGCTTGTGTGATAGCCACGTGGACTCGCGGAATCGCGGTAGAAGATTGGATGACTGAAGTGGTGTTTCTGAGTATTCCAGGTTTGCAAGGGGAAGATCATGCTCTATCTTTGCTGCACTCGATTTGATTCAAGTAAACGCAGAACGTTGGCGAACTGAACAGTGGAGAAGCCACGGCCAAGAGCGGTACAGTAGGATTGCGTGATCGCTATCAGATTGAGAATGGAGGAGGGCGTGGAAGGTGACGGGCGTCCGGCGAGTCCCGATTGACGAGGTATGAGATCGGGAGTTGGAAAATGTAAGTTTTTTTTGTCGCGATGGTGATGTCGTAGCATATGCACAGCTGCATGGGACGCATGGAGAGGCGGCACTAAGCGCAGCAGCTTCCCCTCGTTTCAAAGAAATGGCTGAGGAGGTACGTCGATCGTCACGACATGGGTTACGCCGGAATGGTGGCCCGGGCTCGGAGACGGTGGGTATTCAAACGGTCGAGAGAATGGAACAGAGAATGTTCGGTGGTCTGAGCGTCTACTGACAAGGTATGAAGTGAATGGCTCTGTACGAGCTGCCAGGCGGCGAGAAACTAAAATTAAAAAAAGAGAGGGACGGAAAGGGTGCCGGGATTGTGCGAATGACGAATTGTTTGAAGGCTGGCAGGCACAGGGACCTAGAGCGTCGTCGGCAGACCTCCAGGGTCACGGCAGGTCACGGTGGACGACCCGGAGACAGTAGAAGGCAGGCTATCTGGGAGATCTTGGATGCTGACATCAGGAAACAGGAGTCTCCTATGATTAGGTTTCCCTTCTGCGCTCACTCTGGGAACCCACATTGTCTCCGAGAGGGGACTCATGTCCTGAAAAAGAACAAATTTCACAAGAAACAAGATTAATAATCGACGGAAACAGTATTCGAGTTGTGTCATTTCCCGTGTCATCCATACAGAACTCACGATACCTGCTCTAGAAATTGGAAACGTGCTCCTGCTCCCGTTTCCCGGACGGTCGACGCCGGCATATAACAAATTCACTCAGAGGGTCATCGCTCGTCTCCGGCACGAAGACGGCGGTCCACTTGATATCACCCTCGCCGCTGACTCAACAAGGTAAGAGTTTAATATTCCAATTGGCTCTCCAAAAGATCGCCACCCGCCGAGATTCAAGATATGTCACAGTCGTCTTCAATTCTGTCTTCGTGGCCTTTTGTCCTTTTCTCTCTCCTCCTCTCATCTCAACTCTTTCTTCTCATCCCCCGCACTCGAGCGACCGTGAGTAGGACATGGTTTCTGACCACGCTTATTTGCCCCCAGGCCATCTATACGTCCCGAACAACTCCTCGGCCACGCACTCCTCTATAAAGTCGGAGGGCGCGTCCTCTCCCAGAATACCCGCAGAGTCATCGCATCACTTTCAGTTTCACTACCCAGTTCCTTCTCGCTCGGCGCATACATCCCACCCACACCATTACTCTCAGCACCGCTCCTTTCAAGAACCGCCCCGCCAGCAGCTATACCAATTCGACTCAGACTCACCCATGTCCGTCTCCTCTAACCCGTGGAGCGTCCCCAAGCGTAGCAACATCTCTCTCGACCTCAACAGTCTCCAGAACGGCATGTCCTACCATGACGAGTATGATGACGGTGATGAGCTCGGTGACTTGCCCTCGGGTCTGAGTGCCAGTTCTCTCCTCCCCAGCCCCGGCGGACAGTCAGGGGACAAGATCGTAAGGAGACGAAGCAGCAAAGGTACGCGCTCAAGCGCCCTCCTCGACCCTCTTTCTTCGGTCACTCAACCTTCTTTCGCTTTTCAGCATGTGACCAATGCCGAAAATCCAAGTGCAAATGCGAGCGTTCAGATGGCGACGCCTGCAAGAGTTGCGTTATGCTGGGCACTCGTGCGTGAAGTTTTTTTGTGTTGCTAATCAAATCATCGGGTCAACTTACGCGCGCCACGGCCCCAGCTTGTACGTTCCTCGGCCCGTCGCGTAAACGCGGGCCCCCAAAGGGCTATATTGACGCCATAGAGGCGCGCCTGCACCAGACGGAGGCCCTGTTGGGCATCCTCATCGGGAGCGATGATGATCGAGCCAGGGGCGTCCTTAACGATCTCTCTAAGGTGACGTCTCCATCATAGTACGTAATCGGCACTTTATCCTCACCGACGCATTTCGGATATCCAGGATCCACTTGCACGGGAGATCATCAATCGTGTTGACGGCTCGCCATATGGTTCCAAGGGTCGCAAGAACGGGACCGCTCCAGGTCCCAAGACGCGTCCTGGCTCGACCTCGCCGACAGACGGATCAAGTGAACAGATCAACCTGCAGTCTACTCAGTGAGTGCTCTGTCATCTCGCCACGCGCCGTTCGGCATACAGATGGCTAACCGGTCGTTTCGTGTTTGTGTTAGCCCATCCAACGAGTGGCAGGACAAGGTCGCAACGCTGCTAGCCCGCAATGGCATCCTCCACAAGCAGGCCGATGGTGTCTCCCTCAACGACCCTCTAGCGCTCACTAGACCTTCCGGTTCCCAAGAAACCACCGAGCAGCATCCGCCAAGCCACCAAAATGGCGGCGAGTCACCGGATCATGTTCGCAGACAGCGACGCAGAGTTGAAGCCGAAGGTTTTGAATACGAGAGGCCCTCTTCGTCGTCTTCTGGGGGTCAACTTACTACGGCTTTCGGTCGTAGAACCAGCCCTGGCTATCCAGGTGCTTCCCCCATTCATGGAGGCAGCGGGGCCTCCTACAGACAGGGTAGCTCCAGCTCCGTGGACTCGGAGTCCGAGGACGAAGTCACCGATGCGGTAGGCCAACTTAGCCTTAACGAAGACGAACAGGTGCGCTACCATGGCAAGGCCAGCGGGCTCTACCTTTTGGGAATCAACCAACGGCAAGAGGCGAGGAACGAGGGCGGCATCTGGTATGCGATCTTACCGCCACGTAGGGGGGGATTGTGCTGTAACACTAACCCCAAAACCTTTCAGGCGTTTTCCCAAGGCCAGAGTGTGGCCGCCGTTACCTCCCGGCGCGCGAGATAGCTCGACGACGCGGTCGGAAGTCCCGGAGGACGACAAGCTACCGTCACCACAGTTACAGGAACACCTCCTTGAGCTGTACTTCACGTATGTTCATCCGGTGTTTCCGGTTCTCAACAAAGCTGCGTTCTTCGAGGCATTCAGACACGAGTATGGCCATTTCCGTTTATCTGTAGTGACATTTCTCTGACAATGGAGTCGACAGAGGTAGAGCTGTCGAGTCGCCTGGGTCCCCTGCTTCCGATGGCCAGGCCCGATCTCCGAGCTCTATCATACACAGACCAAGGCGCGTGCCAGCGCTTCTGCTCCTGTCCATGTACGCCGTCGCCGCTCGCTACTCGCCGTCGACATTTGCGCCGCCTCAAGAGGCCGCTTCGATGTGGACCGCAGGCGACGACTACCTGAACAACGCCAAAGTCATCCTCGACAGCTCGTACGCGTCCTCGCGGCCGACCACGTGCCAGGCGCTCCTTCTCATGGGTTTCCGCGAGATCGGCATCGGTGCGATGGCCCAGGCGTGGGCGTATGTCGGAATGGCGGTCCGCATGGCCCAGGATCTCGGTATGCACCGCTGCGCGGATGGATGGGCACGCGTCGGCCTGGGTGGTCGGCTGTTCAGCGAAATGGAAATCCAGGAGCGCCGCAGGATATGGTACGGATGCGTCATGCTCGATAAGTACGTGTCGACGTACATTGGTAAGTAGACTGTTCCCCGTTTGTTTTTATTTCTGTTCTCAGCCTTTCATTCTCGCGCCACCCCCACCACCCCACGTTTTATGACCGTTCTCACACGCTTGTTTTGTGTTAGGTCGACCACTTGCGATCTTCGAGCGGGATTACGATACACAGCTGCCGAGCGAAACAGAGGTGAGTGAGCTCAGCGTCCATGCTTCTTTGCGCATCTGCGCTCGACACGGGTTCACTGAACCCTTCGTTTGGGTTTAACGTTTCGCATCCTTTCCATTCCATTTGCTTCCTGCCTCCGTGATACGCGGCTGACACTCCGACGTTAGCCCGACGAACTGGAGCTATGGAGCCCGTTCCACTCGTCTCGGGCCAGCACACGCTCGCTGGAGGAAACAGGTGATTCGGCGATTGCGCCACCGGTTCCTGCGCGCACTCTGTCGTGCTTCAATGCGTCGTCGAAGCTGTGTACGTTCTTATCGCTCTGATACATTCGGGGCTGAGGGCTGATAAACCCGCGCTTCTATCTGCAGCTGGCATATTGAGCCGGATCGTGCAGGATATCTACTCTATACGACCCGGATTCAGCCGACACGCGGAATCGATGCGTCTTGAAGGTCTGTTGAATAAATGGTACCTGGACCTTCCCCAGTACCTCCGATACGAGCCGGGCCAGAAGACGGTGCCGCCACCTCATATCCTGACGCTGCACATGCACTATTGGTGCACGTCGTTGCTGCTTTATAGGCCATTGTGGGCGATTTATTTCTCGCGGCGCATACTCGATGTCTGACGTCGTTTTTGTCCAGTATACGGCGTGTACACTTGGCGAGTAAACAGTACGTCAATCTAGCGGTCGGCACTTTTCCACGTCTGATTTTGATTTTCGCAGAAAATCCGGGGGAAGCGACGACGGCAACTCCCGAGCTGTCTCCGAGAAAAACTACGAACTTTGCGTCCGTGCCGCAAATCACATATCCTCGATAGGTAGGTCAATTGCCTTTTGGCAACAATCAGATGTTTGATTGTTTGACTGTCAGCGGCATCTTATCGCGAGCATTACGACCTTGGTCGATCCCCCGTTTTCCTAACATTTTACCTTTTCACTGCTAGCATCATGCACGTGACGAGCTGTGAGTGGTCTGTCACATGTTTAGGCGAACTTTATTTGACCGCGGTGACACGTACTCTAGTGTCGCTGTACCATAACGATCCGCAAGCCCGAGTTGGCCTCTCCAGGTGTATGGATGCCCTCCAGGACATGCAGGTGACGTGGCCGAGTGCTGCCCGAGCACTGGAGCTTCTGCGCAACTCCAAGGGCTTCTCGTTGGATATCCAGGCCCGACAACAAATCTCTCCAGGGAGGAATAAGCGTGCAGCAGAGGGCGCGGTAGACGAGGAAGACGTGTTTCAGCGTGATCACCAAGTACACCCTGGCGATGCTCCGTACTCGAGGTGGCGGAACGCATCGGGCCATTCGTTAGACCATGAAGAGTTCGGAGGCGTCTCGCAGTCGCCCCCGGGTGCCGGTAGCAGCACCGGCGGCGGGAGTGGCGTACCATACTTCTCGCCATACGAGCGCTGGCCTGCCGTTCAGTCCAACTACATGTCGTTTCCCGGGACGATCTCGACGTCGGTCCTCCCGCAGGTGTATAGCACCGGGCTCATCGACGATCGCGTGTCGTCCCGCTCGCCACACCGGATGAACGGCTACGATCACGCTCAAGGGCAGGGGCAGAGCCGATACCCGCAGTTCTGGAATGACTACACGTCGCTGGCGCAGATGGGCATGGCGTACGGTGACGTCGCGCAGCCCCATGCGCCTCCTATCTCAGTGCAGAACCCGCCTCCTCAGGGGCACTCGGAGTCATCGCCGATCTACATGCAAAGTCAATATAACCCTGTCTACAGTGAGTTATGTTTCCTCTGTATCTGTATAACGCTTACACCCCTGTCACCCGTCCAGATAACCATCCTCCGCCACCATCATAGACTATCATTTTTTCCCACATGTTAATAGTTCGATTTTACCCATGTATCCTTTGGTCGATTCACGTTTAATCTTGTACCTGTGAGGACCATCACCCCCGTACTTTGTTTGTACTCGGATTAAACTATATAATGTGTTAATGATCGAATTGGTCGAGTGCTGTTGACAACGCGTCGTTATCCTGCATTGCAGTTTAGCATCTGAGGTTAGCTTGCACTTATAGATGTCAAGCATGTACTACGATGTTTCATATTTGACGGTTGATACGTTGTTAATTGATACTATGCATGAACGGTTCAGTGTCGTCGTGGGTCTCTGAAACGTCGAACGGGACACATATGTGTCGATTACACGTGGGATGTTTTAAGATGCTTCAAGATCTTTTCATATAGCAAGCGAAAAAGCGCATAGTCACAAGCAGTAGCATCGTCGCGGCGGTTTTGGATTCAACCGATCTCAGACTATCAAGAAATGGGATGATGTCGTTGGCTAGGATTTGCGTTTCAAGATCTAGGAGCACCATGAGCGGGTTGAGATAAATTGAAGGACAGAAGCTATACCTGTGCTGCTTGTTGCCGGGCGCTCGCAATGGCGGAGAAGCGGTCCTGGGCATCCTTCGCAGCCTGCTCATGTTTTCGTGCACTCTCTCGGGCTTGGAATTTGATGAACAAAAGTGCGATGTATGTCGAAATAATACTCACATTCTACCAATGCCTCTTCAAGAGTGTCAACGTGTTTGTTGAGGTCGTTGTACATGGTTTCGTACTTCGTGGCTTGCTGCCGCGCTACGCAAGGTTCAACAAACAAGAGGGATAACGACTGATATGCTTTTCTTGCCTTCTTCCAGCTCTGCCTCGACTGCCTCAAGCCTTTGCTTCAGGCTAGCGGCGCCCTCATCTGGCTCCCCTCTGGCTTTGAACGTTATGAAAAGTCAATAAAGGGCACAAGTCTCCAACACAGTGTAGTTTACCTTCTCTCAGCTTCGATTGAAGGGCATCAATATACCCGGATATGCGTTCAAGAGACTCTTCTGGATTCGCCTCGTCGGCAGCCGATAAAACTCTGCTGGCGTCTACAGCGGCTACAATAAGTTGGATGGCAGGACGTCAAAACAGGACAACATACTGATGATCGAGCTGCGTGCTACCCGCTGCTTCTTCTTGGCTGGAGCGCGAGAAGTAGATGGATCTTGTGCACTATGACTCTCGTCGACCTATTAGTCATGAATACGCGAACGTCATGTTAATTCCTGGGGTACGCGACACTTGGCAGTAAACAGTACCTCGGCTTCAATCGGGCGTTTAGCCGTAGCATCATCATCCTGGTCCTGGGTGTGACCCGGGGAGTCGACGAGCGTCTCCGTGTCCCCGACGAGCCTTTTCAATATCCATCTCCCGTTATCGCGCAGGGCTGGATCGCCCTCGAGGAGCTTGTCCCTGTCAGCGGATATCTCGTCCAAAGTCCACCAATGAACGCCCTGCGCATTGCACCAGAGATATCGAACCGAGCTCTGGGGTATACTGCAGCCCAACGATCCTACCGGGTATTTCAGAAGATGCGCCTCGAACTCGCTCCAGGTCGCCTTCGTGTCGGCGTTTGGGATATTGACACCGGGCCACTTGACCCACTCCCGACTCGTTCTTGCATAAAGTTCGTGCTGAGACAGGTCCACCCAGACATCTCCCGCTACTCCCAGCTTAGGACCCGGTTCACTTGATGCCCTGTACTTGCGAAAGTAGCCAGATACCGAAGGCCGCGCGGCATTCCTGCCCCGTTCAAATTTGATGGAGAGGTCTTCGATTTCGATACCCTTTTCCCGGAGGCTCTCTGCATCACGCCCCTCATTCCATTGGTATCTCATGGTGAGACTCGGACTGCATGGAAGATGGGTGAAGTAAGGATGCCTGGGATCAGCTTTCGAGCGTAGGTCGTAAACGCGTTGCGAAACGTACCCTGGTTACTGCGAAAGGGACGGAGCTGAGTGTGTGTAACTCTCAAATTTCAGGACGTGTTGGATGCTAGCTTGCTGACCGAAACAATGCCTTGAGAATGAGACCTCGCTGGATACTTGGAGAGTATAGTAGATGCACAGAAACAAAACGGGCTGCTGGTGACTATATGGATCTGGAGGTGGTTATCGGTTGCTGGGGAGTCGGGACACGATGAAACGCGCACCCGCCGACGCGCCGCCCGTGTCATAGGCGCCGATCCGAAATTAAGCGCGTCAACAAATAGGGGCTTTTAGCTGCCCGCTGGTTGCAAGTTAGCGGCAGCATAGTACACGCTTGAAAGCATTGGCTTAGATCAACTTTGCACAGCCTATTGATACCCGTCGAAAGTCTTCATAATGAGGATATTTGGGAAACTCGTAGGAAACGGTACTAGACGACATGGTTTGCCTAAAGGTAGTACTACAAAGAACGATATCTTCAAGCGTAAGGGCGCCGCGGGGAAGGGCCAGATGAAAAAGGATACAAATGTCATTGTCAAGATTACACATCAACTGTCTTTTTTCATAATGAAACAGTACTAGTAGTCAAGGAAGGCCGCGACAGATGGACAGACGATGTCGCATGGCCATGAATACATAATGTAATAGGGGAGCAGGCGAGTAAATTGGAAACAAATCGTAACGGCGCGTGCTCCGGACTTTGCTACGACAGCTTTTTATGCCATCAATTCCCTAGAAATTGCCCTCCAAAAGCTGGCGGTTAGGTAGCAACGATCAACGAACTGAGGAACACTGACACGTAAGGCGGCGTACCTGCAAGGCTTGTTGCTGAAGAAGCTCCAGTTCTCCGATGCGTTTGTGAGCAGCATTCCAGCCTTGCTGCCATTTCTGGAGGACGTCTCGGGCTATACATATGATCAGCGAGCGCGAGCGTTGTGATATCAACGAGCCTCACTTGTCTTCAGCTCCGCTTCAAGCTCAAGAATGCGCCTGCCACGATTGACCGATTCGATGCTTTGGGCAGCCAGATCTGCTCGAGCTATAAAACGGCTTAGAGGCTAACAGCGTTACTGTGCGTCGGCGAAATACCTTTCCGCAGCTCTGCCTGCGTTGCATCGAGGCTTTGCTTTAGTGTTTGTGCGTTTTCGTTGCTCCCTCGGGAGACCGCTATCAACGAAACAGGTCATCTACACTGGCATAGCCATCGTGGTCTGAAGTGCTGTTACCTTGTAGTCCTGTTTGCAGGCCTTGTACAGCATTAGCATTGGATGCAGTAGTGAGAGAGCCTTCAGGGGCTTTAGCACGATGACTGGTAGGAAGTAGAACTAACATCGGACTCACCACTATTGGCTGTACGGCTATCCTCGATCCGCTGCTTTTTATTGGCAGAAGCAGAAGTGCCTGATATCGACGCTGCATTTGATTGAACATTGGCTTGGCTACTGCCAGAGGCAAACCCCTATAGAAAGATGCCACGTCTGAGTGATCATAGTCATTGATACAAGGGACAAACGTACCAGATTATCGCCATCCCGTGCACGCTTAAGATTGGCACCGGCGGGCTGAGTTGCATTGGCCGCGCCACTGGGTGCCGATTGCTGAAGACTCAAGTTGACAAAGTCCCGCACTATCCACCTCCCGTTCGTTCGTAGCTTCACATCGTGAGGAAAGGTGTCATGTATCTTGTCCATGTCGTCTTCGATCTCCGCTCTTGTCCACCAGTGAATGCCCTCTCGGGTGCACCACAGATACCTCAGATGCTCGGAATGGTCTGGAAGGCACTGGTTTGGGGTAGTGGGGTTGCTAACAATCCACTTCTTTTTGAGTTGGTTCCAAGACACCACCCTCCCGTGCGATGCCCCTTGTGTAGAGGTGACGCCAGGCCATAGGGTCCAGCCTCTCAGCGTCTTTGCATAGAGGAGGTTATCGGAGAGATCAACGTAGACATCTCCCCAGTCACCACGATCCTTGCTGGGAGCGCCCTTGGCCAGATACTCCCAATACTGAATGGTCATGAGTCGATATCCGGGATGCCAAAAGGTAACATCGCGGCGGGTAGCACGGACTGAGGCCTGCCGAAGGACGGGGTCTCCTTCTTGAGAATTGGTAGGTAATGGCATGGAGCTAAGCTAGTCATGAATGGAAGTCAGCGGTTAGTATCACGATATGAGCTACCAGTATTCAAGGACGAGGACAACGTACAATCAAAGAGCACCAGCGAGTAGTACAGATCTCAGCTAGTGAAGGTTACAGGGCCGATGAAGGGGTGAGAAATATATGACAGAGCGATAGAGGCCAACGCGCGAACGAGACGCGTAGATGAGTGAAGAAGACGCGTGTCAGACGCGTTCAAGCGCGGGTTGAACGCGTCCAAAAACGGTCGTAACGGAGATGTCGCGTCGGACCGATGACTGAACGTTGAACAACTGAGCGCGCCAGGAAATAGGGGCTAATACATCAGGCGTCCATGCTGCAACGTCATCTGCACCAGCACTACTGGAAGTCCAGTCAACTACGATAAGGAGAATTGTGTCGAAATACGGGGTCGCTGAGGCTCGCGATGAGACACTGCACGTTTGTCCCAGGCGAAGGGAGGGTGCCGAGGGGGAATCGCGTGAAGGAAGATTTTGACTAGCTACGACAGGATTATATACGTAGATAAATCTCTCGGAATCTATCTGATAACGACGAAAAGTCATGATGCAAGCGACATGCGAACATAACTCCAACGAATTGATACCTCCTTAAGGTCTGATATGGTTCATGAAAAGGTAAGCAGCCCCGGCTGCTGCCCGTCAGAACGACAATCACTGTCAGGTTGAAACTGTCATAATTCAGACTGATTCACATATTCGCTACTTAACTGTTCTTTGTCATAGTCTAATGCTAGGTGTGTCGATCAAGCAACACAGCAATGAATTGGGAGAAGTCTCGACATGAGGTGAGCATTGTATATTTGAGCCGTGTAGATTATAAAGGGGAAAACACGCGAACAATGTGAAGACAGATCGTAATCAGGGGTGAGCAGGGGTTCGGAGGCTAACTTGAGTTGTGTTACATATGTTCAGCCCTTAGGATTGCCTTCCAAGAGCGAGAGTAACGATTACTACTAGCGAAGATGAAATGGTGCGTCAGGTTGTTACGACTGAGATCTAGTGCGTTGAGCTTCAGGATCTGTTCGAGCTATGAAATAGGCTTAGATATAGCTATGCGAATTACCTTTTCTCAACTCTGCGTCACCTCAAGGATTTGCGTTAGGGTTTGCGTGTTTTCGCTGCCCTGAGACCGCTTTGAAAGGAATAATAAGTTACGTTCGCTCATCATTGTTTGAAATGCTTTTACCTTGTAGTCTTTTTCGCCGGCTTTGCGGCCCCTTTTGAGCTTGTGAGGGAACCTATAGAAACTTCAGCGTAACGAATATTAGGAAGGGGAACTGGCTTTGGACTCACCGCTATTGACTGCGGAGGTATCTTCGACCCGCTGCTTTTTATTGGCAGAGGTAGAAGTGTCTGATTTCGATGCTGCACCTGGTTGGTCACCAGCTTTACCACCGCTCGAGGTAGAACCCTATAGAAAGGTATCACGCGTGAAATAACCATCGACGTAAGGGACAGACGTACGCGACTATCATCATCCCTTGTACGTTTGAGCCCGGCACCGGCAGACTGACTTGCATTAGCCTTGGTGCTGGACGCAGGCTGCTGAAGCGTGGACTTGACAAAGTCCCGTACTATCCACCTTCCGTTCGTTCGTAGTTTCGCGTCCGGAGGGAAGTCGTGGTCCTTGTCCATGTCGTCTTCGATCTCTGTTCTTGTCCACCAGTGGATGCCCTCTCGGGTACACCAGAGATACTTGATGTCTTCAGAATGGTCCGGAAGGCACTCGTTTACTGAGGTAGGGTTGCGAATAAGCCACTTCTTCTTGAGCTGGCTCCAAGACACCATTCTACCGTGTGACGCCCCCTGTGAAGAGGTAACACCAGGCCATGGCGTCCAGCCTCTCAGCAGCTTTGCGTAGAGTAGGTTGTCAGAGAGGTCAACATATACATCTCCCCATTCACCGTGGTCCTTGCTCGGAACACCCTTCGCTATATACTCCCAGTAATCGAGCCTCATGAGCGGCCATCCGGGATGCCAAAATGTAACGTCGCGACGGGTTGCCCGGACTGCAGTCTGCAGAAGCACAGGGTCTCCTTCTCGGGAAGCGGTAGGTAGCGGCATAGTGGAGGTAAGCTTGTCATAAATGGGAAGTTAGCGGCTTCAAGCTCCAAGCACTCAAAGGACGACATACAATTGAAAAGTAGCGGTAAGCCTAGGAGACACCTCTGCTAGTGAAGGACCAGTGAAGCAGTGGAAGGTATGTCAGAGAAATAGAAGCTGGCACGCGAACGAGGCGCGTACACGTGAAGGCTCGGTGCAGTTGGTGGGTTGAAAAAAGGCGCGTTTCAAAATTCAGACGCGTTCCAACACAGCGCAAAACGCGGTCGTGATGGGGACGCGTCGGAGGAACACCGCCTGTACTCAGGCGCGACTCGCTGAAGATAGGGGTATTTATGTATGTGGGCGCCAGTGTGGTACCAAAATGCCTTCGTGTATAACTCGTGTACATATGATGTTGGGAACATAATTGAAAGATGGACAGCACCAAAGCGCAAAGCGATCTAGATGTGGTAAAGGGCTTGTGATTCTAGCATACACATGTCGATGTCAGGTACGTAGGGTATACATGAATGTGATGGTGGTACATGATGATGTAAACTATCCTAAGATGATGCAAGTAGTCTAAATGATAGTGATGCAGATGCCGTAGTGTGGTATAATGCTTAACAATGAAATCGAGACGAGTGCTTATGAGGGAGCAGAGTGTATGTAAGCAATTGGCAACGTACAAGTACTCATTGGCCGATTAGCAGCAGCAGCCCATAGTCAGGATCTTCTTCCATGTCTTCTTCTTCGGGCGCTCGCGAACAACCTCCAGCCTCCATCCCTCGGGGAAGTGGCCGCACCTCTCGTGCTTGTCCTCGCACGCCGACTTCGATTTGAATGTCTTCTTGACCTTCTTCCACACTTGGTCCCGTCGCCTAGGCTCATATACGTTGATACCGCGTAATGTGATTGTCCCGTATTCCGAGCCTTCGCAATGGTGGACATCTGTATGCGAATCACCAGAGGCGTTAAGAATAAGGGACCGAGGTGGGTTATCCACGCCATCACGCAGACTGCCCACCACCGGAGGCGACGGCATTGGCGACTCAATGGGTGAGGTGCTTGTGGTCCGGGGTAGATCCGGAGGAGGTTGGGCAAACACGGCTTCGAGTATGTCAGAGTCCATCTCCAAAGAAGGTATAGATGGCACGTCGTCGATAGCTACTTGTAGCACGGGAGACAATGAAGCTGGCGGCGAGGATGGTTGGGGATAGTATGGTGTTTGCAGGGATAGCGTTGAAAGAAATGAGATATGCGGCGTCAGAGTTGAGGAGTCGGGGACTCTGGGCGAAGAAGTCTCGGAGAAAGGTAGCGCTGCAGTCGGTGGTCACATAGGAGAAGTTTGTGCAGCCGATGATGGTTCGGGAGAAGGGGGTTCAACAGCACTGGTGATTGAAGACGTGGACTGTGGCAAAGGTGAATGCGACGCTGACGGTGGAAACATTGGAGAAGAGACAGTAGCGTTAAGCCAAATTCGTCCCTGTTCATCTGAAAGACATTGCACTTCATGTGTAAGCGCCGCGAGCTCTAGGTCCAGGAAACCATGTCGCTTGGAGGATTGAGTGGCCACTGTCTTCCAATGATCACTCTGGTGGGTCATGTCCGCGAGTTCGTTGTTTGCAAATGCCGTAAGGTCCAAGGATTTGGGCAACCCAGTGAGGTCCGGTAAGTCGGCGGGCAAGAGTGCAGAGCCCGTAGTCCCAAATATTCCACGTGAACCAGAAAGCGCGGCTGTAAGCTGCCATCAGAGAGGGTTAACCACTGCTGCAATGAGAAGAATCACCAAACTCGCTATGACCACTCTCCCTGCATTTGTTCTCTTATGCACACACTCAACAGACACACCGCCTCGCGAATTGTTTTCACGATCACACCATGTTCACCTCCATCAACTCTCTTCATCCATATATCCCGCAGGTCGGAGACGTAGAGATTATGGCGGACTTCCTCATCACCTTCATCTTGGTCATCTCCTTCATCATTGTCTCACTCAATGGCGACGTCAAGCGGCTCGCCGGCGACGATGAGGATGGCTTCATCTCGCCGTTTCCTGGCTCCACCGCCACCTTCTTTGCCTCTCTGTCGCAGGACATCATCTGCGATTCTAGGATCCCTCGGCTCGTCAACACCGCCGTGTGCCAGCCCTATATCCTGGGCTCATCTCCCTCGATTCCGTCTTTGACACACTCGCGTAAGTCGCGTCACGCTGCGTCTTGCTCGAAGCTGATTTCACCACAGTGATCCTTCCGGTAGTGTCAATGCCTGTTAGGACGAGTTTGGCCAATGAAGACTGGTCTGGTGCTAGCGTCATCCCCGCCATCATGGTTACGCCATCAGAAACTCTCGGCTTTGTCCCCACTACTGTCCTCGAGTCTCCATCTTCCCGCAGCACCACGCCCAGCTCAGATCGGTCCTCTATCTCCCGAATTCCTCGGCTCGTCAAGCGGTCTTCTGTTCAGAATGAGGTATTCACCTCCACTCCCCGTGGACGAGGCTCTGGTGCGCGTCGGGCCACAAGTCACACCCTCAATACGTCGATGCAATCCCCAACTCCCATCTTCACCCGGATTTGTACCACCTCGCCAAATCTGTCCCAGTCAGCCTCCCCTGCTCAATCTCGTACTCCTCCTCCGCATCTACATCATGGACCCTCTCCGACATGGAACCCTCTGGACGGCTGTTACTCCCCCTGCGACCGCTGCAACCACCACCACCATCTTGCCACCCCCCATATCTGTCGGATCCAACATCTCTCTTTGCAATCTAGAAGCTCAAGCCCCTACAAAGACAACTCTCCCAACTCGAGCGGCAGCACCGGTGGAAGCACTTCGACATACACCGACGCCAATAACAGCAAAGACGTATCCACGTCGTCGACCGTACTCACTGATGAAGAGCCCATCCCCGGGTTTGCTGACGTTGTGGACAAGAGTGACAGCGAGATCATGGAAATGATCTTGGTTGAGCGCGAAGCCTCCGCCTCTGGATACCCTAATGTCACCTCCGCCGAAGAGCAAGAATTGCTGGCCCCGTCAGAGCCATGGACGATGCCCGAGGATGGCTTCCTCTTCAGAGATGTCAACCTCATGAGCATGGATAGCATCATCGCCAAGCGGGACACCATTCTTGACTGTCTCGCAAGTACTCAGATCAATGATTCGCTTTTCAGCTCTGATGACAAGTACGACTCTAATTTTGAGGAGTCCGAGGAGGAAGGCGGTGTGGGCGATGGCAGTGATCTCATCACGGATACAGCCAATGACGGCCAGCTGCTTCCAATCATCCTGGACATCCTCGCTGTTCGGAAGGAGGCCATCCAACACCGACGCAACACTCGTGCTGAGCTCGGAGTCTGCGCCCAGAGAGAGGCGGAGGTCTGTAGTGAATGCGAGAGGTTGGAGGTTGAAGGGAGAGGGAGGTAAACCGGACACTAGCATTCCTTACGAGCGTTCGACTCCGGCGTACTTCTGAAGACTATTGGCATACAACATCGCTGCTTGTGTCTTCACGTCCGCAATGGAATTCGCGGCAGACATATGAATACCCGAACTCTAGCTTGGGCTGCAAGTTTCAGCCGTGGCTTGCAGCCTTATTGAGAGAGTCTTCAAGTATTGTTCAGCATCAGAGCAAAACCGCTACACGAAGAAATGCACAATACTGACCTCTGCAATACACCCGACGCGAAGAGAGCCGATTAGATCCGACGTATATTACAGGTCTCGGTGAAATAATCACCGCTTGTTTCAGCGCCCAGTTGCCACTACAAAAGCCAAGCTACCTTGAGTGAAGCCAGGTCAAGTCTTGCACAATACGACAGTCCTAGACGAGGCTCTCAGACAGCATACAGGGGCATAGTAGCACAACGCAAGTTGCATATACCCATGGATCAGCTTGAGAATCAGGTCTTCGAGAGTGTACAGATAAGTTTGCACGTATGGGAGACTTTGATTTCGTGATCCGTATCAGCCTGGAGTGTGTTTGTGCATAGCCAAGGGTAGATGCTAGTATCGCTGAATGATCATCGATTGGCCCTCAGCATCATCTGCTCTTGCGCACATAAATTAAGAATGAGGGCAACAAGACAGAAGAGTGGGTCCCAAGTTCACCATTCTATCCATCAAGTCCTGAAAAACCAGTACCCTGGTTAATACAACTGGGTTTCGCACAGAAAAGGCATCATCCTATATCAAGCATCATCGCTGTGAGTCACTGACAAGTTGTCCAGCATAGAGGGATATACCAGGCAGTGATGTGGCGCAGGAATGTAGCCGTCGTTCATCCACATCGCAGTCGGAGTTCAAGAGGTAAATTCGCACGGATGCGACATTCGAGGGCGTGAAGATGTTGGTCGGAGAAACGTCGGCTCTGCAGTGTGAATGCCCAAAGACAGGGGCAAATATCCGCACTGCTCTTATTCCATACACGAAGATACACGGTTCAAAACACACAGCATATGAACGACCTCTAGATAGACCGTATGTGGCCACGGAAATTGAAGCTTTCCGTAACAAACACGTGTTTCTAACAACTCGGGCTTCAAGTGCTCACCGAAGCATTCGACGCTGAGGCAAGTACTAAAGTACTAAGGGTTCAATACTACATTTTACATCCCACAGCTAGAAAGCGACTTTTTACTGAGAAACAGCTAGCCTGTCTATATTATCTCTATCCATCCAATTGTTGCTACATTCTTGTTGCGTGCCGATGATGTAATGTTGTACGTATGAAAGGTCAAACGAGCTCTCACAATCACCAGTGGCACCAGTCCTTGTCACAATGATTTCGCAAGCTGGAGAACCTATGGAGTTAGCTGTTAGGAATCATGACGCGTCCTAGTGATGTCACCTGTTGTAATATGTCTTGTCTATTGTGCTCCAAAAGTAAGATACGGGTTTGGGCCTTCTCGAGTGCCGCAGCCAAGGTGAAAGCATCATTTTGGGCTGTTTGTTAAATGAGTCATTTCATTCAAGATGCAGGAGACGTTCTCGGTGATGGATCACCTTTCGACAACTGTGCTTCAAGGTCATTGAGCCGTTTGTCTCTCTTAGCAATATCCTCTCGTGCTTATCAAGTAGTGGTCTGTTGAGATTTGGATGACTATATATATACTGTAATACGCACTCACCCTTTGCCAAATCTGATTCAGCCAGTTCAAGGCGTCGAAGGCTGGTGTTGTTATTGGCGCTTTCTTGATTGGCTGTCGTGATCATTGCATTTGATTACGTGTATCGTGGAGTCTCGCGTGACTTACCATTTTGTAGCGTTAAGTCAAGATTTTTCATGCGCTGGGACACTTCGTCAAGGGCGTTGTCTGGCGTAGAGTCAATATCACAATTAAACGCTCAGTCAGCGAGGACTCACTACTATTGGCGGAGGTGGACCTTTGCCCAGCGCGCTGCGGCTTCTGTGGCGGCGCAAGAACCTTCGACAGCATTGCTGCGTTGGAATGAGCGGTTTGCTTACCGCTGGTAGTTTCGTCACTCTGAGCAAGGAGCAGAGTCAGACTACCCTACAGTGAGCAGCTATCATAACGTGCAGCGCACCTGAGAATCTCCACTGTTTGCGGTATGTTTGCGGCCCCTAGGAGCGCTAGGTGTGTGACTACCTGCCAAGGTCGTTCGTTGGGCGGGAACACTGTTGAGAAACTGCCGAACTATCCATCGTCCGTTAGCACATTGATCTGGCGCATTTGGCAATTCGGCCAATAGTCTCTGCCTGTCTTCGTGTATGCTGTGTTCAGACCACCAGTGGATGCCGTTCTTGTTACACCAGAGATATGTCGGAGGGTGTAGGCTGAGTTCAAAGCGCTGAGTGACTGGATAAGCAATAAGAAACCTCTTGAACGAGCCCCAATCTCTGTTTGAAGGTGTGGTAGACTGCCTCATATCTGGAATAGTTACCCCCGTCCAAGCGGTCCAGCCATTACCCTCATGTGCATAGAGCAAGTCACTGGAAAGGTCCACATAGACATCGCCAGGTATGCCAAGGTCCTCTATGGGAGCACCCACTCCTCTGAACTCGCGAAATTGGCATTCAGCGGTAGTGTACGCCCCACGTGTCGCTGAGAGTGCTGAGAACGTCTCTCTGCGACATATGAGCTGAGTTTTTGGTGTCGTCAGGTCGACCATCTTCCTTGTTATCCCCTACGCAGTACAAAGTGAATGCTACTTGGGTTCAAGCTACATGACTGTGATCAGCTGCGGCAGTACATCACGCCGTAAAGGTACACGTATACACTCACCTTAACCAGCTTGTAACCAATCACAGCGGCTGGAAGGTACCGTGAATCTATAATTCCTACGACTCGGACTCGGAACGTACAGAAGAGCCTTTCCGGAAAGCGCAACTACGCGATGATGAGAGAAGCGTAGGATCCAAAGAGATGGCTCAACGAAAAGCAACAAGGCGTAACGCATACACGCAACACCAGATCACACGTTCTTTCCTTCGTGGCCGACCAAACCACGTGGCGGTCCAAAAACAACATAGGGTCGGTAACTATCGGAGAATCGTACAAGTTGACCGTCTCAGCTTGTATTCAGTTTATCGCCACACTACATCGCTAGGAAGTGCTTTGCAGCACAATCCCTTACAATTATTCCAGTACTTGAGTATTAACCGCTGGAACCAGCAGCGCATCACTTATCGTCTGATATGTCAGGCATGTAGCAGGGGAACACCTCATCGAACGTTTCAAAGTAGACCAACAGGGTGAAAAAGGATATATTTGGTTGCAATCTTGGGAAATCGCCTTTACGCACAGTGGTAATATTTGCATCAGTAAATGGAGAATGATAATATACAAGGTCGTCCGGCGGACCAACGGCGGACCGTCATGGGCACCTATTCCGAGTCGTTTCCTTCGAGTTCAGTAGATGGTAACACTAGGTATAGACTCGTCAGTAGATGCAGAGAATTACCGACAACGTAACAGGCCAATCTCACCGCTAGGCAATACTTCAACCTCGGTCGACCAATCGCCACCTAAGACTCTGTTTTCAAAAGCTAGAGTGGCACAATCAGAAACAAGAAAGACAAACTTGCAATTACCGTACCTGCATCGCCTGCTTTTGGACGTTCACCATGTTGGTGTAGCGTTTCTGGTGCTCTTCAGCAGAGTCTTTGGCTACATAGAGAGTGCGGTTGGAGCCATGCATGAGAAATGATGAGAATGCACTGACCTTTCCGTAAATCTGTTCTAAGACTGCCGAGGCGTTTACCACGTCGGAAATATCCAGCCTTGTAGAACCCGACATCCGATTGAGCTACTTGACAATTAACGTCGTGTTCCGGCAGGGGGATACTGGATATTGTATGCTATACCTTTCTTCAGTTCTGACTCTACCGCTGCAAGCCGCTGTCTGAGAGCAGCGGCATCCTCGCTGGCTTCTTTCTGAGCTGCATGAGCGCCCGTGTTAGTGGAGGGTAATATATTCCTTCTGAAGATAGAATCACCTTGTAGTTGGGATTTCAGTTGCTCAATACAGCTGGATATATGATCGAGAGAATCTTCTGGTTCCGCTACACTGGATTGACTGGTGCCTGATTAACCTCAGATAAGACGCGGAACAGAAGGGCGAGAAAGGCTGAATTCACAGTTACCTGGCTCAGAAGACCTTTCAACCCGCGGCCTTTTGTTTGCAGTGCCGATGTTGGCAGACGCTGCGCCCGTAGTCGCGTGAATAGAAGCATTACCCTGTGCGAGTTTCCTTCAGTGAACCGTTGAGTTTCAAGACGGAAAAGACACACCTGAGTAATGATTGTGTCATCCCTGGTCCGCCTTCGGCTACCGCTGCTTGTGTTGCTCTTGGATGCCAAGCCATGCGGATTACATTTGAGGAAATCTCTGACTATCCACTTTCCGTTGGAACGGAGCCATGTTTCAGGTGGAAACTCGCGTAATTTGAACCGGTCTTCCTCGATCTCATTCTCCGTCCACCAGTAGACACCTTTTACATTACACCAGAGATACCGGGAATAGTGATAAGGAAGTTCGTCGTCGTCGTTGTCGCCGGGATGAAGGAGAAGCCATCTCCTAAAATGGCCGTGGGTGATAAAGTTGCGGTTAAGCGCCCCGGATGGAGAGGTAACGCCAGGCCATTCGGTCCAGCCCCCCGCCAGCTTAGCGTAAAGCAGATTTTCAAGAAGGTCTATGTAGACGTCTCCTTGCTCACCCAGGTCGGCTTTCGGGGCACCCATAGCTCGGTACTCCCAGTATTCACTCTTCTGGGTTGACTGCTCGCTGATGGACTGACGATGTGAGCGGAGTGGGGGGTCGTGATGGAAAGCCTCAAGCCCATCTTTCCGAAGTGCTTCAATCTTCTGCCGGATAGCGCGTTCTCCAGACATGAGAATACGTAGATAGAGTGTCAGTGGTGTATAGCAGTTGGAACGAAGCAAGGTATCACGATCTGTCAGCTGATGTAACCTGATTGACGGTTGAGGGAATGATCAATGTCGCGTTCAGTGTACGCGTGGACTTTGGAGGAGGGTCTAAGCAGGCACGATGGGACGCGATCAAGAGTCGCTTCAAAGGGATGTGCAGAGGACGACAAACGCGTTTTATGGTGGTGGTCACGGTCTGAAAGGACAGAACACTTACGTTCGTGAGACACTTGCGGACCATCGGTCCGATATTTGTTTGTGGATAGGGGTATATACCTCAAGTTGAAGATAGGATGTTGCCTATGCGTGCTCTGTGCTGTTAGTATCTGGTGCGGGTTCAATGGTGGACATTGACCGTTCTGCATTAAGTTTGATAAAATTCGGGCATTGCGAAGCTCGTACAGGTGTTTTGAGCTCATTACACAGCTGGCGGAATGTGGATTCTCAGGTATGTACTGAAAAAGTACCAGTCAAACAGCAAATGAAGGGATACAAGACGTATTCAATATTCAAGATCATACCCCACAGTATAGATGACAAACAGATAAGGGAAAGAAACTAACGAGTGTAAGCTAGATCTGGACCCCAAGCTGCCCAAGCCAGTCGAGGTGTCAAGTGTCTAATCAAGTTCGCACTTTACGCTGGCGTGCTGTCTTGTAAAAGCTGGTGGACCAAGGCGCATGAGCTAGATGAAAGCATGAGATGCGGGAGAGTTATACCTGGAATGCCTGACGCTGAGCGTTTACCAATGCGGTGTAGCGCTGCTCTTGTTTGAGAGTAGCCTCTCGCGCTGACTGGATGGTGAACGAAGTAAGAGCCGTGATGAGGCCAAAGTCACACACCCTTTGCTAATTCTTCTTCGAGCTTCGCGATACGCTTATCACGTTTGGTGACGTCTGCTTCAGCTATCCAAACACAGGTGATCAGGCTGAACGATTCGCTGCAATAACCAGCCGACCTTTCTTTGCTCTAGATTCCACTGCCTCCAGGCGACACCGAAGATCAACGGTGTCTTCTACTGCTTCCTGCCGAGCTACATCGGCCATATCAGTTCTAAATAGCGAAGGTGATGCTCTGCATAGTGCACTTGCCACTCTGGATGGTCGAACGTAGGAATATATTGAACTGTTCTCGCACTTGCATAAGCGGCCCCTCGTATTGCTCCGGCATTCCAGGGCTAGATGTCGATGAAGAAGCAGTTTTGTCTGTAAGAGTAAGGTTGTATATGCAGAAATAAATGCGGACACAAGGTGGCTCACTCTCGTCAATCCTTTGATTTATGGCGCTCGTTTCAAGCCTTCGTTTCTTCAGAGCGGGACCACTTTTTGGCGTGTCTGTTGAGTGGTCGGCTGATTTGCGAACCTGTCCTTTCTGTGGAGGCTCCAAGTGACTGTACTTGCGAGACACCAGCCGGCGTACTATCCATCTTCCGTTCATACGTACGTAGTCGTTAGAAGGCACATTGCGAACTTTCCTCCTGTCTTTGTGTATCTCGTCCTCGGTCCACCAATATACTCCATCTTCATTGCACCATAGGAAGCGAGAAGACGAGGGGGATAGTTCATCCCGCAGAACAGAAGGGTGGGGATGAAGATGCGCCTTGAAACGACTCCAGTGATATTCACTGTCGTCCACTTCTCTTCCGTAGGCGGGCCCAGCCCAAATGTTCCAGCCGCCGGACAGTTTTGCAAGTAGATCGTAGGTAGCAAGATCCAGATACATGTCTCCAAGGACCCCCAGACACGGAGTCGGCCAACCCCTTCCACTATACAGACAGAAAGTGGTTATGACGCTACTCGTCGTCACATCCACCACTTCGTGAAAGCTAACAGAATGCTCTTGGACCTGCATTTTGTCAATCGCCAGGTTGATGAATACATGATGCCACACATACTGAAGCGTCAAACAGACGTACCTTGCTCATCGAGATGAGATACTGCGCGCGACCTCTATAATAGAGTTTGACAACTTCTCGGTCGAACAGGGTGTGAGTTGAGCATTCGAAGAAGAACGGAAAGAGGTCAGGGATACGGTCAAGGACGTAAAGAGACGCGTTGAAACGCTTGACGACAGGACGAATGCCGAAGACAGGCAAGCAACGAACGAGGGTCGCGTCCGAGGTCGCACAGCGCGCTGAAAACATCCATCGGCATTGTCCGAAATAGGGGTACTTTATACATAACAGGTCATCTTTAGCTCGTTAGCTGTAACCATATATCACTACACAACTGTAAACCGTATACCGCTACACTACAAAGTCCAAATAACACAACAGATAGCAAAAGAAAACTCGTACACTCATCTAGTCGTAAAGTCCGTAAAGTCCGTCGAAAGCGTGCAGAAAGCATGTGTAAGTAACAGCGATAGCGATAATGTTATTCCGTAGCCCTAAGATACAGAGATTATATGATGCAGCGGAGACTTAACGATGGGTGACATTTCGTGTGTGTGACGTTCGAGGAAAATAGTATATGTCCGGAGTAATGTTCATCTATGTTTTTTTTTCTACACGTTTATGTCAGCACGCATCGCAGATTAAGAACACAGCAAGCACACTCACTCAAAACCGCCCGTGCACAACCGCCTTCTCCCTCGCAAACACACCCGGCAAGTCCGTTCTGCGCTGCTGCTGTGCAGATGATCTGGACACAGTTCCAGTCCCGGTCCCGACCCTCCGTACGGATTCCGGGCTCATCGAGCGAGCCGTACGGGAGATGTCAATGTCCTCCGAGTCCGCGAAGCGCATCGCTGCTGCTGCTGCAGCGGCGGCGGCCTTCTGGCGCTCCTGGCCACGCAGTGCGCCTGTGGGGTACACAGCAGGTCCAGAGCCGGAGGCGGGACCGGGGTTGGCGAGTTTCACGGTTTCGGATGCGGCTCGGGAGCTCGTCGATGTGAGAGAGCGTACGTCCGAGTCCTGGGTCTGGGTCTGGGGCTGAAGTTGAGGGCGGGGCAAGCGTTTCGCGCGCTGCTGGTTCCTTGGCTCGCCTTGTCCCTGCTGGTTCTGTGTCTGTGTTTGCGGCTGAACTTGCGGCTGAGTCTGGGTCTGTGCTTGGGACTGAACCTGCGCCTGCGCCTGCGCCTGACCCTGACGGATCGTCGCAGAGCGACGCTGGCGCCCAGACAGATCCCGCACATCCGCGGTCGCATTCGTGACTGTGACCATCGGCACGGCCCACATCGGGTGCATATCGTCCGCCGAAGCTGCTGTTGCTGGCGCAGAGGCAGAGGCAGCAGCAGTGGCAGTGGTAGTGGCAGCGGCGGTGGCAGAGGCAGGTGCATTGGCAGCGGCAACGTTCGAACCCAAAGTTACGCCCCCGACCTGAGCCACCGGACTTGACACCTTGCTCGACGCAGACGTCTTGCTCGCGGACGAAAGATTACGCACGACGCGCGGGCGGCCGCGATGCTGCTGCGCCGGGGACGACGCCCAGGGGGAGAGGTCTTGTGCGGAGGACTGGGAGTATCGCGAGGGTGAGGAGAGCGCGATAGATTCGGAGGCGGAGGAGGACACCGAGGATGTAGAGGAGGAGGAGGATGTGGAGAGGGAGGAGTCGCTGTCTGCGTTGGGCGCGGGGGTGCCTTTTTTCTTGCGGATGGCGAGAGGGGTGATGGGGCGCAGAGCGGGCGGGGGCGAGGACGAGGACGGTGGCTGGGGCGACACGCGGGTTGGAGCGCCACCGCTTGTCGACGTCGAACGCGGGACGAACGCCGGCACAGGCGAAGGCGTGGAGCTGCGCTTCGCAGCGAGCGGCGTCGTCGACCGCGCGGGCGACAGACTAGCAGGTGAGCCGCTTGCAGACGATAGACGCGCTGGAGAGCGCAGCGGGCGCGGGGGTGCGAGGCTGGAGCTGGGAGGGTAGAACAGCTCCTGGTCGACGGAGAAGCGCCGGCGGCCGGTGTCGGAGTTGATCGTGCCGCGCTCGGAGCGCTCATCGGCTGCGAAGAGCTTCTGCAGCTCTGATGCGCCCGACGCGCGCTTCGACTCGCGAGGGGACGATGGTGCTTCAGCGCGGGGTTGGGACGCGGTTGCAGCGCTCAGACGACCTTGCTGCTGCTGTTGCTGGCCACTGCGTTGATCCACCTTCACCGTCGCATTCCGAGCGTCATCCACAGGATCAAAGATCCGCTGCAACGAGCTCCCGAGATGCCCCCCGCGCGCGTCGCCTGAGTTGTTCACAGCAAACTTGAGCTTCGACGGCGGCGGCGCGCGGGGGCTCCGGCCCGGGGCAACGGTACCCGTACCGGTGTCGCCGACGACGACGACGACGCTCGCGTCGCGCCGTGGGTGCAGGCTGCCCGTGCTGCTGCCTGTGCTTCCGTCGCGCCTGTGTCTGCTGCCGGCGACGCTGATTGGGGGGCTGCTTGCTCGGATAGTCGCGCTTGTGGGTTTGGGAGAGTGGGCGGGGCTGTTTCGTCTTGTGTCCGTGCTCGCGCGCACGGCTTGGGTCTTGGAGAGGGGGGTTAGCGGCGGAGTGGTGGTGGGACTGTGTGTGGCGCGTACCTTGGAGTGGCTGACTTCGGACGGGGGCTGGGTGCTTGTGGTGGTTGCTACGGACGGCTGCGCGGAGGTGGCGCTTGATGTGGAGATGATGCTTGGGCTGAGGAGCGGGCTGGGGCCCCGCGAGGACGATTTGGTGATGGACGACTTGTCCTCGAGGGAGTGCGGGGGCGAGGAGCTGCTAGGCGGCGAGCTAGAGGTGATGCTTCCGTTGAGGGGCTTCGGGGAGGGAGTTTCCACCTGCGAACGAGAGATGGAGGATGTCGAGGCAGCGTCGTCTGCTGGAGCAGTTGGCACCTGAAGCAGCTTCTTCTTCTCCACACCCTTCTCTGGGAACTGAGAAGTGTGCAGAGCAGATCCAGCCTGCACGGTCGCCTTCGAAGTCACCTCAGGCGTAGTCGTGGTCTTGGACGAGTTCTGGTCGCGGACCGGTGCCGGCGTCGACTGGCTGGAAGAACCGCCCTTTGACGACAAGAACTTGAACGACAGCCTCCGCCGCCGCTTCTGAACGGTCCCGGCCTTGTCCTTGTCCTTACCCACTTTCTTACCCTCCTCAAGCACAGCAGCAGGAACAGCTATTGGCGCCCTGATCGTCGCAGGAAGACTTGGAGACGTGACGTGCGCAGGCAGAGGAACCACGTTCACGAGCGACGGCGAAGACGCAGAAGCAGGAGGCGTAGACCGGCTGTTGGACGACGGCAGCCGCGACCCCGGCGACGCAGGGCGCGTGATCCAGGGCAGCACGACGGGCTTCTTGTGCGACGAGCCGCCGGAGCCGGAGCGTCCGAGGCTGGAGAGTGTGGCGCCGACGCCTTTTTTGGATGAGCCGGAGCCGGAGCGCCCGACGCGGGGGAGGGTGAGGGACGTTGATGCGGGTTTCTTTGTGTGTTGGTGCTGCTGTTGCTGTGAGGAGGTGGAGGGCGAGCGGGAGACGCTGGTTGTGCTTGTGGAGTGCGCGGGACGCGTTTTGGTGAGTTTGCGGCGGAGAGTCCCGGGAGTCGGTGCGCGGGGAGCGGAGGCCGTCGAGGTTTCGTTGGCTGGTGTGGCGCTCGGGCGCTCGGGCGGTGCGCCGAGGGCTTCCTCGCGGTCGACGATGTACGGGGACGGTGTGCGCGGGAGGGAGAAGTTGATCTTGGCGGCGTCGGGGATCGCGATGCGCTGCGAGCCGGGGCTCTCGGATCTGTCGAAGGAGTCGAGGTGCGGGTGATCGACGATGAAGAAGCCTGTGGAGATGCTCTCGGGCGTGAGGGGCTCTTCGGACTCGGACCGCTCTGAGGGGATCGTCTGCACGTCGTCGTGGGCTGGCGTCCGCGCTGCTGGCTCGTCGTCTTCAATCGAGGACACCTCCGAAAAGTCCTCTGGAGCATCGAAGAAGACAGTGTCGCCGCTCCGGGTCGTGCTCGTCGTGGCGTGCGAGAGGCGGTTCATGGCGTCAGAGAGGCTGCGCCGCGAGGTGCGTTGGGCGACGTCCGCCAGGGAGGAGCGATGCGAGCGCGACCGCCTGTGTGAACTGGACGGCGAAGGCGGCGTCGTTGATGGAGCCGAGCGCACGCTCTGGGCGCTTGCGATAAGGGATCCCTCGTTACTGCTTGTACTTTTGTTGGTATTGATAGATCTGGGCAGAGGGAGGGCCCCGGGAAAGGACGGCGTCGCGGCCTCGTGCACGGACGAGGGCCTGGTCTCGGGGAAGCAGGATATAAATGAACCTGTCGACGAGGAAGACACGGGCCTTTCCGGCGTGGGAGACACGAGGGCAATTTCGGTGGTCGTAATCTTCGCCGAGGGCTGGTCGCTGTCTGGAGTGGTGATGGGGCGTGACTGAATGGTCTGGCGAGAGCGTCTGAGGTGGGGATACGAGCCTGGGGGCCTGGCATCCTCGCTGCCGGTGTCGGTGACCTCGGTGACGACGGAGAGGGTGCGCTGCCTGGCGATTGGGGATGGTTTGGCGGTGGGCCTTGCTGCTCTCGGGACGGTTCCAAAGGGGGGCTTGGCGGGGAGAGCTGCTTGTCGCTTGAGTCGCTCGTACTCGCGCGCGGAGAGAGGTACAGCGCCGGAAGATTTGGCAATAGAGTCCCGAGATGGGGGGCGAGTGCCTGGGGACGGGTGAGGGAGACGGACCTGTCGTCGGTCATGGGATGCCGAGGGAGGCGGTGGACGTGAATTGGTGGCCTGAGTCGAGGTACGCGGAATAGGCGGGACAGGCGGGGCCGCGACAGGAACAGAAGCCGAGCGAGCGTGACCCGGCTTTCTTGGGTGGGTGATGTGCATGGAAGGTGATGCAGGCGGTGTGACGGGTCGCTTGTCGGTCTTGGCTGTCTTGGTGAAGATGGAGAGCGTCGGGAGTCTGACTGAGGAGGGAGAAGGAGGGGTAGCAGGGCGTTTTCTCAAGACGGATGGCTGCTTTGTAGGGGCAGAGGATGGCTTTGGAGGAGGCGAGGATGCATCATTGGATAAGGGAGTAAGCTGTGCAAGAGGTGAAGAGCGACGGGGTACATGCGCCATCGCAGACTTGCGGGCCTCTCGGAAAAGCGACTCGGCGCTTGCATGGGCTGGATCCAGCTCCGAGCGAGTCCTTCCCTCGTGGCCTGACGTATCCTGAGGTCATGTATGAGGATGGGGTGGTGTAAAATGAAACGATGGTCTGCTCACCGGAGGATCAAACTGGCCTGGTATGAACATGGTGGTTCATGCAAGAGAAAGAAAAGAGGGAGTTTTGGCTCTGGAACGTCTGTGATGGACCCATGGTCAAAGTGAAAAAACGAGGCAGACCTGGGTCAATTCAGTCCACTGCTATTTCAGATCGTCACTGATTCCGAAACCTTTTATCTTATCTGCGGGGGAAAATAGGCCCGATCGAGGCAGTACCAGGTCCACAGAGATCCATAGACACGTTCCGTCCTTGTGACGTATGTCAATCCACGGAAGTAAATGCTGGTCGGAGTACTGTAAGAGCGCTGTCGCACCCTTCCAAGTCCCCTCCGCTTGAAACGCGCAGAAATTTGGCTCTCCCAAGCTCGTTTAAATCCTATGAAAATGTGTTTGTGGACCTTGCTTGGATGAAGGGTATAGTATGAACGTGAACGCGCTCATGGCATTTCCATCAATGCAGGGTTATCTGCGATAATAAATAGCATTCGCGTTATGTACAGTGACACGAGATGATAGATGTGACACAAATTAGCTCAATCCAGTCTATGGAGATTCGAATGACGCGACGGATAAGATGGCAGGCCAGCCCAGAAACAAAATGCTTGAATACAGCACCAGTACGTCAAGTACCTGCGCTGATGCGAGATGGTAGAGTTCGGAAACCCTGCTAATAACCGGAAAAAGCTCCGTCAGATGAGGTGTAAGCGTACTCATAGTAACCGGCCGTGGCGGGTGCGTTGTACTCGTATGCGACGGTTGGCGCGAGACCATCGGAGGAGGAACCATGGTAGTTGTTGTTGGCCATCTCCGATGTCTGGGGAAAAGCCATGCCGCCAACGGGTTCGACGCTGGCATCCTAAAGTATGTGATGGTTAGCTATGTTCGCGTGTAATGGCGGCGCAGAGAGGAGCTGGACATACGCTGGGGTAAGAGGTTGATCCAAAGGCGGAAGTAGATTCGGGCGCGCCATGAACCACGTATCCGTGGTCGGAGCCGGCTCCGGGCATGTAAGGCGCGGACTCAGGGGAGGAGTCATGGTAGCTGCTGGCCGTCCCCGATGGGTGGTAAGGACCCATGCTGCCATTAGCATACTAAAGTATGAGATAATCAGCTACGTTCACGTGTAATGGCGGCACAGAGGGGAGCTGGACATACGCTGGGGTAAGATGCTGTTTCAGAGGCGGAAGTAGATTCAGGCGGGGCGTATCCGTGGTCGGAGCCGGCTCCGGGCATGTAAGGCGCGGACTCAGGGGAGGAGTCATAGTAGCTGTTGGCCGTCCCCGATGGGTGGTAAGGATTCATGCTGCCATTAGCATACTAAAGTATGAGATAATCAGCAACGTTCACGTGTAATGGCGGCACAGAGAGGAGCTGGACATACGCTGGGGTAAGAGGTTGATCCAAAGGCGGAAGTAGATTCGGGCGCGCCATGAACCACGTATCCGTGGTCGGAGCCGGCTCCGGGCATGTAAGGCGCGGACTCAGGGGAGGAGTCATGGTAGCTGCTGGCCGTCCCCGATGGGTGGTAAGGACCCATGCTGCCATCAGCATGCTAAAGTATGAGATAATCAGTGACGTTCACGTGTAATGGCGGCACAGAGAGGAGCTGGACATACGCTGGGGTAAGATGTTGTTCCAAAGGCGGAAGTAGATTCAGGCGCGCCATGAACCATGTATCCGTGGTCGGAGCCGGCTCCGGGCATGTAAGGCGCGGACTCAGGGTACTGGGTACCCGCACAGTACGCGCCTTGGTTCAGGTGGCCGAGTTGGGCGCTGGGGTCGCAGTTACCATAGTTGGATGTCGAAGGGTGTGCTGTATCAGATCGATTGGCGCTGGAAATCTAATCAAGAACAAATTGAGTTGCGTGAGCCACAAGTAGGAAGAAAGCGAGGAATCGACGTACCGTAGTATGACCATTGTCAGAGTCTCCGGGTTGCTGAAGTTCTGGCTGGACTTCCTGTAGCAGTAGTGAGGTGAGCTGCGGCAATATAAAACGTAGTGGAGGGTGCTCGAAGACAACATACCTCAACCGAGCACGCCGGGACACGTTCGATCCTCCGGCGCCTCGTTCCCTTGGCCTCATCAGCTATCAATAAAATCGACCGTCAGTAAAATCATTTTAAATCCACCTACTTATGACCACTTACTCTCCCGATCCTCCCAGCGGGGTCCCTCTTGCGTCGCTGTTTGAGGACCATGTCTGGTCTCCCAGTGACGGCCGATTGACCTCTCGTGCCAATAAGACTTGCCACACCCATCGGACATGCAGAAGAATCGATGATCATGATCGTGGTTGCTAAAAATATGCATGCGATGAGATCAATAATATTGTGGTATATCATGGCGAAACTCACTCGGTGCACCTGTGCTGCTCGGCATTTCGCTTGGTTGCGTAACGGTTGCCGCAGGCCGTACAGCGCCAACGTTTGCTTGGGCTGACATCACGCTGATGAGGGCGCCTCTGTGAACGAGTCTGATTCCTGTCCGGAGCCATAAGCAGAAGTCACAACTAAAGTACGTTCGTTATGAGGTATCCGTTCTGGGGCGGGCTGCCGTTCTGGCAGACAGTGATCTGGGAGGCGAGATAGTTGCGCGAGGACAGGTGTTTGTAGGGCGAGCGTTTCGGGAGGGTGAACGCTGACTTGGGAGAGTACGCGCCTGAAGCCAGCCTAGAGGGCGTTTAGTACATTCGACAGGCGAAGAGTGAAGATGTGGGTTGATATTTGCGTTGGTAGCACAGTTCTTATATGTGCTCCGTGTCCGCAACACGACATTGAGCTCAGGCGTACGACTGTCCGCGATACGACTGTCCGCGATATGACTGTCCGCGATACTACCGTCCGCGCCATGGAGGCAAAATTTTGTGTGCGGACATGGAAAGGGCAGTCGGTGAGTTTGAGTGCACAGATTACATAGATCTTGCGTCTGAAGCTCACCGATTCTGGCATGCGAAGATCACTCGATCACTTGGGACACGGTCCGCAAAGTTGGAAACCATGAGGGTTAGCGCTCAACCAGCAGAGCCGCCGTTTTTGAGAACGATATGCACCTGAAAAGATGGAGGAAAGGATGCATAACAGAGTGAAGACACTTACAAGGACAGACAGAAGATACAATCGAGGGTTTCAACCGGTATACTATGAACATTGAAAGCAGCACATATGTAAGTCAGAAAGAAAGAAAGACTTATTGTCAATAACGATGGATGTGAACGCGCAGTGTTCCACCGGCAAGATGCCTGGTCTCAGTAGCACGCACCGACGATCCCGGTTCAAAGGTCCACCAAGATGTGGACTCGGAGAGAATCGGAGCACCCTTGATATAGAAAAGATACAGAGATGTGGACTTACTATATTAGCCATTGACAGAAAGGGAAACTTTGAATGCAGATCTGCCGAGGCCTGCCCCTCACACGCGTGATTAAGTGCATGAAGGCCATGCTACAGTGGTCGGATTGCACATCCGCATAGTGGAAAGGTAGACTGGTCAATGGAAGGTAACGAAAGAAATACGTGCATCATCTTTGGCGTCTCTGTAATCGTGCGAGATCGGGGTCCATCTTGTTCTTTTGGTTGAGCGTGCGAAACTATACGTGTTACATAAACCCACAACGTCGCGAAGTACCTTTGGTATACCAGCAAAAATTGCAAGTGATGTGCATCCGGGCTTTCAATATGGACTTTTATTATGTACCAGACGCTGCACACATTCTCTTTCCAGGAAGCTCATTGAGGGGTTGTATGGCATCTGGAGTCATATCAGCGTTGTCCAGTGTCGCCGCCAATCAGCTCTCTGAATCTGACCATAGCTGGTGGGTGGGAATTGACTATCGTTTGGTTGATTTTGTCCACGCCGAAGTCGAAGCCTGAGACGTAGTGCTGGTCCCATTTCTCAGCACTGCGACAGTTCGCGATTTTGTATTGGGGTGGCAAAAGCACAGAGGAGACACTGGCATTTCAAGCCGTAGCGATCATTTAGCATCCAAAAGGAGATCACTTGCCAGCGTCTTTTCTTAGACGATACACTGAACTAGTTCATGCGCTGGACGTCGTCGAAGGCATTTGGCGGTACTGTACCATCACGACCTTAAGTTTGTGGTGGCGTGGGAAATTATTAAATTAAATCCCACTTGTCCACCTGTCTAAGTTCGGACGGATTGACTGAGGGTGGACTGTCCACCTTAATTAAACTCAGTGAACCCCGGGTGGACAGGGGACGAACTTAAGGTCGTAATGCTACAGTATTTGTAAGTCTTGACGAGGGCACAGTGCGATAAGATGATATCAAGGTGTAGAAGAGACAAGCTACTACAAATACCCAAAACTTGCAAAGGATGTCTGTTGACGACGTTAAAAGCGAGCTTCATGCCAATAAGGTGTGGATATGGTATAGTTTTGCCGCCAGAAAGATTGGCAAAAGCCTGAGTCAAACTTTCGCCTCGTGAAAAGTTCAAACCAATCAAGATGCCGAAACTGGTACGCTATGTAAACATTACTGTAATGGTCTTCACGTCAAAAGGTTCATGTTTGGCTAGCCCTATCTGTTCATCGGACCTTCCTTTCCTAGGACATCGGGCGAGGGCAAGGAGTCCTGCCTAAAGGCAGTACATGATGCACGTTGTGGTGACATCGACAACGACCGCTCCTACAAATGCTTGAACTTTGCAACGTCCGCACCCGATCTCGATCTGATGTTAACCATATAGTAAATGGATCCCATCAGGAACAAGCGCTCAAGCTACCTTCCTAAGAGCGTGTCCGCCCGAATCATCCTTGAGAAAGAGGAGGCTTTGTCCGCTCAAGTGTCCGCTCGTACTAAGTTTAGAGTTCCATCCTTGACATGTTGGTAGAGTCCGCGGCCTCCACTAGCTCGACGGGCCACCAGACAACGTGCATGTCATATGTTGGGTAACTTGTTACCAACTTAGGGAGTGTTCGTTATCATAGGTTACTTACTAGTTACTACTGTTGCTTCATGCGGACGATATTCATTAGTACAGCCAAAGCCGCTCAATCCCAAAGGGCCCGACTCCATCGCTCTCATCAACTTAGGACCTTTGAGGACGCTGACAACCATTGTCTGGGAGGACCATCTGCGGTAGCGCTCACATTTACCTGATACGTTGAAGAACCCCTTTGCGGTCGCGAAATCTTACTTCATAGCACCCGCAGGCAGAAAACCTGGCAGATGTTCTTATCGCGCTCATCTTGATTCTCTCCTTCATCGTTCTCTTTCTCAGCGACAACGTTGCAGCTCGTCTGCGACGAAGACGGTGAGTCTATCCTGCCGTTCTCTGGTTTTGCCGCCACATTCTCTTCTTCCCCGACGCCATCCGGGTACCCAAGATTCCTTGGCTCGTCAATTCCGCTGTGTGCCAACATTACATCCTGGAGCTCCACTAGCTAGTTGAAGTCGACGCTCATGGTAGAAAGGAGGTATCCACGTAGTCCTCTGAAGTCGCCGACAAAGACCTCACACTCGCGTTCTCCGAAGCTATCGACGTGTGCGTTCGAGCCCACGGCCCCCCGCCCTCCAAGCTTGCTTAAGCTTGATCGCCGCCAGCAGCTTCGACGTCGCCCGCGAGTAGCGCTTGTGTCCAGGATCGAGCCCGGGAGCTCCTGCAGAAGATATTCAATCCCATCAATGACCTGAGAGCACGATGACGACGGAGGCGGATCGTCGTAGTGGTCAGTTGCAGCTGTAGCAAAGCTAGCTGAGCACTGTGAACCACGCCCCGACCTCGTGCTGACGCTCCGTCATCTCCCCGCGAGTTAACACCATCGGCTCCAGTATTGGCCGACGACGGCTTCTCCGTCAGGTTGAGTACTCGATCCAAAATGACATCAATAAAACATCTCTGCAGAAGTTCGCGATAAACAACCGGAGGGATATGCCTCAACAAGTCTATAAGGTCATGATTAACATAGGCGAAGCAGGAGTAGTGTAACGCGGCAAAAACACATCGTCTTCGGACACACGTCAAGAGCCAGCTGAAGCTGCACTAGTGGTGCGTGGGCTTGTGGCCGTCGACGAACATGTTGCGGGTCGCGCTGGGGAGCGTGGCGGTCATGCCGTCGAGGTCGCGCGTGAGCTGGACCTGGCAGCCGAGGCGCGAGGTGTCGGTGAGGCCGAACGCCATGTCGAGCATGTCGTTTTCGTCGTCGGACGGCTCGGGGAGGAGGTCGTAGTGCGAGGGAGAGAGGATGACGTGGCAGGTTGAGCAGGCTATTGAGCCTTCGCAGGCGCCTGGGGGTGGGGTGGGTGGGTAGAGGTGTAGTGAGACGGGGCAGGGAGAGACGGAGATGAGGAAAGGCTAGTGAGAGAGAGGTTGAAGCGTACCTTCGAGGTCAATATCGTGCTCATGTGCGAGCGAGAGGAGGTCGTCGCCTTCGTTGGCTTCGATGGTTTTGAGGTGCTCGCCTTTCGCGTCCTTGAAGTGGACTTTGATGCTGGGCTGGGGTCAGCACATTGACGCGAGGCAGGGTGTCATGGGAGACGTACCCAGTTCCAGGCGCAGGTCGTGTTACGCTTCCGTGTGCAAGAGCTATGGACGGATGTCACGGACGACGGGGAACGGTGCGTATGTCCGCACGTACCTGGGGAAGTGTGCATATGCCGTGTGCGGTTCGCGAGTATGGATTGCTGGCGGGGTTGGAGCCAGGCAGATGCAGAGCTTCTTTTCCACTGCGCAGCATTCAGAGCTGGTCTGGAAGAGGTGTGGAGGGCACGAAGAGATGAAGCTCCGTGGGTAGCTTGGCGGGAGATTGAGGAAGACCGGAGGCAAGTGCGGAGAAGGGAGGTGGTGGAAGAGGACATGGCTGGGCAGGAGGCATCGTCAGCGAGGACATTGGAGATGCGAGCAGAGGTGGCTTGTACCTGGACCGAGACTTTAATGGGCTGTTCTGGAGAGTAATAGAGAGGCTCGGACTGGCTGCTAGTGGGCGTCAGTGGGTCACGGGGAGAGATGTGCACGAGGAGAAGATGCCTACCAGGTTCAAGGTTTCAGAGCTTCAATGGTGGATTAGAAGACGAATTGTAAGCGTTAAATTGCTAATCCTGAGGACGAGGAAACTGCAAGAGGTGGAGGGGGAGGGAGGAGGAGCAAAAGGATGAGCAAAGAGCTTCGGGATTGGCGGACGCGTCCGCTCGGCTTTCCGGACCTGCCTTCCCTGGGAAATAGCCCCTGTCCGACTTCCATGACGTTCTTCTTCAAGAAACGGACACCGGTTTTTCTTGTCGTTCTCAGGCCACGGTTCTCAGATAGAGGTTGTGGGTTTTTTCTTTATCGCAGCGGTTATGTCATAGCATCGTAGGTCAATAATCATCCCAGATGTGTCCAGACTCTTCTATATCAGATAAGTAGTTGCCTTCGTGCCGTGTATCTTCCAATGAAGAACACAGCATTATAGGCTGAGTGATCTCCAAAGTGATAACATATCGCAAAACAAAGCCGGATTGGCTGAACGTTCCTTGCACGTTCCTCTATTTCGTGGAAGATGGGAACAGCGAGTCACGGCAACCCGGATCTATGGCCAGGGGCATCATCTTATTTAGCAGGTTCTTCTCACGCTCACTTCCTTTAACCCTTTGCTCCGTCGCGGAGGTGACCCCGCCGCCATTTCCCCCACCCACAATCCCCAGCCATGTTCGAAGGCGACATATGCCACCTGGTCCGTCTCATATAGGGGAGAGCGAGGCAGAGATGCTGACGAGCTGTGTATAGGAGCATGACTGGTTCACTAATGTGCTCACCGCCGGTCTTATCTATGGCTTGGTCGTTTCGTATCTTCCCCAGGTTCGTTTCCTTTCGAGTATGCGTGGTATTGCATGGCTGAATACATGCGTCATTAGCATCTGCGTATCATAAAGCTGGGATCGTCCGAGGGCTTCAGTCCTTGGTTCCTTCTGCTGGGCGGCACGTCGAGCGCTGCGAGTATGCTCAACATGTGCGTGGCCGTTTTCTCAGCATATGAACCTCCTCGAACGATGTGATCAGGGTGACGGCGTCGTGGCCGACCATGCAGTGCTGCAACCAGCTGGTACTTCGCTCGTTCTGCCGGGCTTTGGAGTCACTGCTTATCAACTTGTCGTGCAGAGCGTTGGCAAGTGCATCGAGATTACCGCCGGAGTCTTCCAGGTCGCGCTGCAGTGGGCTTTGTTCATGGTCATGTGCGTTGTCTTCCCGTACTGTATGTATCGCTGGCTAAGTGTTGTGTGCCAGTACTATCCTATACATGATGTACTTCCCGCAACGCCAGAAGTACGTCGAGCTCGACATCGATAGCTACGATGGTGTCCCGCCTCAGCATGTCAAGACGCCGATCAAGAGCAGCGAGTGGAGACTGTCGGTTGTTCTTGCCTGGGTCACTGTGGTGCATCTGTACGTCTCCTTTCTTGCATGTCGCGTGGTGTATGTGATAGTTGCTGACCGTCTTGTCAAGACTCTTTTCGATCTTTGTAACGTTCGTTCTTGTCGGAACCACCAAGATCGACCCCGACGGCCAGATGCACTCGCGTCAGATAGACCTCTGGGAGACGTTCCTTGGTATTTCGTCTGCCATCCTCGCAATGGTTCAGTACTTTCCGCAGTTCTGGAAGACTTATAGGGTTAAGCTCGTCGGCGCGCTCAGTATTCCCATGTTGGTCATGCAGTGTCCCGGAGGACTTGTGTTTGCTATCTCGGTTGCTAGGAGGCCTGGTACGAACTGGACGAGTACGTGGCAGGCCGTGTAACTTTGGATGTGTCGTACTGACTGGTGGTGTCCCGCAGCTTGGGTCATGTACGCCATGTCGAGTCTGATGCAGTTCCTGCTCTTGAGCATGTGCATTACGTGGAAGATCCGTCAGCGCAAACTCGGCATAGATGACTTTGGCAAGCCGCTGCCTGGTACGGAGGACGATGAGGATTCGGAAGTCGTTGTCGCTACTGCGGAAGACGTACACCTCAGCTCGAGCACTACAGTAGATGTCGAGGGTGAGGAGGCGCCCCTGCTCCCCAAGGACGTTGGAAAGCCGGCTGCGAGGTTTTCGCTTCCTCGTTTCTTCCGCAGGTGATTTGCGGTTGTTGGCGAGTCGGGTTTGGTTTAGGCCAGGAGATCGCATAGTCTCGAATACGGCTGGCTAAGTTACATCCATCTCACTATTCTGGACTTTAGAGAACCGTAGTCGTTTTCTTGAGGTTCTAATGGGAATATAATGAGTTAAGTTATTGGTACTTTTGTTGGCTTGAAATGAGGTTGTCGGTGTGCTCGGTGGACAAGGGCACGAATAGGGGCTCCCAGCGAATGAGGAAAGGACTTGATCGCACCGTCGCGCGTGTCGCGATGGCCTACAAGCGTTCCGTTCACCCACCCACCCATACCCCAGGATGGCCAGTCTAATTGCTATACTCGATCTCAAGGGAAAACCCCTCATCCAGCGCTCGTACAAGGACGATGTGTCGCCGTCACACATTGAGCGCTTTCTCCCGCTCGTGCTCGACATCGAGGAGGAAGGGCAGCAGGTCACGCCGTGTTTCTCGAGTCAGGGCATCAACTATATGCATATACGGCACTCGAACCTCTATCGTGCGTTCACTATTTGATCTTTGGAGGGCCAGGGGCGTCTGCTGATACGCGGGGGCTGCGGCTGCGGGGGTGATAGTGCTGGCGCTGTCGAAACGGAACTCGAACGCGGCAGAGATTATCATCTTTCTGCACCGGCTGACGCAGGTGCTGGTCGAGTACTTCAAGGAGCTCGAGGAGGAGAGTATACGGGATAATTTTGTGATTATCTATGAGCTTATGGATGAGATGATGGATTTTGGGTATCCGCAGACGACGGAGAGCAAGATATTGCAGGAGTGAGTTTGTTCGTTTGGCTTTTTTGTGGTTTTATGGTTCTTTGGAGAAAGGGGGTGATGGGATGTGCTGATACGGGTGGACAGGTACATTACGCAGGAGAGTCATAAGCTGGAGATTCAGGTGCGCCCGCCGATGGCGGTGACGAACGCGGTGTCGTGGCGGACGGAGGGGATCAGGTATAGGAAGAACGAGGTGTTCTTGGATGTAGTTGAGAGTGTCAATCTGCTGGTGCGTTCTTGTAGTCACGGTGCTACTCTCTTGGAGAGACTCACGTCGATATCGGGTGTGGTCAGGTCAATGCGAACGGGAACGTGGTGCGGTCGGAGATCCTGGGCGCGGTCAAGATGAAGTGTTATCTGAGTGGCATGCCGGAGCTGCGGTTAGGGTTGAACGATAAGGTCATGTTCGAGAGTACGGGTCGCAGTGCGTCGTTTCTCAGCGTCATTCGTTTGTGGATCATCTTAACGGGCGCTAGCATCGCGGGGCAAGGCTATCGAGATGGAGGACGTCAAGTTCCACCAGTGCGTTCGGCTGTCGCGGTTCGAGAACGACCGTACCATCTCCTTTATCCCGCCCGACGGCGAGTTCGAGCTCATGTCCTATCGCCTTTCGACGCCCGTCAAGCCGCTTATATGGGTCGAGGCTGCCGTGGAGAGCCACAAGGGCAGCCGCGTCGAGTATATGGTCAAGTGCAAGGCCCAATTCAAGCGGCGGAGCACGGCGAATAATGTGGAGATATATGTGCCTGTGCCGGACGATGCGGATAGTCCAAAGTTCAGGGTAAGCCCGTGCTTCTTCTCGCCGTGCTAGGCTTATCCCGCGCAGGCTTCGACGGGTAGCGTGCAGTATGCACCCGACAAGTCGGCGTTCATCTGGAAGATCAAGCAGCTCGGCGGAGGGAGAGAGTACCTCATGCGCGCTCACTTTGGGTTACCGAGTGTTAAAAATGGTGTGTCGTGTATTAGCGGCGCGTACTGCAGGCGTGTCTCAATCTCCTACAGAACAGGATGTGGACAAGCGGGCTCCGATCAGCGTGAAGTTTGAGATTCCGTACTTCACCGTGTCTGGCATCCAGGTGCGGTATCTCAAGATCGTGGAGAAGAGCGGGTATCAGGCGCTGCCGTGGGTGAGGTACATAACACAAAATGGGGATGACTATAGGTATGTTACGTTGGTTATGACAGTGGGTATATTACTGATGTGAATGCAGCCTTCGTACGGCTCTCGAGAAAGGGAACGCGCCTATAGCACCTATGTAGCTGTATTACTAGGAAGTTATTACAGTAGTTCGTTCGTTTGTTCGTAATCTTAGTTTATTGTCCTCTGGGGCCTAGCCCTATGATAGACAAGGTACAGGATTGTGTACTACAAATTTTCTACAAAACTGGGCACAGTACTGAACCGCAGCCAATATTGTCCTGGAAATGTAACTAAAGTCCTATACCATAATTTGTACACCCTTACTTCCGAATCTGGCGCGCTGCCAGCAGCTTTGTGTCTCATCAGGTGGTACAATCAGAGTAAACACCCCTCCCACTCCTGTGTTATTGCACCGCCACCTTATTTGACCCCTTGTCGGTGGAATATTACTAATTGTCAAAATGCTTCATCTTCTTTGGCAATTCCCCTGGACTCCACAAATTGCATCTTGATGGCTGGGGGCCAGAATAGGTAACAGCAGCCCAGTGTGAACAGGAACACAGCAGCCAGGAATATGATGTTGGCCATGGCATTGCCAATTTTGGGGCAGCACCACCTCAGGCCTCTAGCTTTGGTAAATTGGGATTCTGCCCAGCCAAAGCTCATTTGCCTCTTCCATGCTTGTTCCATGCTGCCAGGGCCCGGGAAACTTCCCTATACCTTTGTCACTCCGACCTCCCCAAATCGACCTCAAATCCGCTATTTAATTGTCACCGGATCCGCTATGAGTGACAAAGGACTGGTCACGTGTACGTATGTAATACCGCTTATGCAGTAGGCTTTTGCCTAACCCCTGACTGCTCGTTGATGCTCGTCAACATTCGTCAAGGGCTACTAAACTACCGGTACTACGCAACATGAATATATACCACCAACGTCATGAATATTAGTTGATAAACGTGACAGACCCGCCGGGAAACCTAACACGAATCAGCCTTTCGGCCACTTTGGGACGGGTGAATACCTCCCAAGCTTTGGCCGCTTCGGGCGTCAGCTGCAACGCGCGTTGATCGTTTCTGGTGAAAGGGCGATGTCCGATATAGTAGAGGCTCGAGTTCGAGTGTGCATGGGTGTGAATCTTGATGTCGTGGTCACGGATAGGGTAGCGAGTGAACTGGAACCGGGAGGCAAGAGGTCGAAGTCCTAGAGAAGCTGCTGTGCCAGACTCCTTGTACACCGTCTTGTACTCGAGCTCTGACTTCTTGTTGGCCTCCTGTAATCACGGCCAGTTGAGCATTAGTAGAAACAATTGGATGAGAGGAAAACTCACCAATCCTAGACCAAAATAGACCCGAAGCGACAGGTATGTCAACTCAGGCAATTTGCCGTTGGGAACCCATCCATAGCGTGCACCCATTATTCCCCTCTTGAACATGTTGAGCACCTTGCCAATATAAAACCTCTTCTCTGTGTGCATCAAGAGAAATGAGCCACGAGTAAGGGTGAACTCGTGGAGGTTACACGTCTGGAGGAATGGTAAATCTGGGAGAAGTGTTATAATTTAACTCATAGAAATGGCTGAACGTGAATACCTTGAGGACCTATCAGCTCTCGGATCCCCCGAGAGATCTCCTGCCATCAAAGCTCCCGCACTGTCTTGCTCCTTGATAAGCCCAATGTGTGAGCGACTCCTAAGGCGCGAGCCCCAGAAACCAACTACACGCAAGGACCACACAAGAGGGTAGACGATGAAGCCCTATACAGGACAACACCAAGAGGGGAAGACGGAATGAGGAGTAAAAGCTGCTTGCCGACGTGGCAAGACTAGGCGAAGGACTTTTAAGAGGGAATCCCACAAGAACTCACTTAGAGTCTTGGGGCGTGAATTGCTCAGACTATATACAAGTACATGGTGTTTGGTCAAGCCAAACAGACTAACTAATATGGTAACGACTGTGTGCGCACAGACCAAGCAGTGCGAGGTACTACTACTAATGGTAAAGGAGTGATGTAGGTGTGATGTCATGTATGACGCGTTGATGACGTGTTTATGATATCATGATGAAGTCATAAAGAATGTTCGGGAATGTCATGGAATGATTATATAAGCTGGTAATGTAAAGTAGCCGAACCGGGTCACGTGACCGGTTATTGAGGTAGCCGGTCACGTGACCTATTGCACCAAGAAGTGAAGCTGCGACTTCAGCGACGATGCGTGAAATGTAAGTAAATCGTAAGTGTCATGACTGGTCATGCTGTCGTGAATGCGATTGTGACACAATGCACCTGAATCACTGTGTTTCTGCCAGCCCAGACGAACATGTTGAAAACCTTCCTGAGGTGTCATCACCGGCCACTCCTCTTCAGTATCCTGGGCGTCATTGATCTGCTCCCGGAATGCTGGATCTTGGTGCGTGCGTGTTGCGGCAAGGGCATATTTGGGGTCCAAGTGCACCGAACGCTGGCTATGGTTCCGAGCAGGGGAGGCAACCCGTCCCCTCTCCTTGAGCAGCCCGGCGATGTGGACGTGGTTGTACTCATCAAGGATGTAGCTTTGTAGGGGAAGGGGAGTTGTGGGTGAGTCGGAGCAGGGGAGGGAAAAGGACGTGAAGGTGTTCTGTGGTGGTGTTCCATGATTGCTCTTGAGCAACTGCAGCTCCTCGTCGGCGGCATCAAAGTCCTCGTCAAGCGCTGAGGAATGCGCTACCTCAATGGCAGCATCCGCGGGAGTGAGGGGTGTGAAAGGGGTCGGCAGCTTGTTGGTGGCTTGGAGGGCCTCATCGGGGTCGATATTGTCAGCCTCGGAGTCATCCTTGTCACCATCACGGACTTTGTGACGCGCTTGGCGCACTACACCCGTTGACGCCTGATACAGCCTGAGCGGCGCGTCAACATGAATCGGCCGCACACGAATCCGAAGAATCTGCTTGCAGATCTCTGCAGCCTCGCGGTAGGCAATCCGAACAAGAATGTTGATATCCTCCCTTGTGAGCGTGACACGGAGTTTAAGTAGCTGATCCTCCGACAGCAGCCTGGAGTCGTGATCAAAGGAATAACCAGATTGGGACTCCTTCTTGCACCGCTCTTTGAAGTCGCCAGTCATGAGGATCCGCTGGCAAACCATGACGTTCCAAACAATATTCAGTAACTCCCCAAAGGCAAAATTGGGGAGCATCATGCGTGCAAGACCAAAGAAATGCTCGACAAACTCAGTGCCTAGCAGCTATGGGCAGATAGGGACATCAGGGTAGCATTCCTTATAGATGATAACAAGGAGGATGAACGAGTCGCAGAGACGCATGAAGATTCAGTGACTACTGGAGGACATGAATGAACGATCGAGCGAGATGAGATCTGGAAATTCGGCACTAAGATCCAAGACATGCTGGCACCAGAGCTGTACCCAGAACCGTGCACGTAGAATTGCGTGAACACAATCGGTGGCGTCAAGGTCTACGTTAAAGCATGCTTCAAAGAGAGTTCCTTTGTGATAGTTTAGTTTAATTGCGGTGATGAATTCCTAATTGAGGACACACCAAAAATAAATAACCAGACAAACAGCGCCTCCTGCCCTGGAATGATCTGCAGCTTCTTGCCTGCGACATCTTGAGGATCCTGCTCACAGAGAACAGACAGGGCCTGGTGAGTGTAGAATCTCCGTGCAGCTGTGTCATCCTGCTTATCGTCCCCTAGAACATCCCTGAGGAGAAGGCCAGAGCCCGGCCGGCTGTAGAGGTCGATGAGCGACTGCATGATAAGACAGCCGACACCCAGAGTCATGGTCTTCGTACCGTGTTGTGCCTGGTTCCGGGTCGTCTTCCTGAAGTGAGGAGGGTCTTGGAATGATACAAGAGGGCCAGTTGTCTCGAATACAGGGGCCTGCAGGTGTAAGCCAAATAGGGGATAGTCATACATCACGGGAGGTCCATGAGATACCTCCTTTTCCATGAGTGTCTGTGCGGCCATCTCAGTTGCAGCGCCATCCGATGCACATGAAACAACCGAGAGTCCCGTAGTTGCCGCCATCTTAAGAAAAACAAGCTGCTGCTGGTGGATTTCTGGACCCGTCTCCTTCCCGTTCGTAGGTAAAAGAGCAACCACCATGATTGGCATTCCAGGGAGTACAGGCTGTCAAGAAGGGTCAGCATTCTACATTTTTTGTGATGAATGAACCCTACTGTGACAATAATTGCACGAACTTGAGTGGCGACTGCGTTTTCGGCCACTATCCTGTCTATGACGTCATCAATGTCGTCCGCAGTAGATACCGCACACTTGCTTGCATCCAATGTCAACCCAAGTATAAATCCACCAAATGATGTCAAGTATGTGAGGCATGGCTTCAGTTTTGTGCAATCCAAGCCATAAGCTATAGGTACCTGGTGTAACAGCTAAACTGTTACTCACCAAACTACTGAGGGAACTTGAGGAGGGATAAGTGATGTGAGATATAGATGATGAGTGGTGAGCTTAGAGAGCTGGATGAGAGTGGTGATCTTGAGTATAACAAGTGGATTAGACTGGAGAGTACGCTCCAGGATATGCCTCCTTAAATACAAGTACAAATCTATGATATCATGCTGTGTCTGCCCTAGACTATTTGGGATGATGACTGTACAGTATTTGGTTCAACCAATGGCAATGGCCCTATAACTAATGTCTGACTAAAGGTGTGCCTTGATTGCTAAGAGTTTGGTAAGGCGTGCCTGTAATACTGACTAAGGAGATCATGTGCAGTACCAGCTGATGCTAGAAACCATGTGGAACTACTGATACTATCTACTGATTGACTATGATAAGAGTCCAGGCCTTATCAGCTGACGATCTATGGAGATCTAGGCTTGATCAGCTGTTGATCTATGAGATCATAGGTGCTTCTATGCCAGGTACATAGATATTCCTGCATGACAAATCCTCCATGGTAACCCCAGGGTTTATCCCTATGTCTAGATCGACATAACTTCGAGATATGATAAGATGGAGAGAGATAAGGACACTTCTAGGGGTTAATCTACCATAGATAGGTGTTCTCCCATGTCCTATGTTGTATCTCTTGTATCCCCTTGTACCGGTGGTGTACAACCATGCAATAAATGTGGAAAAATAGTAGAAATACTGGAATTTGTGACACCTGGCAGCCCATGGCATCGAGAAGCCGCTTGACACAAGCAACATTCTCGAAGATGAGGGCAGGGTTTGTTAGGGCGTCCTCAGAATTAGCTACGAGCATTCTAAAAAGGATACAACCGTTAGAATGAGAAAAGAGAGATTAAAAATAAAATAATACTGAAGTGTACGGATAGAGGGTCCGCCAAGCTCTGCCTGCAGAAGACTGTATTGACGTGTTGACGTTCCGTAAAGTCCTCGCATGAGGATCATAAAATTCCGATATTTTTCCGTTCAATTTGTACCTGACACCATTCATACATTTTGGATCTCTGGAGGCAGTGCGTACAAGACGGTCGCTGAACACCTCGCACACACCCTGGAACGTGCCATGAGAGTCAAGTTTGCCTTCCTGGGACGCGTCGAAAAGCGCGAGGAAGACTGTCGAGTTTTTGTTCTCCTTGCTCTGGATCTTGATATATATCCGGAAGACCGTTGGGTCCGCAAGCCTGTCCTGCAGACTCACAGTTTCGCTTGCCATTTGTCAATGAGGGGTGAACAGGCTACGAGCCTGGAAAATCGCATGCTGATCATCAACAGATAGGTCAGCTTCATGGTTTGCCTGTAGATCAAAGTGAGATGCTGAAATATTTAAACAATTATTTCAGCAAAAAAATGCACGCAGAGAACAGCACGGTAAAGTGATTTATCGTGAGTTAGAGCCTCACAACCACTGCAAACTCAGCTCGCATTGGTTGTGGTACCCGGGCACCGGGTGGACTTGACGAACTCATTAACAGGGTCGACAATCCAGCAGGCAAACGAGCGTGTAGCTCTGAGCCAGGCGCGCTTCTCGTTGTCCGTCCACTTTGCGAATGGTGTCTCAGTGTTCATGGCCTTCAGCTGCGTGACTGGTGCGATGGTGGGCATGTTGGTGGCCGGTTTTGTGTCCCGATTGAACGGCTTGTAGGGGAAGAGCTCACATTGGATGTGAGCTTGAAGGGCAAACAAGACGCCGCCATGGACATGTGTCTGACTGCGGCGGATGTACTCGAGCCACTTCTCTCCAGTCAGCATCTCACAGATGTAGGTTCGGGGCGCGTCAGAGACAGAGGGAGTGGGGATAATTGAAGGTGCCACCCTCAGCGGCGCCGGCAGCTTCTCCACAAAGAAGTCTAATACTGGGGGCTGGCTAGCTATGAGACTATGTTCAAGTTAAGGGCTGAAATCCACGTACGTTTTTGAACGTCCTGGTTTCGTACTTTGTGGCCCTTGATGTCTTGACGGGAGTTGGCTTCTTGCTAGATGGACCACCAGAGAAGTACCCCGTCACCTTGTTTGACTGAGACAACTGTAGGTGAGGAACAATTATTAGTGATAGCTTGTAGTGTAGTGCATGCTGCCTTACCTGTAATGTCGGGCGGTCGCTAATCCGCACCTTGACGCGCTGCTGGATGACATTGCATCGGTCCCTGTGCAGCTTCCACTGATGCTCGGCGTAAGTTGTAGTTTTGTGTAGTTTAACGTGCTAATTGCACGCATTGCACCTCACGCGATGAGGCGTAAGAATCGTGCAGTACGGGTTGTCGTCAAGGACCCTCTTGCAATTGTCCTCGGGAAGCTTCCACGCTCACTTCCTGGGTGCTGGATTTTCGTCACCATTGCTGTTCTCACTCACGGTGTTGCTGGCGCTCTCGTTGACACCGCCGGCAATGGTCACGTTTACGTTGGCAGTGTTCGCATCAACATTGCTGTCGTTGTTGGGGCTGTCAGATAATGTGTCTGTTTGCTGTGCGGTGTTGCAGTCTGCGAGCTCTTCGAGAGTGCGTGAGAGCTCTTCGTACATCATGTCAGGCTCCGAGTCAGGTGTCCGTTTTCTGTGTGCATCTTGAATAAGCGAATATATATATATGCAAATAAACGTTGTACACGCACCGTTTATTTGAGCCGCTCCCTCTGTCGTGATTGTTGGGCTTGTCTATAGGTGATCCGGGCGAAGACAACACACTGCCGTTGCTCGTTACGTACCTGGAGCTGGGCGGATCTTCCACCACCTCAACATCATCATTATTATTGTATGCAGGAGGCTCCATCCTCCAAATGACACTAGCAATATTGAGTTAGGATGAATAGAGCAATTATGGTAAAGTGTTATCGCTTACGGGCAGTGTAGAATCGCGTCCAAAGCGGTCATCTTCATCACCGACAACTGGCTGTTTCCAATGAGAGAGAGGTCCTGCTGACGAGAGAGAATGTGCATGGCCATCATGGCAAAAAGCCCGCAGGACCACCCATCCATCTGCTGCTCGAGAGGCGGAGGGCCAGAGCAAACCGTACGGAAACCAGCCGTCCCCCACATGATAGGGGAATGGCCAACCTCGCTGAGAACCGTGTTGACAGCCTTCTCAAGCATCTACAGAAGGCAATCCATTGAGATAGGAGGAATACAGCGATACACTGTTGATATACGCACCGGGAAAGCCCAAGACTCCAAGTGATACTCAGGAATGCTGTCGAACACTCCAAGGTGGGGGTCTCCAAAGTCGATCCATCCTACAACCCAGTGGCTATTCTTGCAGAGTGGAAAGATCCACCTTGGGCGACACATGAGGCCTTCGAGCGTTGTTCCCATGCACTATTTCATTATCAGACGACTTTCAAACATATAAGAAGCATGAAGACTAACCGGCGCCTCTACGTGCTCGCGTATGGATCCCAAACCAATCTCTCCTGATGCAATAGCCCCTAAGTACGAGGAGAATATCACAAAATCAGCCTCGGACTCCCAGCCTTCCTCTTGCATGATGACCGCTGCAAACACGTTAATGACTGATCCTGTCAGCCATTGTCCTCCGATGGCCAGTTTCTCAAGGTCCGAGTATATGAGTTGAATGTTTTGAATTCCACAAACTTCGTAGCGTGCGTCGTCAGGAAGAATGCTACCCATTTTAGCTGTTGCTTGCCGGTGGGTTGGTGCGCGAATGTGAGAAGGGCAGAGTTGAATTCAATGCGGCAATCAGCTAGTCATCCAATCAGCGGAACCAGATAAGAGTATTTACAAGGCATAAATCTATATTAGGCAGTGGAATCCGCTATCGAGTGACAGACCTGCCCATCCGCTGGCCTGGAATCCGCTAACCCTATGACACAGATACCTTCCATATAAGGGCAAAGAATCCGCTAGCAGGATGACACAGGTAGAGGGAAGTTTCCCAGGCCCTATGCTGCCCATACCCCACAAGCTTTTTGGTCCCAGCACCACTTTGTGGCTCCCAATAAAATCTGAAGGAACTGCTAATATCACAGGCTCTGTCTGCCCCACCAGTAGTGTTGTTCTTGGCTTGGCTTGTGGCTTTGGTGTGGTACTTTAACTATACTACAAATTTACTTACAAAATATAGCCAAATGCTTTAATTGCAGGTTTTGGTTAACCCTTGTGTAGTGGTAAATAACACATGATTGTGAGCAGCTGCTTTTAAATATGCTTGATATGAGCCTTGCCAAGTCCTTATGAGAACACTTGTTTATGCCTAAACACCTGATGTCAGAAATATCCCACGCGCAATTGAACACATTATTACGCATTCCCATGGTCTAGGCATTGGCAACACATTATAATGGGGGGCGGGATCACTCCAATGACCCTGGTGCCATTATAATGCAATTTGAACGGCACACTCCGCATCCTGATGACCGCCTACTGTCGGATTGCGTAATTACGCTAGGTACCTCAGCCAAACGATCTAGACACGTTGCCACACATAGTAATGCGTCCCAATGCCGAAAACCATTACATTGCATTATAGTGCACGAAAGAACATCTGAACAAAATCTTCACTATCCACCTCATTGGAACGCAACCATAGACATAATGTGATCCCGTCCTTGACCTTGTCATTTACACTATCTAGCTGATGATGGATAACAAAGTCATCATGTATTCAATGAACTAATACTGAAGGCATATAAACTACATATGGCAGCGAGTAAGAAACATACAATAAGACGGCTTAGACACTGCCACACCCTCTCATGCCTACAAGACTGACGCGGCACCCAAGATCCCAGGGACATCCACACTTATGAGCTTCTGAGTGCTGACCTCATCAACAGCTGCCCAGCAGCAGTGCGCTAGCGTACGCGCCTCCTCCATGACTGAAATGGACACATCATTGAGATGTAGTCAGGCGGTTGGGTGCTAGTGGGCTGGTGCTTCTGAAGGCGGCAATGTGGCGAGTGTTGAAGATAGTGTGAGCAGGAGCACTGTTAATTTAGTGGCTATGAAAATGAATTGATATCAGCATTGATTGGGCAAAAAAAAAGATTCTCAAATACCTTAGTAATGAGGAGGCAAGGCTGATGGTGGGCCAGGGCGAGAGTGGATCTAGAGGGTGAGAATAGGTGGGAGGCCAGGGGAGGGTCCAGACAACAACAGTGGGTAGGAGGCCAGGAGAGAGCACGACGTGGAGGAGAGAGTACGGCGTGGAGGAGAAAGCGCAATGTGGAGGAGAGAGCACAACATGGAGGAAAGAGCGCAACTGCAGGGGAGAGAGCACAATGGGGGGAGGGAGTGTGGATGGTCAAGGTTGAGAATCAAGAGTTGAGGGAGCGGACATTGAAATTGCTGTTATATTAGTGCTATAGTTGGACTTTGAAATTGGTTCCTAGGGAAGTATCACTTAATATTACAGTAGCTTTCATTATTTCGGTATAAATAATAGGTCACTAGTAGTATACCAGATAGTACTAAGAAGGCTATAACTAAGATCTTAAGAGCTCAGGATCAATGTTTGAATGCATGCCAGTAGTCCCTCTATCCTATGATGAACTTGACAGAGATATACCTACATGGAGCGAAGTAGTAGAGAATAACTTGAAAGTGGGTTTTAAATAAAGGTTGGCAACGATCTTTGAGTCAGCTCAATGAAGTCAATGAGACGCTTACCTGAAAGTCTAATGAGTCTTGCCACGTTGACAAATTTAATTGGTCAGAATTTAAACCCGAGTGCAGTGCAGATAGACAAAACTTTGAATATGTAGAACCTGCACAAAATATGACAAGTACTGATGTACAAAGAGAAAGAGAGACATCAGTTGGAGCCTCGGAGGCAACATTCACTCTCCCCCGATTTTTCCCCCTTTGCCGCAGCCCCCTTGGCTTTGAGCTTTGCCCCTGTGTTGTCAGCTTGGGGATCCACCCCCTCCAATCTGCCAGCATTGTTTGTGTTGTGGGTAGCCTATATGTAAATCTTAAGCAGAGTGACAGTCAGTTGAAAATTAACGTAAGCGCACTACCCCTCGACCTTGAGCTGCCCTATGAGTTGAAATAGAGTTGGAAGAAGTACCTCCAGCCTGCCACTTTGACATGTGACCAGCTGAAATGCTTCCTTCGAGAACAACACCCACTGATCCTGTGCTGATGGAGGGTTCCTTGCTGCCCTTAGTCTGAATGTCCAAGAAAGTGGACATCCTTTGCAGGCCGCCAGTTGCACGTTGTGTCTGATCTTTGAAATAGAGTTATATACCAATATCATAATAAGAATGAACATGTTCAGACTCACCTTGCAAGTAAGCAGTAGGAATGGGATCCTCAGCCTGTTTGGCATGGCCCTCCCCTTCCCCATCCTCATCATCCTCATCGTCCTCGTCTTTGATGCCACCATCGTCATCCTCATTGTGGCCCCCCTCTCCTTGATGCTCGACCTCCTCAGCAGAGTTGTCCAGGCGCTTGCAAGAGTCCATTGTGGGATCCAAGTTCATCCCATGAACTTGCTTAGTAAGGGCTGAAAGTGACTGCAAACCTCCGGCAGACAATGCTACCGCTGCAGAGGGAGACTCGGAGTTGACAGATGGCTTGGGAGCGTAGTACTTGTCAAGACCAGCCATCAGCTCTTCATCTTCGTCCTTCTCCTGATGGACAGGAGCTAGGAGCTCTTTCAAAACAGGATGGTCAGAGGACGAGGGCGGAATACCAAGGATTTTGTAGTTGAAGAACTCCCGGACCTTGAAGGTCCATACAGCATTACCAGTAAACAAGATCTTGGGTATATGATCCCTGTCATTGTTGTACGGGATGCCAGAGGGCAAGCCAGGGTTTACGTAGGTTGGATCATTTAATAGTAGATAACGTACCTTTAGAATGGGTTAAGACAAGTCCTCATATAAAATGGATACCTTCACTCACATCAGCCATAGAGCTTGCAATCATCGCCAGCTCTATGGCCATCAGCTGGGTTCCTTTTGCTTTTGAGCGAGGCCTTCGCACCTGGTGAAGCTTCAGCCCAGTTGGACCAAATAACTTTACAATCATAGCCTAATGCTACAGATCAGCCAAAGTTGAATAGAAGGTGCGCAATCTGACATACCTTGACAAGTATTTCAGACGTAAGGAATTCCTGTGGGAGTGGACGCTCTGGATTGGCATATAGAACGGGCACGTGTTGATTGTACTTGGGTGATTTGACATTCTTCTTGAGGAGACTCAACTTCCTCTCCACTGTTTGAGGACCAAATATGCTTGCCTCTGCAGCACACAGAGCAGTGGTGTAGATATGCCGCACAGCATCAACAGCCTGAGTAAACTAAAGGGCCAGAAAAAGATGAGACACTGCCCGAGATAAAAAGATGACAGCCTACCGTGGTTGCGAATGCTTCCTCCTGCTCAATGAGGTCTCCCATTTCCTCAACACCCATAAAATGATAACATTGGCCATGTTTCCTAGGGCCATCGCCTTCTCGTCCTTGAAGCGGGAAGGATCGGTGCAGTCAATGCTCCTTGCAAGAGGAGATAGCAGGAAGGTGCCCTCAGCAACCCAAGGACGGATGAACTTGGAAAACCCGCTGCCCTTGCTCTTGAACTTACTCTCAAATATCATAGATTGAAGTGAGAGACCTCTGTCAAAACTCTTCTTTTTATCCTTGGGGAGCAATGCATATAGCATGCGGACCTGATCTTTGATGGAGCAATAAGCATCAAACAGAGCACCGTGCTCTTCCTGCGTCTCGTGCAGAGCCTGAAGAAAGTACACGCCATGTGAGTACTTAAAGATACGGCTGAGAGAAGCTTTGTATATGACTTACTTTATGAACTTGGACAAGAGGCGCGGTGTCCGGGAGTTGGGATATGGCATGCAAAGAGCGGGTAAAACGTCCATCGTCGTCCATGGCAATCCTGCCAATCTTAGATGGAAACTCCTGATCATCGTCTTCATTGTGGGCAGCCATGGGACTATAGGTGTCAACAGCAAAGGAGGTACAAAAGTGAGATGCAAAAAGAGCTAATATTGCTAATGAACACATTGGCGAGAGGGCTCACCTTATATACAAGTTGGTGTGATGTTGCTAACATGTTTGAGTGGTCTTTGAGTTCTCATGACCTCATAGAAGCCGGAGAAAGTGCTCTATGGCCACAATGAAACACATATCAAAGCATCTGCAAGAATCACATTGTCAATGTGGAAGTTAGCTAGTGAATTTGTTAAATGTACCTTGTGTTTGGACTGATATCAATCCACGGCTGTCCTGCTGTGCTATGAGGCTGTAACTTGCGGTAATCAAAGATGTGATGACATGTCAAGAAAACAACTTACAGAATGGTCTCATGTTTGTAGACGTGTTTATTGGAATCTTGAACTCAAAACGATCCACTTGTTGGTAGATCAACCTGGCCGGGAAAATGTACATCAATGTGTGGCGGGTCTCTGAAGCTACTGCCTTACTCACAAATGGCTCGTGTTTGGGTCACTAGTGATGCGGTGGCCTCGGAGATGCCAAGTTCAAAGAGCTGCATGCTGAATTAGCAATAGAATGTCTCAAGGTCTGATGTGATTACATAAATGAATGTGAATTTTGATGCTAGACAAGGTCTATTGTTTTCATGTGTAGCTTTTCCAGGTGTATGTTCACGTACAAGTGTGATGGGAGACACTCTGAAGCGGCGGGAACCAGACATGCTTGTTCGCCAGCTTGTCAAGGTGAATTAGATGAAAAAAAATGCAGCTGAAATGTGACAGCTAAGAAAATGGATCAGCCGGAGGCAAAGTACGTGCAGGTGACAAGTTAAACGAGGGAACTGTGACGGATCGGACCTAGATGATTGCTTAACATGTGTGTTAGCATGCTTATCAGACAAAATGAGAGGGGCTTACGTCTGGTGAAGGAATGAGGTGGCAAGCAGATGCTGGCACTTCAAGAAGAAGCTGTTGAGATGGTCATGACCGCGGAGATTGGTCAGTGCACAGGGATGTCGATGAGAGCAGATTGGCTGCAGTGGCTGCCAAGCAAGGATAGTGACAGAAAGGAACCAGCAAACATCAAGGCTAACTACAACTCCAATTAATCACAGCGAGATAAGACATACAAAGTGGCTGAAAATATTGCCGCACCTGTGTTGGATGGAGGCGCCCCTGGCCTCAAAGATGTCAACAAGGAATAAACCTGGACTTAGTAGATCTGTGATGGCAAGAATGAATGCCTTGAGGAGTGACAAGATCACGGGTAAACTATGAAATGAGTGTGTGGTTCAAAGAAAGAAGGCGAATTAAATACAGAGCTCACAATATGATTGATGGATTGTGATCTGGTGTCTCAGCAAGACAAGCCCTTCGTTCGAAGGAACATGTCTCCATCAATGTGAGTCATAACAAAAAACTCAGAATGGTCATTCAAGCTGAAATCAGGGGCGAGTAGAGCCCCCCGGATAATCAAACCAAGAGGGATGATGATAGAAGATGCCCGAGGTGTAGCCTTGACGTGGATGAAACCAAGATCCCTGTCCACCCTCCTTGTCAGCCCCGGAAGACCTGCTGTGTAGGGCTGTACGAGCGCCAATGAGAGAGGCCCATCTACACCCGCGATGTGCATCTGAAAAACAAAGACGAGATGCACAAACACATCTTCCGTGTCAGATATTTGTACCAAGGCACAATTGTAATGCGGATGGTGGTGAAAGTTGGGGTGGCAGTGTAGATAATTGGTCATCTGTAACCAGCTCTCCTTGGACTCATAGTTGATCTTGACGAAGTGGAACTCCTGGAGCTTGTCCATAATATCAGATTTTTGTAAATAGCAGAAGTCGGTGCCAGATGTATGAAGATCAATGCACACCTGATAGTTGCAACCAAGTCTCTGCCATGAGATCAGCTGGGCCTTGTATTCTTCCATTCCATCAAGATTTGGTAGTGTCTCGTTGACAAACTTTTCAAGTACATTGTGAAGATCTCTAAATGCTGGTTCCTGAGGCTGCTTGCTCTGAAGCTTTGCAATAGTCGTGATAGGCTGCAATGATCCCATGTAGTACTTCTTGGAAGATGATCTAAAATAACTGTATTCAATAGCGGTGTCACTGTCCTTGGACGCATCTTGAGCCTGAGTGGACAGAGCAGCCTCATACTCTGCTATGCGGCTGAAGATTAGGCTGATCACCAGCCGGTGTTGATCTATCCGTAGGATCTATTGCAAAACCACACAAAGCCAAGAAGGGATAGTAAGAACATTGAGATTGTGGATTGATTAATTCACTTACTTGTTCCACAATTTCCTTGCCATTTGTATGACCATATGCTGCTTTGAGAAGGGTGTGTACGCCTTCATTTGGCTGCGTGCTGTAATTCCGACTGGCACCCTTGTTGCGAATGTCTTCAAAGGTGTGCTTGAGATAATGTGCTTTTGGAAAATCCCAATCAATTTTGAGGTCAGGTACCTGTGATATTTTGGCAAGATCAATATAGTCCTACAGTTTTCCATTAGTAAGTACAGCGCTATGAGAGAATTGCCAATCAAATTATCAATCAAAACTAACTCACATCAAGCAAGTTGCTGAACTGCTCAAGCTCTGCCTTGCCAGCTGTGATTGTGTCATCCGTGTGGACATCAAGACCAATGTAGCAATCAAGCTCTAGATAGCTTCTGATCACCATAAGTAGTGCATAGCCTTCGGGCGACGATTTCAGCGTGAGGAGATTTTGTGCTGCGAAGAGAACTTGCTACAAATTGAGTCATTATACCGTATCTGAGTCATCAATATTTGAAAGGCTTACCTTTGACATGTCGTGAAATTTATTACCATCAGAAAATGATGTATTGACTGCGTGGGCAAAGTGGTTGAGGTCTCGCCACCTCGGCATTTTATCGAACCTGATTTGATATTATTAGAATGAAGCGGGTGATGTCTGAGGAACTTACTGCTTGTCAAATTTCCCCATTGTTCCTTCGAGCTTAGTACTTACATGTTTGATGATCTTTTGAAGTTCGGGAAGGAGCTGTCGGCTGAATAGGCCGCCATGATTGAAATGTAAGCAGTCAAATGAGAGTGCATCATGAGGATCTGAGTACTGAATATCCCAGAATACAATCTATGGTACATCAGTAGTCATTAATTCATCAATTAAACATGTTCTGAGGTGCACCTCAGCTGGTCGCAATCCAACCTCCTTCATAGCATCGTTTCCAAGGCCCTTATGAGCCTTGTACTTTTTGTATAGCTCGCGACCTTGCTCTGAAGTACGGTGCTTATACTTTGTGTGAAAGTCTTGTAGCTTCTCCTTTGGAGAAAGACAAATAGGACATGGGCACTTGCATTTAGGCCCGCATATCAACACCATCATACACCTGGTAAATATATAGAAAAGGAGCGAGGTGGGGGGATAAGTGGCTTAAGCAATAAAAAGAAAAGAGGAGACTCAACTGCTCCTCATAGTCAGCGGAGAGGACAAATATAGCTGGGAAGAGAACACATTTTTGACCATCATAACAGTCATGCACCATACCAGCGTTCGAATATGCTCCAATATCTTCTATAAATGTTTTGAAAGACTTATACCAGACCACGCATTTGAAGTTTGTGTACGATAGCTTCCCTTCCTTTTCAGGGTCATTGCCAAGCTATCAATGATCAATAACTTTAAAGGTATAAAATCGTGAAGGACCAGGTGTTTACGCACGACGGGGAACCAGCCAACGACGCGTGCGCTGCCAACACCATTTCTATTTCGAATGTGACTAGGCAGATTCATGCACCTAGCTATTACCGGGTACCCTTGTACAGTTCCAAATGACGAAAGACGTGTTTTGTCTGCGTAAAGAAGGATTGAAAACGGCGTGGGAGTTGCATTACTGTGGTGATTAGGCAGTTTGGTCTATACATGCACAATGAATGTAGAAATGAGTGGTACAGGTATAAGCATATGCACCTGTATGTTCCACCTTTGATCGGCTGTCCATGGCTCATTGTACATGCGGACGAATTGTCCTGCATCCTCGTCTTGTCTATAGACCCATTGTGCATCCCATTCAAAATGTGGTGCAAGGGATTTGTTCCCCAGGAGTTCTTTGGCCCAATCCCAGAGATCTTGTTTGTGGACTTTGACTGGTATCTTCTGTTTCTTCCAATCTACTGTTATCTTATGTGTTTCAATCTACCAATATTATGTGATGCATGGCACAAGAAAATTGTTATTGGCTACTATCTAAACTAACTGATATATAGCATGCTGCTTACGGGGGTGAGCTTCTCAGCTGCTTGGTCGCAAGTCTTGCGTAGCTTGGCATTGCTCTTGAAAGTTATGTTAGCATTACCGTTCACCACCTTGCCAATGAGCACCAGAAGACGCTCAACATTGGCCTGCATGAGCTTTGCGTCGATCGCAATAGACGCAAACTCGCAGTCGCCCTTTGACTTGAATGGCTTCCAAGGTTCCAACACGTCATTTTTGAGTGCTGGGGGCAGATGGAAAGTGTTGCAAAATTTATCCCATGCCTCAATTTTCGTGGGTCGTTTGCTGTTGGGGTGGAACTGAGTCTTGAAGTCCATGTTATGAGCTGAGGACACAATAGGGAGAGTCGTCACTGTGTAAGCAACACTCCTCATGCTGATGTTGGATTCAGAGCCTTACAGCCATGTAAGCTCCTTCACTGAAGGCGGGATGGCAGCGCGGAAAGATGAACTAATGACTTACAAAGTCTGGCTGTAGCTTCACCATCCTCGAACTCGCTAAACTCTCCCGCACATTCAGCACCAATGGTCGTCGGGTCCATTTCATCATGCGGCTGATGGAGACCTGATGCTGCCTAAACCAGCGATGTTGTTGAGTGAGGGCAACATGGGCGTACTGTCATCCAACTCCTGTGCTCCTGCCAGAACAGCTGGAGCGTCAGGAATGTAAGTAGAAATAGAGGGCCCCCAATAACCTTGCTCCTTGCTTCCGACGTGCTTTGAAGGACCCGCTGTTGATGCTCAGGCTGCAGATAGGTGCTCAGTCCGAAGTTGAATATTGCAAGCTAAGAAACAGATATATATGTTAGTGCAACAGAAGGCATGGGGTGTGCTAACCTTCTCGCTGCAGAGCAGAATGCCTATCCGAGATGGCATTGCAACGTTGCGCCTGTTGCTGGCATCCCTTGCAAGTCCTCTCATGCATGAGGAGTCCATTGGGGTGTAGGGATTGGCTGCAGCCATTCCGGCATGGGACCTTGTCATTGTTGTTCAGCTTGGCTTGAGCCTTGCCTTTCTTGGTGCTGGCGCGAGGCATACGTTACAGAGTGGAGGGATGTACGGAGATGATACACAATATTGGACAATAGGGGATGGGGTTGGGACCGGGGAAGGGAGTGGAGAAAGCAATCAATACAGTAGTTGATGTGCGATCGGGGCCTCAAGGCACGTCAGATCAGTTAGGATGCCAGAGCCATGCATGGGAATGTGACTCAGCGTACAAATGTGTTCAAATGTGTTCCCCACTGGGCGCCACTGTTCCAACTGAAGGTCTGGATCCGCCAGACCAATCCAAATGGCATTGCAACGCCAATGACCACGTGCAGATAAATGTGTCAACATTTTAATGCATCGAGATCTCACCTCGCTGTTCCGACATCGCTTCCGGCGCAATCTGACATTTGTATTCTATTCAAACGACATTCCTACGGCATTCAAGCAACATGGCAACACGCTTGTGTGACTTTCATGGGAATGCCCATTTACACTTTTCTGACAGACTGTGAGGAAAACATGGTAATTAATCCTCAAGAAATCACCTAATCCTATAATAAAAAGCTAACTGTTGGCTAGCTGAACAAAACTAACCATTGACAAAACTAATCCTTGACAGGGCTAACCCTTGAGAGAAACAACATTTAACTGAAATAGTCCTTGGAAGATCATAAGTGTTTTGTTGGCAATCCAAATAAATATGAAAGTAATGAGCCATAATTTATGTTAAGCACTGGAGAGTATATTGAAAAAGAATGTCAGGGTTTCTACTGAGTACTGGTAGCCATAGACATACTAGTACAATAGCTATACCAAGGATAAGGCCTACTCAGGATTATTACTACTACATATTGGTTTTATAAAGGGTTAGTAATTCCAGAAAAAAACAGATTCTGTTAAGGGTTGGGTATGTTTTGAGAGACAGTATAGTCAAGGATCATTTCTGATGAATGGTAGTCTCATTAAAGAATAGCCTAGTGCAAGGTCAATCACCATCAATGGAGACTTAGGCTTTATATTTAGCTCTAGAAGATGCCCTCTCAATACTGACTTTTCCATGGTCACAAACAAGTGTGGTCTGAAAATCACACAAGGATTAGATGTAGGATAGGTGTACAAGGTTTACAAAACTATCAAACAAGCTAACATCAACTGCAATTACTGATATATAGTATTATAATAGATGTCTAACAAAACCATGGCCTATTGACTTGGCTTTGGCTTGGCTTGGTGGTTAAGCCAGGCCAACAATGCTTGGCCTGATACTGGCTTTTGCCTGGCTTGGCTTGGTTTGGCTTTGGTTTTTAGGCCAGGCCAAGAACAAGACTACCCATTAGCTTCATATGCACATTATTGGGCAAATATAATTGGGAGAACCTGGTGGTGTTAACATGTAGTCCACCAGGGGGAGGGGCCAGGGATTAAACCCCCAACTTGGCCATCTTGACTAGGCCGGATGGGCTGCTACACTGACACACCCTTTTGTTACAATATTTATTAGTGAGTGCATGGTATAGGACATGGTTGTTTGTTGCCAGCCCATAAGTGAAGTTTTGACACTCACACTGTGTCAGCCCCAGTTGTTTGTAGATTAGGTATCTGATTTAATCCTGTCTCCACATCAAAGCAACTAGGTAGCCTGTACTGCAAGCCTTTAGCAACACAATGTTACCCACTCCACCTTGTCTTGGGAGTGGTCCTAGTACTGTACTTTGTTTTTTTTTCAGAGGGTGATGTGTGACCTAGATAATGTTTGTCATAAGGTTTAGTTTAAAACAATCCCTAGTGTAACTTTGAACATTCTGAATGGAAATTGCCCTTGAGCTGAAACTCTTTTCTTGCTGCCTTGTTCCTGGATGCTTCAACCTCACTTTTGAATTACAAGTTACAAGCTCTTCAAATTGCTGAATGACCTTGAGTAAACAGATCTGTTACTCTACAGAAAAATCCAAGCAAATATTGTGGATGACTCCAAGGCCAGTGGCATCCTGCTTTGAGTGCTGAGGACAATAATACTATAGAGTTTTGATCTTAGTTCACAATGGTATGGAAAAATTGTGTTTTGGAACAACAACCAGATGTCCCACTCCTTTGGTTCAGAGAGTTGGACCATGTGGAGACACTAAGCTCACACTAGCCTTGAACTGGGTCTGTTTCCCTGTTTAAAGCCTCAAGATTACAAGGTCCATGTCACCAGCAGCTGATCTAGCCACCTGCAAGCATATTCACAAGCTACCCCGTACTGTGTCCCTTGACCTCTACAAGCACTCATCCAAGTCCAAGGCACTTGAGAGCAAGGCACCTCAAGCCAATGATGGGGTTTCCTCCAAGGACACTGATCCTTTTGAAGGAGACAAGAAGCACAACAACAACAGAATGTAGACAAAATGTGCTAATCTCATATTACAGATCCTCTACTCAGGCAATGTTGATATTTCTGCCACCTCTCCTAACATGCCAGACAATCTCAGTGTGGACTTGAATGTCCCACAGGTCCCTAATATTGAGGATCTGGATCACTGGGACATTCAAGCCCCTAATATTGAGGGTCTGGATCGAGGGGGGTGCCAGCCAGTTTTTTCAAAGTATTATGATGGGTTTTAAAGTCTCTAGAACACATCATAGCATGATTCTTTATAGTCATTCTAGCAGTTCCACATCATTTTTTGTGTATCCGCCCTTCCAAATTCATAATCCCTTCACAATGGTGGATTGTCCATCCTTGGAAGTTCAGTTCAGAGGAGTGGTGGACAAGGGACTGAACTTAAGGTAAAAAATCTGCAATACTCTTGATGATGCTGACCAAACAGATGATAATAACAATTAAAAAATATATTATAGTGAAGATTCTAATTCTAAAGATGAATCAGCAATTGTACCTGCTAGTGTTGTGCAGGGCCGGGCTTGGCCTGAAAGCCCTGGCTTTGGCCTGGCTTTTGAGGGCTCGGGCTTTGCAAAAACCCAGGCCAGGCCCTGATGTAGGGCCAGGGCTTGGCCTGGGCTTGGCTTTGGCCTAGGCCAGGGCTTTCACTATAAAATTGTGTATTTTGCTTCTTATGTACATAAAAAAATTGGAGCAGTCAGTTTTCTACTCAATGAAGCTATCAGGATTGATCAGACAGTAAAAAACAGTGACAAAATCGACTTTTTATTGTGTCACAACAATTATTGTAGTAAAAGACACTTATTCATCCAAATCCCAATGGTTCTCATTGTCTGAAATACCTAAAATTAAGTCTCCAAGTCCATCATCATGCTTTTCAACAGTCATTTCATCATTACCATTGTCCTCAGCTTTCTCTAAGGATAACTCAGTTGCTGAGGATGGCCCTAGCTCATGGGAAATTAATTCCTGGCAGCTGAGTGTCATCAACACCTGAATAGCTTCAACAACATCTCCACCAATGTGATTGCACCTTTTTGTGATTATTTCAGCAGCTGCAGAAAAAGCACACTCACTGGACACTGAAAAGGTCATAATAGACAAGCAGCTGCTTGCAAATGATCCCCAAATAGGGTACAAAGGAAAATTCAACTGTAACACTGATTAGAGTCATAAAATATGATACAACAAGATGACTTACACCCCACCAATGGACAATAAATATCTCTTTTGGAAGAGGCATCACAGAGCCAAGGTAAGCATGAAACTCTTGAGCCCAAGGTGCTGAGGCATTTTCAGCTTCACTGTTTGCACCAAAACTGTCCTCAGGACATTAGTAACCTGCTGAGTCAAACATCACATAATCACTAACATAACTCTCAAGGCTATATTCTAATAATAGGGCAAGTGGGTCAGATAATGCCATAGCTAGATTAGGACACAGCGCACTTTTGATTAGAATTTCCCACAGTCAATAGAAACATTGTACACTATCTAATACTTAAGTTCAAGCTATACAACTTTTTGTTACTAGAGTAATTGTACAGTCATATCAACATTTTTCAAAATTTTAGCTACAGGCCCTGGCTTAGACCCTGGGCTCGGGCTTTGCAACAACCCAGGCCAGGCCTTAGGCCCTCAAAAGCCCTAGCCAGGGCTTGGGCAGGGCTTGGCCTGAGGGCTTTAGGGCTTCAGGCCTGGCCCTGCACAACACTAGTACCTGCTTATTTTGTTATAGGAAACAGGGAGACAGAGGATCATATGGTGAACAAGGTAAAATATATTCTGTTGCTATTTTTGGATGCAGTGAACATTATAAACTAAAAAAAACCTTGAAGCATGATAATTACTAGTGTTTCCATTAAGGTAAAATGAGGTGAATTGACATTTTGGGCAAGTCATCACACCTTGCAAGATTCAAGGTTACCAACAAGGGTAGCAAAAGCCAATGTCAAGTCTTCAGCCAATCAAAATGTATTTTTTTGCTAACAGTAATCAATATAGAATATGTCCACAATCAATTTCCATGGCTCAAACTACCTTTTGAGAACCTCCAGTGCCCCCTATTTCAGCTTCAAGTATTCAGTGGATGACACTGATAGCACTTCTTGTTATGGATTTTGTTACTGTAACAAATTGACCATAAGTTCTCAGTGGCATGTGAAATCAGAACTGAAATAAGCTTTTTTTTGTATGTCCCACATTTTAGTTTCCTGAGGTCATTGGGGGCAAGACATGTTGGAATTATGTGTTTGTTATTACTTGCATCATGACATATTGAGTTATTGTATACATTCCAAGTTTTATTTACATATATAATCATATTGTAGCTAGTAAAAAACTTTACATGATTGCCCTTTGGGCACTCTTTTCTTGCCTGGGACAAACACACCTGTGTTGTTGCAGTCCTTAGCAACCTTTTATTTCTACATGATAAACTACAGTATTTTGACCACTTACTCATGGGAAAATGACTTCCTAATCCAGTATGTCCCACTTTTGGCTCACATGTCAGAACCAATGCAGGACACATGGCTGATCAGGGGCTAATTGTCCCAAACTTGTGGGACACATCATGTTAGTGCAGAACATCCTAGGGGCATCATCATCCCTCCATTCTGATTTGCTGGTGTTAAAGTAGGTCAGGGAGATCACAATGACATTTTTACCATGCAAATTAGTCCTGTTACCATGTTACAAACAGATTGAACATCTCATATGGCTTGCTAACAAGCCTGGAAATTCTTAAAACCCTTAAGTCATAAACTTTTTTGCAGTGACCCCAACATCCTGAGGCCCACCTGCCTAGCTCACCCACCTCTCAGTCTCACATTGACAACAAAACTGCTCAAGGCCTCCTTACCCTTTAGTGAAAACTCAGTCATGAAGTTTTGAAGATCCATTGATTTATTACAAGGACAAACCAGTTTCCAGGGAAGGAGAGCTGCAACTGAGGAAGCAACATGTTTTTAGTAAGAATTATAACTAGTTCCTAGACCATTAAATACCCCTTTCATGGTATAGAATTTTTTTTACAGTTTTATTCAAAATTTGGGCTATTTTTACCATGTGTTCTGCTTTTTGGCTCACTCACCCAATCTGTGGGACATGGGATGAGCAAGCGGTTGAAATTTTACAGTAGTTCCTGGTAGTGGTCAGGCTTCAACACAGCTGTTTGCTGCTTAAGGCAACGTTTAGTACTAGAGCAGGGGACTTAGTGTTATCTCACTAGTAGTGATATTTTTAAATTGCTCTCCCATTGGCTCTGATGTTGAATATATCCAGAGTCCAATGAGCTTTAATTTCCTTGCATTTGCAGCAACAGCTGCAAGCAAAGTCTCACAGTCACAGGAAAAAAGCAGCAGACCTTAAATAGCTTATTTTACAAAACACAAAAAGCTCCATGTGGGAAACAGAACCAGGTTTATTCACTGTTTGATGAGATGATTACCATCAGCTTGTTTTGCTGCATTGAATTGAGAAAACATTGGTACAGATGGATTCAAAACAACAACCTTAGGCAGAAAAGCAAAAATAGTCAAGCTGTCGTGATCACATTCACGACAGCATGACCAGTCATGACACTTACGATTTACTTACATTTCACGCATCGTCGCTGAAGTCGCAGCTTCACTTCTTGGTGCAATAGGTCACGTGACCGGCTACCTCAATAACCGGTCACATGACCCGGTTTGGTTACTTTACTTACCCGACTTACGTAATCATTCCATGACATTCCCGGACATTCCATATGACTTCATCATGATATCATAAACGCGTCATCAACACGTCATACATGACATCACACCTACATCACTCCTTTACCATTAGTAGTAGTACCTCGCACTGCTTGGTCTGTGCGCACACAGTCGTTACCATATTAGTTAGTCTGTTTGGCTCGACCAAACACCATGTACTTGTATATAGTCTGAGCAATTCACGCCCCAAGACTCTAAGTGAGTTCTTGTGGGATTCCCTCCTAAAAGTCCTTCGCCTAGTCTTGCCACATTGGCGAGCAGCCTATACTCCTCATCCCCAACTCTCCCTCTTGGCGTTGTCCTGTATAGGGCTTCGTCGTCTACTTCTTTGTGTGGTTTTTGAGTGTAGTTGGTTTCTGGGGCTCGCGCCTTAGGAGTCGCTCACAAAAGAACTCACTTCCCTCTACCCCCTAAACCAACTTCTGCCGCATTCCGGGGCGTATTCACCGGAACCCCTTTGGTTGAGCGTCGACCCGGAGCCTGCTTTACATACTGCTGAGAGTCAGCTTCTTTCGGGACCCCGTTTATACCTTTTACGTAAGAGCTGGGCACTAGGCCCTTAAACGTACCAGGGCATTAGGCCGGGTGGCAAAGCGCGAGGCAGGGAAGTCTGCGAGGCTCCTGATTGGCTAACCGCCACCTCATACAATAGTTTTCAATTTCTTTGGCTTCGGCTGCGTCCTCGTGAGGCGCACTTGTTGTAGGGCAGTAGGACAGTAAATAGCGAGTGCCACCATCCCGAGGTCTGAACCGAGTAGAGACCAGTGGTTAAAGCGGTCCTCAAAGACCTGCACACCG